AAATATAATGTAAAATAATATTATTTGTATATATCAAATTTAATTGTTTTTTTTATTTATTATATTTATATATGTCCAATTTCAAGACACTAATGAAAATGCCTCAATCAAAACTGGCTTCTAAATGTTTGGCTCTCGAAGAATTACTGTAAAGGTATTATGAATTTGAAACAGCTCATTATGATTTATAAAGCAAATATCAGATCTTATTAGACAAATATGAGAACATTTGCAAGAAAACTTCGTAATCAAATGACCTTCATACAACAGCAAGCTAATCAAATAAAAAGGACAGGTCAGAGATTGAAATTGGAGATAGAATTGAGATCTATGCTTTGGAGGATGTAGAAACTAAACAATTTATTAAAAGTCTTTAAGATTAAAATCTGAGAATGCAAGAATAGTTATAATAGACCCAAATAGAATATGAAAAATTAAAATTTAAGTAAATATGTAAGTGACATAAGATTTGATCAAACATATTCATCTCCTGAGAAAGATAATTCTGAGGGAATAATTTCAACTTTTAAGTGCGAAATCAGCCGACTTAATAAATTAGTAATTGAAATTTTCATATTAAAGGTTTCATAGTTAAGATTAGAGATTAGTAATTCGAAGACAAGAGAAGTGGATGAAAATTGGTTAAGGTAGCAACTCAACAAATAAGAATTATAAAAGCAAGGAAAAATATTAAGTCATTAGTATGAATCAAATGAATTAACAGATTTATGAGTATTTTAATGATGTGTTTTTTTCAATTATTTTGTAAATCAATCCTACGTATAACTTAATTCTAATGGATTCATAAATTTGTTAATTTTTGAAGCTGATTTTGATTGAGTGATTTCTGTTATGAATTTTTAATGTTTTATCAATTTAGTCGGAGTATTCTTAAGAACTGTTTTGGGGTTTTGAATTAACTATATGGAATTATTGTTATCTTTAGAATACTATCTCTAAAAATGGTATTTCGAGGACTTAGTGTGATGGATACTATTACTATTTCTATCATCGAAGGAAATGCTTCTGTGATTCAAGTTTTAAACCTTTTAGATTCGTGTACTTGCTTATTTTTCTGTAATTTCTTTCAATTTTAGTCTTAAGGCATGTGAAGGTTGTAGTATAAATTCTGATAAGGTTTTTGCAGAATCGATGATTTTTTATGCTTCGTCATTTCTTTTGAAAAACTCCATTTCAAGACTTAAGTTGTGATATGCAGCAATCAAAATTTAGGCTCTGTTTATCTTCAGGTATTCATCAAATTGAAAATTGATCCTTTTATTTTATATATTGAATGTACCCTTCAGATAGTAAATTACTCTGCATTTTCTAAAGATTCAATTAGTGTTATAATTCGATGTTGCATTTCAAACCTTCAATTAATAATTCATGTTATAATAGTATTATGGAGAGATAGATGTTTTGGAGTGCTACATCATGGCATTATAAAGATGACTAAATGGCACTGATATTTAAATAAGTGTTGGCTAAGGAGGAATCAAGATTTTATCTTAATATAATAAGATTTCTTACTAGTATTGCATTTTCAAAGCTTAGTTCAAATAATTTAAAGCCTTTTGTGGCTAGTTTAATTTTTGATGATATAAGGCAAGGTTGTTTATGGTTTGTAACTAGGATGATTTAAATACATACTTTAAGGTTGGGGACATTAAGACATATTTATTGTGCCTTCTGAAGGTGAAAGTAACAGGATTCCAATTTGTTTTGTTGAAGGTCTGACTCTGCCTTTTGATTCAGCATAATTCCGAGTTATTATTAATACTTGTAGACCTATGATGAGGATTGGATTTTGATACAATCTTTTTCTGTTTGCTTGGATCGGATTTAAAGTGCCTGATTTTATTTTCAAGTCTTTGAATAGAATCGACAAGACTAAATTCGTTGTTATTAATTTAATTTATCATTGTATTTTAAAATTAGAAGATTAACTCAATAACGGCGGTGGAGGTGGTATCAATTCTTCTTTGATCTTTGAATTTACAAACAGATTATCATTGATGTTGTGATCACAAAAATCTTATGAAGGGAAGGGGTAAAATGTTTATTAATTCTATTGAGGAAGTTGCGATTGGGAAAATTGCATAAACATACCCGAGTTATTCATGTATTAGTGTTGATAGGATTGCTAAGTCTGTTGGCTGAAGTTGATAGGTTGTTGTTGCTGAGGTTGTTGTTGGATTGGTTTGACTTCCTGCTTTATCTATTTGCCTTCTTGACTATTGTAAGCCGGAGAGATCTGGATGATCTGATCTACCAAAGCATTGTAATCCTATTGGAATTCTTGTTTGCCATCTTTAGGTATTCTCATCAATTTGTTATACAACTTATTCAAAACCCTTGGGACAATTTTCAATGAACAATTCATGTATTTCTGTCTCCATAAATCCAAGAGTGATTTTTTGAAACTAATATAGATTCAAATTATTTACTCTTTCTGACAATATTGTTGGATGTGATCAGTGATCAAGATTATCTCTTGATCGTTGGAATCATTGAAAAAACACTTGATTGTATAGCCGCAGCAAATCAGAAACAGTAATAATTTTTTGAATCCTTCCACATTCTAATTCTAATTAAATTGCTTTAATATTTAATTACTTCTTAGTTGCTCAAAAAATCTTATTTAAAGTAAGCTGAGAAATCTGAAATCAATTAATCATCATATCTCCATTTCTATTCTTCGATTGTGTGCAAAAAGAATATGATTTCTAACTCATTAAACATAAATTTTTTGGTAACACCCCTCAACATTTTAAATAATGGGTATTGAGTAGCAATAGCAGCTGCTGCATCTAATTGTGAAAATCTACTCAACAACAAATTTGCCAAATATGAGTAATCTTCATTTGCGTATCGTATACTCCTAGAATCATATTCCTTTTGAAGCACCTATTTGGGCTTCCTCTATTCCACCTATATTTAAATTCTCACATCATACTTCAACGCTACTCATTAAGCCGCCTCCCAACTCTGAACCTTAAGATATAGCCAACTTTTTGCCTATGTTGTCATCGACGTGATATCCGTGGAGTAATTGTCTAGAATGATTGGTCACTATGAAAGTCTAATTTTGTTTGCTCATCTAAAAATAAGCTGCATAATATAAATATATGGTCAGGTATGAAAGGATGATAATAATTAATTAATTTACCTTTGCTATCTGAGGAACTCTTAAAGGAAATGATCAGAAAATTAAATAATAATATCGAATTATAAAATATACTCTTATATAGGTGCTTCAGTTAAAGATACCACAAAAATGTTCCCTTTCATCTTTTGCAATCTAATAAATTACACAGATAATCAACCCACCTCCAATTAAGTTACTATTTATAAGCCAAAATGAGAAATCTAAGAATCTTTCATTTAAATTGACTTGAATTATTCCCATGCCCTTACCAATCCTAATTAAATAATTGAATACTAATTTATTTACCTGTTTTGCTGAAATTTCATCATTTCAAACTTGAAAAACTTAGAATCGAAAATGAATTGAAATAAAAATATTCTATTCTGCTATTTTGGAGATTCATTGTTTTTAATTAAAGTTCTCATCTTAGTAAAGAAATTGAAACCTTATTCTAAGAATTAAGAGAGATTTGAGAACAATAAATAAAAAATCTGCATGGGATAAAGGTTTAATATTCAATTATCATTTGCTAGGTCTTTCTAAAAATCATCTAATAGCTCAATTAACTAGGTTTATATTATATTTGTATCACTTTGTTCATTTCCTTAAAGAGATCATCATAGCCTTTATTCACTTCGGCAATTAATTCCTAATTTTCTTTTTTTTGTTCACTGTTTTCTATAGATTGTTCCTAGTTTTCTACTTCAACCTAAACCCCTAAAAAAATTATTAATGAATTATACCTTTAGACTCTTATATGACTTAAATTTCATATTTTTTGATATAAGGCTTCTATTGTGCTTAATCTATTAAATATTACTTTAGACCATACTTATTTAACTCACTTATGTGGGTTAGGCTTAAGGAGAATTTCCCATTAAATTATTATATTAATTATCATTATTGAATTTAAGTATTTTTTGTTAAAATGATAGCATACATAAATTGATTTAAAGAATGTTATAAAATATATATATATATATTAAATCTCAAGTAAATTCATAATTATTTTTTGAATTTCATCTAAGAGGGATTAATAAATTAAGAATTCACTTTTTCAGGATCCAAATATTGGAATGGTTTGTCTAGACATTCTTTAATGAATAATTCCCAATTTTCTGGTTTAATTTTATGTTTTTCAGCCTATTTCCACAAAACTGAGACTGGAATTTTTTAAGCAGGATTGGATTGTGGGTAATTTAGTTTAAGATTTAGAACCTTTGAATAGAAGCATCTTTGAGCAAATGTTTTTGGGTTGGATTGTTCATCAATGCTTTCTGCATATTATTCGCTAATGTGTGTTAGGATCTCACTTTTTTGTTGTTGTTGCGTTAATCCATATTGAGAGATGGGGCTATTCTATGAAAATTTGGTGATGTAAGTCATTCTGGGATCAGGGGATTGGCATTGATTGAGTTTATTAAAGCGATTGAATTTATCAGATGACTCTAACTTATTTTGAATTAAATTTTATAAGTTGTTATTACTAGTCGTTTGAGTTGAGCCTGTTGAATTTTTGGAATTTTTTGAGATGAAAGTAGTGTTTTGTTGAGGATAGAAGTTCTATTGTGATGATGTAGGTCTCATGGCCTTGAGGTTTAATTGATTTTGAATGATACTCATCCTTTATAGAACGAGGGAATGTAATCTTTCAATATATAAAGATTAATTTATAGATTGACTTGGTTCTTAACTCAGGTTAAGTAATTCTTTTTCGAATTCTTTCAAAGAGGCTTCTTCCACACATCCGATTGTAGTGATTTAAGAAACCAATTCGCAAATACGACATAATCTTTGAGTGTGTTTGTAACTCTTGTTCTATAAATTGGCTTTCAATTTGCTGAGTTTGAAATCATTCTCCTCAAAGAATACAGTTGATTGGGAATATTTGAGTACTTTGTTCGAAACTTGAGTGCAAATTTAGGCATGCAAATCAATTTTATCGAAGGGTATGAATTCTTCACAATTAATGCAAGGAGCCAAAATAGTGCTTTTTTCTTTGGTTCTGGTTGGAACTGTAGAACTTTTGTTGGTTCGAAACATCTATAAAAATAATAATGAATTAAATTGAATTAAATAAAACTAAAGTTTGAGATGAACTCATTACAATTCCCAAAGAGTCATATCCAAGTGATAATGAGTGTGTGCATACACTATATCTTAAAAATAACTAATTTATAATCACACTTTCTTATTCTTCATAACATATTTATTAGAATATAATTTAATATGGACTAAGATGATTAAGACTCATTATTGGAAGTCTCTGAATCAGACCGATAAACTAACCTATTGCTCTCCAACAACTTGACGGACATCTTTTGTTCCGATTATTATAGTCGATTCAAAAACAGCACCAACATCAATGAGCCTTCTATGACAATGTCTAGAGTTTCATAATTAGATAAAATTTCAGAAGACAATTCCAATACAACTCATATTAAAATCATACACATCACTGAGAGGTTGAGTTCAGAAATCCAGAGAAATCAAGTACTCCTTATTTATTATTAAGCTGTTAGAAAATAAATTATCTGCATAAGAAACTAGAATTAAAGAATTGCAAGACTAATTACAGGCAAAAGACTCCCAACTAAAAGACGCCCTTCAGTTAAATCTAAAATTATAAACTCAAATCAACAAAGAGCAGGATAAGGTAAGACAATACATTAAGTCAAACAAAGAACTCAGATTTATTATCAAGTATCACTCTAATTAATCTAGCTCCTTATAAAACCCCACAAGCATTTCAGATCTGAGAACCGAAACCTTATAATCCACTTTAGAGTGCCCTTCAGTTAGACCCATCTCTCAAAACAGAGGGAAGAGAGCACAGAACAACTCTCACTCCTATTCTTCATCCAAAGCTGTCTTTACTAAAATGCTCACTGAAGACTCCTAATAGAATTTGAGCGACAAAATCAAAGAAGCTCTCTCCTTTTTAAATTAAAGAGTTGACTATCAAAATAGAGATCCCAAAAACACTGATAAATCAAAATATTATAGATCCCAATCCAATTTTTGGTCGAGTGTAACTACCTCTCCTAATCCAGGGAGAAGCAATCACACCTAGAATAACATAAGCTTGAATAAAATACAAAATACTGATAAAAAATTAGACAATACTCTTATATTACTAAAAGCGATAAGATAATAGTGTAATCAAAATACAACTACAAAAAAAGGATAATGAAACTAAAACTTTAATAATTAACATTAAACTTTATGTAAAATATACGTTATTTATTTTGATTAACTTATTAAAAAGGGGACTTAATTACAATACTATTCAAATCAGTTCTACTACTACTTTGGGTTCTTAAAATATACATACTTCATTTGTATGAATTATAAATTTTAATGTATAACTGAATTAAATTAATTATTAAATGTCAAATTATACTAATGTTCCTTAACATAACTTTTTGAACAAACAATACTCACGTCTATCACCTAATTCTACAGAATGGGCTCGCATTGAATATTTATTGCAATTGTCATCTGGTTACACATCAGCAACAGTCAAAAATATTTGGACTATTACGAATCCTCACATGACATAAACCTTTGAAAAAGCAAGCAAAGTATGTATTTGGATATCACTAATTAGGGATTGCTAACATTGGATTCTTGGTTGGAGATTTCATTGTTAGACGAAAATAATAGGATGGAAAAAGTTTGTACCAAAGGATTCGAATTTCCATAGACTGGACTTCGTTTTCCAACTGGACACATTAAACTATAGGATAACATACAGCCTGGTAGAGTTTATGAGTTATTGCTATTAAAGATTGCAGGTAACTACTAAATATATTATGGTTTTAGTTGGTAAATCCTATTGTCTTCCAGATAAAACATCGATGAAGGACAAATATAAATTAATTTAAGGATTCGATAGCATTTACTTATATAATGAGGACGAAGATTCTATGACAGGCACATTTAAACATGACTATGTATTGTTCGATAATGGAAGAGTATTGCCATGTTATGTTGTATAATTCGAGTTTGATTAGAAAAAGGAAGACAATTTGAATGTAAGTTTGAGTGTTGAAATAGTCTCCTTTTTGTGATATTTGTAATGACAATACAGCAACCATATATTGTAAAGCAGATGATATGAATTTATGTTATGATTGTGATGAGGAACATCATCTAAAAGGGGGCAAGTTGGTATCAAAGCATCAGAGAATCCCTATAAATGAAGTAAGACTTTATGACATATAAATAAGAAACCAAAAACATTCGGTAATTGTTAATAACATCCTGACTAAAAGTTGGAATTATTTTGCACAATTGATAGAACTCCACTTTGTTTATATTGTAAAATAGGTGGATCTCATTCTTCAGGGGAGAGTGCAAATCATCCTCTGGTGAAGATCTCAGATGCATATATGAAATCGTTAGTAGAATCCAAAGACATTGATCCATTAATAGAGAAACGAAAGAATCAATTGGCAGAATATCTATAACAAATTGATTATAGCATCAAGGAAGTCAACAAAAATGCTTCAATCATTGAAGGCAGGATTTATTAAGTGTTGTAAGAAGCTCTGCTGTAATTGCAGGAAGAAACCTAGAAGAAAATGAGTTATTTGGTTGGTGATCAATTGGAATTGAAGAGACAATACGATCAAATATAATGGCTCGAATCGTTTCTTAAGTATTAGTAAGAAGTGTTGACACCTGCTGATTATCTAAATGCTTGGTCAAGACACATAGGACTTCGGAATGAAATACTCAATATTTCTAATGTTCCATAATTAACAATCGTGGAACCTGATTTGCGACTAGAAGGCAAGTTAAGTGTAGTAAGCGATTCAGTTTAATTTAAAGATACCAAAGAATAACAAGATGAATAAGACTTTATTGATTAGTAAGTTAGTTGATTAATTTTAGAAATTCACTCATTGGCACAACAAGATTTAGATCAAATATTTTTGGCAAACATTAGGTAAGTGATAAGAATCAGAGATTAATGAAGACGATAATTCAGCAGAATGTGTAGAAGGAGAGTTAGGGGTAAGAATCGGATTGATATGTAGACCTCAATTATTGTTATTGCAATAAAAGCAGAAGTTACAGCAATAGGCTCAAGCATCAAGGGTTTTCCAATAGTTATAAAATGACACTATTTAAGAGAGCTAAATTAATGATTCCTAAAATAGCTCCTTTGCACAATGATATAGTTACATACTTGTTTATATAATAAATCAGAACATTACAATTAAGATACTTATGTTATCTCTTGAGCCATTCTTCAGAGCAAACTGCAACAGCTCTTTTGTCATTTCATCAGAGTTCTTTAATCCTCTTGTTATGTCAACTGCTTTCTATAAGAAATTACTCTTAAGAGATTACCTAATCGTCAACTACGTCCCAAAGTCCATCTGAAGCCATAATTAAATATTTGCATTAAGGTGTAATTTCCTACACTTTAAGGTCGGGTTTAACTGATACACCAACTGTTTTTAAATCAAGATCTCCGAATGCTCTAGTGACCGCTAATTGGCCCATCACTCTACCTCTCACAATTGTGCCTCCTTCCCGCCTTTAGTAAGCATAATTACATCATTTAAATTACTTAACTCTAGCTTATTCCTCGGGATCAATGCCTTTGTGATCGACTGTCATTCTGACTGCTTTACCATCTATATTCATCACTGCTCTGGTATCACCCAAATTTGCAATGTAACATTTTCTTTTATTATCCTCCTTCCTCAATAGAGTTAAGCAACAAGTGGCTCCTATTTCTGCAGCACCAACTAATTTTAGCTAATCGTCCACCTTTTTGAATATCTGTTCAAAATATTCATTCGGTTTCAAAGTATTAAATTGCTTGAAATCCCTCAGAAAGGTCTTTATTTATATTTAAATTTAGCTACTTCAGGCAGAATTTTAGTGATGTACTCAACCACATCAATGCCTCCATGACCATCAAATACAGCAAATAGACAAGCAGTACCATCCTCAAAACAATTATCTTTATAATAATGGGCTGATCTTATTTAGAGTATTGTATACAATCTTCCATTTGATTACGAATAGGAAAGTTGGTGTCCTCTCTATAAGCGTATTCTGAACAGCAAGCCAGTTTCTGCAAAAATTCAGACTTTACTTTACTATTCATCATTATTTGATAAATTAAATACTGCACTTTAATCCCATAAAATGAATTAAAAAAAGTATGACTAATTATTAAGTATTATTGTGCATTAATATCGTGATGATTAGAACCGTGTTTCACATGATCTTAATGATTTCAATTGTTTTACTGATATTAATATTAATAATATTAAGTTGATGATAAAAATTAACACCATCTTTCGAATGAAAGCAATGATTTTAAATTCGTTACTGAAAATATCTTTTTAGGAAATAAGTATTTCATCAAATATCAACATTACCCTATAATCATTAGTATTTCTCAATTGTAACTACCTGATCAGCTGGTACATTAACCATCTTATTGTTTGGAGAGTTAAAATTTTAATTATTATGATATTAATCAAATAATCTTTATTTTTTATCATTTTTATTTAAAATACCATCTCAAATCCCAACTTTAAAATATTTTTTCATTTTTAATAAAAATTTTATCTTGTTCATGACGATAAAATATTTTGAAATATTGTTCATCTTATTATAGGCGGTGTAAGCAATCTGAATATATTAAGAAAAGTACAAAGTTAATGCTAATTTTTATCATTTACGCCACTTATTAATCCATCAGATCCTTAATTGGAATAAGACCAAGCCTTGTAGACAGAAGTAGTTCAAGGACAAATGAACGTAGGATTAGGACTTTGGGTGAAATATCAACCCTTTATTGAAATGAAAGATCTGAGTACATTTCACAATTTTTAATATTAGCCGACCGGACTTCATAGATAGTTACCACATCAGTAGGACAGATTATTGTTCAAGGAGGGTAGTTTATTTATTCAATGGAATAAAGTGTCAACAAATTTAAAATGCTTGTGGTATCAATTAAAATTGATTCAACTGCTTAGACTATATAGCATAATGTATTTTACTCATTTAAATCATCCTTAAATACTCTCTCTTTTAACTTTGACAGTTCAATCTACGAAGGTCTGTGGGTGATGTTCTATGTCTATTATGATTAGATTTTAGGTAAATCCACATTTGGATATTACACGACTTTAGAAAACATACCCTCATAAACTGTTGATGACTTGCCACCATTTGTAGCAAGCATAAAACATAAAATCGGTGGTTTTTATCAATATACAAATTAAAATGGAGCAATTGTAGTTCTAAATCAATTCACTGGTTTAATGTCTACCATCTTTACAACACACGAAGAAAATATCTTCTCAAACCTTGATTCCTGCCAAAATTTCATTGAATATGATACTTGCTATTCTAGTTAATACATGGTAAGTTATAAAAATTAAGCCATGAATGGCGATGATATGATACGAACAAACACATTTTCATCTAGAAATCCAATCTATGTATTGAAAGGATGGATTATTCTGGAGTAATTAAGTTAAGCAGAATAAAAAACTGTGATATTTAGAATAACAATCAACAAAGATTATAGTGATGATATGTACATCGGAGACAGAGAAGTTCTTCTTGAGTATTTTTAGAGTAGTTTACCCCTTGAAAATGGACTTGAAATTTCAACATATTCTTATGAATTTCCATTAAAGGGAAGGTATAAGACATAAGAAGATAATAAAATTTCAAAATTTGGAGATGAATTTTCAGAATTATTTATAAAATGGCATTATTTCTAATATGAAGTTGGAACCTAAAATAATGATGGAAAACCTATGCTCTCCTTATATTTTCCTACAATCTCGTAGCTTCAACAATACAAATGGCCTCAACCTGTTAATCATTTTACAGGAGTTGTCTATTATGTATCTGTCGGAGGAGATGACTATTCTCAACGATTTATGAAAGGATATGTAAGTGATATCTTATTAGAAACATTCTGTCAACCAGTTGAAGCATTACTAGTTCCATCATGTCATTACACTTGCTTAACATGTGATGGTCCCACATAGTATAATTGTTTAAGTTGTCCTGATGATAGTTTTAGATAGCATTAAGAAACTGAAAAGACTTGTTTTTGTTAATAGAGATATGTTGATTAGGATGGTTAATATGAATGCAAATCAATTGTATAGGCATTTCCCCAAATTGTTAAACAAGAAGTTGAATTATAATGCTCAAAATTAGGATATGTTAATTGTGCTAATGATAATATTGAATGCAGCTTTGGATATTTTTAAATAGATTAGAATTGTATTTAATGGTAATAGATTTGTATATTTTAGTCCAAATCATTTTGATGTTCTTACAAGAACAAAACTAACTTGTTTTGATTGTATAATTGAACCCAAGAAATTCGCAAAAACACTCAAATGTACTCAAGATGCTGAGACTTATCACTCTCAAGTTGAATATACATATTCTGTTTCTATAAGAAAACCTAATGATGTTAGTTATTTTGATCTTTCAAAAGATGGTAACGAAAACTATTCACTTAAGTTATGCTAAGGATGTTTAGGGAAAGGTAGTTGTAAAGAAGGGTATTTTTATGAAGATAATGAATGTTAGGAATGCTTGGATGGCTGTTTAACTTGTATTACTAATTTTAGATGCAATAAATGTTTTCCGGGTTTTTATTTAGACTATGAACATTTATGTCAGAAGTGCACTAATTGTAAAACTTGTTTATTAAACAATGGAATTCAATGGTGTGAAACTTGTTATGGAACACAAGAATTATTGTATGGTAAATGTGTATCTTGTGGCGTTAATTGTCAGAGTTGTAATTCAGATGGGTATTGTTACTATTGTTAGGGATCTCCCTCTTTACAGTATATCTCTTTTGATGGCAAAAATTGTGAAGAATGTAATATCGAAAATTGCATTTATTGTTTTCAATATATGATGAATGGGGGAATCTACATTTCTAATTTGGATCTATAATTCAATATCATAAATTTAGACTTTAAGTAAGTCTTTTTTGGTTGTGCTTTATGTAAATAAAACTATTTCTTTAATTAAAGTACTTAGAAATGCGAATTGAAACCAGTTAACGATGACTGTGATTTTGCATTAATTTTAAGTGATTCAACTCAAAAGTGTATAATCAGTTCAAATAATATTGATTCTGTCTAAAACATTGATTGTCCTACTCTCCTTAATTGTAAATAATGCATAAAAAATTACATTGAAACTGATAGTTTCTGCATTATATGTGAAGATGGCTACTATTCTGGTGTATTGACAGGCTAATGTTAACAATGTTTACACAACTGTAAGACATGTATTCAACAAAATAAATAATATCGAGATTTCTGGAAATGGTCAATTAAGGCTTTTTATAGATACTTTCTGAACTCGGATAACGATCATGCTTTTGAAATCTATGCTTCAACAAATGCTGAAGCTGATTTAGAATTGATTTGCACTTCATGTTAAATAGGGTATGTCATGTATGAAAATCAATGCATAAAGAGTTGTGATGAAAACTGTAAAGAATGTGAAATAATAGATGGAAAATCTACTTGTATTTAATGTTATGAAACTTCATCAGGATTTCTCAAAAGTTTGAATGCTTAAGGAACTTGCTTAACATGTCCATCTAATTGTTTAGCTTGTTTAAATAGAACCTCCGATGAAATTGCTGATGTCAATCCATATTTTATATTAACTAATTCAAATGTTTAACTAACAAGAAAATGCTACGAGAAGTCAAATAAGATTAATTTATTAGAAAATTACTTTTATGATTCTTTCACATAGACAATATCAGTTTGCACAGACAATTTATAGTGCTATAATAAAATAATAATTAAATAGAATATCTACTGTGATTTTGATGAGTTTTTTATCAAATAGTATGAATCAAGCGATGAATTTTTTGGATCAAAGAATATATATATACAACAATTTTTTGATGATTCATACTTGATTTCAAAAGAAACAGCTTCACTTTATTAATATTTAAATGAGATCTCTGTTAGAAATGTTGAATATTAATTTACATTTATTTAGGGTAATTAACCAAATTGTGTATTTATAGATGTACTTCAAATTCGCTCAACTTTATAATAAAATGTATTTGCTATTTAATAAGTTGATCTCGCGTTAATCGGATAAACAAACCCTACACAAATGTATGTTCCAGTAGAATTCAAAATTAGTAATTACACTACTGTGACTTTTCAAAATCTCGTGTTTAACTGCGCATAAAAGCAAGATTCCCAATATACTTAATCTATTCTATCTTTATTTAATTTAAAACTAACCTTAACCTTAAAATTGATAAACTGTGGTTTTATTACTTAGAATGAGACTGATAAAAATTATTCTTTCGCAATCAATTCAAATATTCCTTATTCCTTGTATATTAAAAACCTAATGATATCTAACTTTTACATTTACAATTCTGATATTTTCCAATTCATAGCTCAATAAAACATTCTAAAGAATGTAATTGAAATAGATAATGTGATTATTGAAAATTCCTATTTTTTCAATTCGACTTTGATAAAATTTTTAGCTTAGCTCAACCATTTGTCTTTAAATTCTGTAATAAGTCAAATTTAAATTAAAAACACTAAATTTATTGAATCAAATTTTATATATAGTAGTAGTTTATTGAATTATACAATTGGATTATTAGATATTAATTCTATCACAGTTGATAATACTGAGTTTTCATGGAATTCTAACTTTCTATTACTTTCTTGTGCTGATTAGTCCGCAATATCAAATGTAATCTTAAATAACTCATTACTAAGCCTTGGTTCAAGTTTTTATTCCTCAAATATAATAAATATTCATGACATCATCGTCAATAATACAAGTATTATGAATAGTATTTTAATTTCAAATAAAGTGGATTATACTAAATCCAATTAAGCATTATTAGCATCCTCCAATGTATTCCTAAAGAAATTTCAAATTTTAAATGTTTTATATGATAAGTAATAACAAATTTTGGTTATCGCCAAATACGATGAAATAAGTAGTTTAAAATTCACATTAATGGAATTCCTCTTATAAAATTGTTAAACAGTATCCAAAACCTAAATTTAGTAGATTTCTTACGAAAATTCAATGATTTATATTGAATGCTAAATTTGTCTCTTAGAAAATATTTAAATCATTAGAGGATATGGATTACCAGAAATGACTTTAATCAATTCAGAAAAATTGGAAATGAGAAATTTGATTATTTCACAAAATTCAAAATTCCTATCAAAAGTCCTACATTCCTCATTTGAATGTGTGAAATAATTTGCTATTTTACATATGCATTTTTTCATCTATATCGGATAATATAAGGATGTATTTATTGATTAAGTTAATGTTCTAAATAGCTTAAGTTTCAACAGCCCATTCATAATTTTTAAAGGATATGATACTCTGTAAAAGCTTCTAAGTGAAACGATTGTTATTTAAAATATCAATCTTATTTAGAATGTTCTTATTATTTCTGATACAAATCAGCATACATCCTTGATCTCTATAGAGTCAGAATAAAAATCAAAGGTCACTTTATCTATTGCATATTTTGCATTCAATCATTTAAATGAATATGTTCAAGATTTAACTATCGTTTCAGCTGCAACCATTTATATTTCCTTGTAACAAGGCAGTGTATTAATGAATGAATGCAAATTTATCTAAAACATTGTTACTAATTCTACTGATACAATCCTCTATATTAAATCTTCTTTTTTGTAATTACAGAATTCTTACTTTTAAAATAATGGTTTAATAAATTTATCTAAAATTAGTAAGCATATACTATTTTCATAATCTTAAGATTAAAATGAAATTGATTATGCTTCCATATTCTAAGTTAAATCTAATGGAGGGAATGGGTTATTTATAATCCAAACCTTGAGTATAGATAACATTACTATTAATGCATCCTACTCATATAATGGAGGAGGATTTTCTATTATAACTCAAGCAGTAAGTGTAATAAGTATTGCTAATTCATTTTTTTACAATACAATGTCTTCTTTAGATGACTCAGTGTATGCGTTAGGTGGATGCTTATATATTGATGCATCTTCCTCACAACTCAATTTTCAACTGCATGATTCTATTATAGATACATCCTATAGTAGACATGATGGAGGAGCTATTTATATTACTCCATCACTCAGTTATAATTTGATTACGATTTTTAATTTGATAGTAAGAGAATGTTTTTCGCTGTAAAATACATTTTTCTCATACACTCTTTCTAAGATAGAAACAATTAAATCGAATGTTATTTTTAAGAATATACAATTCTAAACAACTGAAAATGGTTTCCAAAAATATTTTTCTTTAATCTAAGATTTGTCGGAAGACGATGCTTCAAATGTTGCTCATTCTAATCCTATGATATTCGTGCAATATGGAAATTTCAGCATATATAACTGTAGCTTTCTTTCTACTGTTATTTAATTCTTAATTAAAATTGAATAGGCTGAAAATATTATTTTATCTAATGTAAAAGTAATTAATAGCACTGTTTTGCAGTCACCATTATTCAAATTGAATTTAAGAACATGTAATTAATCAATTATAATATTAATTAGAAATCTCCGGCTAGTTATAAATATCTAATCTATAATTAACTAATGTCATAGAAAGAACAAAGATTTATACCGATTCTTGCATTAAATCTAACTCTGCTTTTCACTCTGAATTGTAATGTCCTACTTATGTATCTTAAGTTGCTTTAAATTTGAATGAAAATGATTTCACAAAATAAAAAGAAGTGCAATTTCTTTGTAATCAACTTTTAATATACTCTAATAAGCAATTTAATTACAGTTTGATTGAAATAGATAACTTTAATTAAACTCATTCATTAAAAGTTGAAAAAATGGAATTAACAAATATTGTATGTGAAAACTGTTAATTTGGTATATTTAGAATTCTTGAAATTTACTAACAAAACAAAGAAACTATGAAGTTATCTTAAATTAATATTAAAAATTGTAGATGCGGAAATACTGGCTGCTTATCAATTGTAAAAAGTTTGAATGAATTCATCCTTAAAAAAAATTTAATAGGACCTACAAGAATTCTTTAGCAACATGATTATGATAACCTTCATTTTAAGTTAAATCAACAAATTAATATTGTGGATAGCTCTTTTTTAAATAACACTGCATTTTATGGGGGATCAATTTTAATAGTAGAACTTGGTACCTTAATTAAGAAATGTACTTTTAAAAACAATTCAGCATAAATTGGAGGAGCCATTTACTATTCTTCATCAGAAAGTTAAATTTTCCTTCTTGAAACTTAAATAATTTAAAATAAAGCCAAAGTTGCAGGAGGAGTGTTCTTAAATTAATAATCCCTTCAATTGACAAAAGAATTAGATATTCAATTATTAAACAATAATTCTACCCTGTATGGTGAGGATGTTATTGAAAATCCGAGGTCCTTAACTCTTTCAATAGATGGAGGATAGACTCTATTATAAAAATCATTAGTTTCAGTAACTGACAACAGTATTACAGAATAAATAATCATTAAGCCTTATAAAGTTTTAGGCTATTCATAAAAAATGACTTATTTAACCCTCCCATCAGGTAGGACCATAGGTACATATAATTTCTTTGATCAATATACATCCACAATAATTCCATATAACTTAACTCTTAGGATAATAGCTTTAGATAAGTTTAACAAACAAAATAAAGGATTATCGAATTCTTATTGCACAATAGATCCTTTTGCCTTTAATACATCTTCTTAAAATGAAGAACCTAATGTTAATTATAATCTTTCTTTCTCTAACGTTACTTTTAATGAAACTTCTGGCGATTATAATTTAGACAATTTAGTAATCTATTTTATGCCAAACTTAACTAATAACCTTGTTCTTCGATTATCTATCTAATGTAGTTCAATAATTATACCTTAATATGATGATGAACCTCCATTTGAAATCATGAAAAATATTACAAATTATAGATTATTGGTGGATATAAAGACATTTAATTGTTAATTAGGTGAGTATTAGAATGGGACAACGGGTGGTTGTACTTTATGTGATACAGTATAGAATTAATATTAAGTGTAATGGAGTGCTTAGAGTTGTAGTTATAAAGATGATTAGAAAATGAAATCAATAGAATCTTCAATGATTGAATTAAGATCTGGATATTGGAGAGCCTATTATTATAGTTAAACTGTTGAATATTGTTATCATTTGCCATCTAATTGTGAAGGAGGATGGAAACCTGGTGATCAATCATGTATACAAGGACATATTGGAGCACTTTGTGAACAATGTGATCTCTATAATATCCAATCCTAAGGTTCCTACTCTGTTAGCTCCAAATATTCCTGTGGAAGCTGTGATCAAATTGCATTCAACATCATTAGTATTATTTTAATAAGTTTATGGACTCTTATTTCAACTTTGATGTCAGTCAGTAGTACAGTGGAAATGATTGATGAATTTGTTATTGGACTCAGACTGAAGGCTTTTGGAGTAACAGTTGCAATTAAGGAAGCTTCAACAGCTATACTGATAAAGGTGTTTACTAATTATTTATAAATTGTATCTACAATTTCCACATTTCAACTTTAAGTTCCAATTGGTTTGGCCTCTGTTGTTAATAGCGTTGGCAATCCAATTGAATCAATGGCATATTCTCTTGATTGTTTCCTTGTATCTATTACAGAAATATCAATCATTTATTTCAGAATCATTTGGGGATTAATTATGGCTACAATGTACATTACGATATTTTTTGGTTTAGGAGGTCTTGCAATTCTATTTAAGCATGTTAAGATTGATTTTTCATACATTTCTACTTCTCTAATTTATTTATTCATCTATTTGTAACCTAACATCATAGGAGGCCTTATTTCTCTATTATCCTATAGAAAAATTTCTGATGAATATTGGATATAAGGCAATGTTGCATACAGATATGATACAATATCTCATGCCAAATGGGTGATTGGCTTTTGTTTTCCCCTTTTGATAATATTTTGCTGTATCCTTCCCTTTTTCTTGTGGTTTGGAGTCCATAAAAATAAATACCAACTAGATATGACTAAGATAAGAAGGACTTGGGGATACTTGTATAATGAATACAAATTACATGCTTATTATTGGGAAACAATCAAAATATTATAAAAATAGGTAATTATTATTGTGCTTGCATACTATGATGATCACATTGCAATCAAGGCATCTTTAGTTTTTCTTGTATTATTTGGATATAGTTACTTGACAATTTCGAATAAACCTTATATGACTGGATAACTAAATCATCTAGACACTCATTCTATTGTGGTTTGTGCTGTTTCAATTATTTTGGCTAGTTCTATTTATACTGCTCAATAATAAAATTTATAAGAGATTGTTTGGCCCTTTTATATTATTATTGGCGTTCTAAATGGCTTGTACATTTTAAAAATGTTGTTACAAATATTATTTGCATATTTTAAAAAACTCCATGATAAAATTGATATTATTAAAGGCTTTATTTCCAAAAGATTTCCCAATTTTGCCAATTACCATCCATTTATAAAGTAGAGCCTAGAAAGCCGTTAAACATAATAAATAAGAATCAAAAGAAGGTATGGAAAGATCAGAGAATATATTTTCCCCTAGGCTAAAAAGATTTTAGAGTTCAAAAAGTAATATACGATATTATTCTATAAGGTTCAATAACTTTGAATTGCCCTGCGTGGTCGACATATATAAATTGATAGGAAAAGAGAAGGAAATCCAAGAATTTGATTATGGAGATATATAAAGTTTGAATAGTCCAAAATAGAGTGAAATAATTACTGAAAGATAAAACTTAAAAACGCTAGTAAAGTATCCTAACAATAATTTGAATGAGAGATCATCTGTTTTTTCATTTCCCAGACCAAGTGGAACAAGAATACATCCAGAATTAGATATGGAAGGAGAGAGTGCAAGATAAAGTGCTGATAGATAGATTATTTGATTAAAATTCATTAATATTTACAATTATACCAAACTTGAAAATGAAAATTCCAAATTATAATTAGACTTTGATAACCTACGAAAATAAATTATATAAGTCATTAAAGTATGAAAATCTCCTTCAAAAATCAACTTTGAGAATGATGGATACTTGATTTTAAGCTATCTTAATTCATATAATGAATTATTAACTCCGGGTAAACTTTAGAGGATTATGGCTTTTTAAATAAAGAATCAACATTAGAGTCTTTATCAGAATTACACTCCGGAGACAAGGGATTAATAGCACACAAATTAATGTCAATGTTTTTTTCCCTTTTCTTTTAATTTGCATCATCACCCAAATCTGATAATTGTGTATTTATTCTTCCAGGCAAATCTAAATTATTTTATCTAAAGATGAATTATTAAATAACATTACTTTTTATATTGGAGAATTAATTTTGCCTATGGTAATAAATGATTTTTTATTTTGTTAAATCTATCCTTAACTCTTGCTTTTTGTTTTTTTCTACTTTCAAATAGATCTTATATAAAAGGATGCCTTTTAATTAAATTTGGGAAATTGTTGATCATCAACTCCTTAACCTTATCAATTTGTTCATGCAATTTATCAAAATAAGCGAACAAGATTTTTATTAACATCTTAAATATAAAATATGCATTTAAAATAGTAATGATGATGTAAAAGGGCCATACTATTTCAACTAAATTAGATTTTTGGGCTGTATTTATAGAACTTCCTAAGATGATTGAAACTGCACACACTATTGTGGATTGAGTGTCTAAATAGTTCAATTCACCACTAATATATGGTTTTTATGATGTTGTCACAAAGCTGTATCCAAATAATACTAAAAATACAAGAGAAGCCTTGATTGCAATGTGATCATCATAGTATGCCAACACAATAATAATAAGTTCCTTTTACAATATCTTAATGGTTTCCCAATAGTAAGCATGTATTTTGTATTCATTGTACAAATACCCCCATTTTTAACGAACTAATGTCTTATTCAATTAGCCTCTGTTATTCCTCACTCCATAAAAAAAAAATACTGGTATAACAAAACTAAATAAAAGCAAGAGAGGAAAACAAAATGATATCAACCATTTGGCATGCGAATATGTATCATATCTATAAGAAACATTACCCTGAATCCAATATTCGTCAGAAATGATTCTATAGGAAACGAGAGATATCAAGCCACCAATCAAATTAGGTTATAAATATATAAACACGTATATTAAGGCAGTTGAAACGAAAGCTGTATTATATTTTATAGATTTTGCTAATATTTAAACGCCCTGAATGATAAAAAATGCCAATATATATGAGGTAGCCAAAAGCAGACTCCAAATAATTCTAAAGTAAATAATTTCTATGTCTGTGATTCTTATAAGGAAACAGTCTAAAGAATAAGCCATTGATTCGATTGGGTTTCCTACACTATTAACAACTGAGGCTAGCCCAGAGGGTACCTCCAGCTAAAATGTTGCAATAGTAGAAATGATTTGTAAATAATTTGTGAATGCTTTAATAAAAATAGCAGTTGAAGCTGGTTTAATTAACACTGTAAACCCAAAGGCTTTTAATCTTAAACCTGCGATAAATTCTTCAATCATCTCAACAGTACTGTTTACTGACATCAGTATGGAGATGAGAGTCCATACGCTGATAAAAAAGATAGTTAAAACATTCCCTATTATTTGATCACAGCTTCCACAGGAATATTTGGAGCTAACAGAGTAGGAACCTTAGGATTGGATATTATAGAGATCACATTGTTCACAAAGTGCTCCAATATGTCCTTGTATACATGATTGATCACCAGGTTTCCATCCTCCTTCACAATTAGATGGCAAATGATAACAATATTCAACAGTTTAACTATAATAATAGGCTCTCCAATATCCAGATCTTAATTCAATCATTGAAGATTCTATTGATTTCATTTTCTAATCATCTTTATAACTACAACTCTAAGCACTCCATTACACTTAATATTAATTCTATACTGTATCACATAAAGTACAACCACCCGTTGTCCCATTCTAATACTCACCTAATTAACAATTAAATGTCTTTATATCCACCAATAATCTATAATTTGTGATTGTATTATTTATAGAGTAAGGAGGAGTGGATTAATATTAAGGTATTGAGATGATATTGCAAAATATTGATAATTACATAATAATTTCTGGTTCATAAGTGGGATTAAAGTAGATAATCAGATCATCTAGATTAAAGTCACCAGAAGTCTAGTTAAATTTTACAGTAGTGTATGATAAACTTCCGATTAATCCTGAGAGTGTTTCTTTGCTAGTAGAATTAATAATGCTTGGAGAAATAGTACAAGTGGATCCTTCTAATTCTTTTTCTTAAGTGTTGTATTTGTTAAGGGCTATGATTCTAAAAGTAAGATTGTAAGGAATATAAGAAGATGTGTATTGATCAAAATATTCATACGTTCCTATGGCTCTTCCTGATGGAAACATAATGAATTTCGATTTTTCAGCATACCCTAAAATCTTATAAGGCGTAATGACAATTTATTCAACTATTGATGTCGAAGTTTTTGATATCTGTTTTTTTGTTAGAAATGTTTTTCCTGCATCTAAAGATATTGTTAAGGATCTGGGATTTTCAAAAACATCAGATCCAAATAAAGTTGAATTATTATTGGATAAGTAAACATCAAGTTAGGTTGTAGTTTGCAATGACTATGAATTTAAGTATAATCCACCAGCTATTTTGGCTTTATTCTCAAGGATTTAGGTTTCAAAAATGTATAATTAAGTCTACTTTGAGAAATAATAAATAGCACCTCCTACACTGGCTGAATTATTTTTAAAATAACAGCCATGCAATATTGAGGATATTTCTACTATAAAGATGGATCCTCCATAAATAGCATTATTGTTAATAAATAAAGAATTTAATATTCTTGCTTAGTAAATTAAATTGTAAGTTAAGTTAAAGTAATCGTGTTGCTAGAGTACTCTTGAATTAAGAGAAGAGGATAATAAATCCTTTCTTAATATTGAATCACTTTCATATTACAGTAATGATAAGCATCCTGTTTAACCGCAATTACTGTCTCTAATCTTGATATTTGAAAATAGGATATTTTCTATATCTAACTTTTCTATGTCTTTAATTCTAATAATTCCATATTAGCAATCAGAACACTTTATAGAATCAAATGTAATGTCTTCTGCTTAGAAATTATGACTTGCTTTTAGTTCATCTATTTCTATAAGACTGAATTTGTAAGAGACATTTTAATATATAAGGTACTGATTGCATTCCATTGTTATTTACTAAACTGAAGTTGTGTCATAATCAGATAATTTTTTATTTTAGGTAGTGGCTATTAAGGGACAAACAAAAGATCTTGTAGCAATTAAGCTTGTTACTAAACAAGGATTATCAACGATTTAGATTTTCTAAATCACATTTTGCACTGTTAAATTTTTGATCATCAGATTACTGCTGTATTCTAAATTGAATAATGTAATATTTACATGATCTGAGACTCATTTTGAGAAGCGGGGAATATAACACTGTGGAATTAATGATCTCGAGATTCTGTAAAGTAATATTAGTGGCAGACTCTATGTCCAAGAAATACGAAAATTGGGGAGATTAAAAACTACAATTGCTTATGCTTATGCTTGCATATTTAATAGATATTAAAGCATTACTATTACGGATAGAATCAAGCTCTGTGGTTGTTGGGGATATCAAAAGTGAAATAAAAGTATTAAATCCCTTTTCAGTATTCTCAAAAATTACACCACTCATATAAATCTAAGATTTTATATTATCCAAACTGGAGGGTTTAAACGATAGAAATGAACTTTTTACGGAGTAACAATCTACTACATTTAAATTCGTCATTTAAATATTATTCTCCTATTATGATGGTATAATATATATGCCTCCTCCTTCTATTCTACTAATGGATGTGTCAAAAGTAGTTGATGATATAGTTAATTCTAATTTTGATAATTGTGCATCAATATAAATGCAACCTCCAGCTGAAAAAGAAGAACTATGCATTAATGTTTGAGTATTTAAAAATTTAGAATTTTTTATTGCAATCTTGCTAATTCCTTGAGTATTAATATAGAATCCTCCACCATAGTTTGAAAAGGATTATTCCACTCTCACCTTATCTAAAGTAAGATACGTTGCAATTAATAATCCATTTCCACTTTTAGAATTTATCGGAAAAGCATTCGTTAAGGTTTTTCCATCAATATCACCTTGATCATCATTAGGTAACAAAATATTCTAGCCAATAATAGAGAGTTATAATATGTTATTTTTTTGAAATTTCGTATTTGTAATTACTACACTTATGGCTTTTAAGTATAAAATAGAATCTGTTGTATTAGTAACTAGATTTTGCTTAAAAAAAGAATTTTCAAGATAAAAGTTACCTTATTGCAATTGAATAAGCAGTGTTGAAGCTGATTATCTTGATAAATCTTGGAAGTATTGATTTAGATGATTATAATAGAACTTAACATTGCTAAATGTTACAGTAGTGGATTGTTCTGAGAGAATTGATATGATAGAAGTCGCACGATTGGCCTTTGTAATAATAAGCATATTAGAATCAAAAATGGAATCTACAACATTAATCTGTTCATTTTCTATTTTTTCCATTAGGTCATATCCTTTTATAATGATAAAAGGATTGTTATATGTGATACTATTGCTCAATTATAAATTCTTAATTGTGATATTCCTGTAGAATCCAATATATAGAAAATGAAACATCTGGGAATAAGCAAAGTTATTAACACACTCATATGATTAATGCAAAGTTTTAGAATAATAAGCAGAGGATTGAGAGAGATACAAATTCTTAATAGTCAGGTTTTGTGAGCGCACTATTGTGATCTCAGGGAGTCCGTATCCTCTTTAAATATAAACTGAATTCAATTTGCATTACTAACACTCTATATAAATATTTGATTGCTCGTATGAAATATAATTTGGTATAGAATTAATTAGTGATAAACTATTGTTGAGTGTAAATGAATCAATGCTTACGGTCTGAGTATCAATCTTTTCATATGAAACAAGCTTTAAAATTGATTATGCATTGCTGTATTGAAGGTTTTCTATTTTACAATTTGACAAAGAAATTTTTGCAGAATTAAGTAATGAATCATCCGAAATTGCGTAATCCACATTATTAGTGATTAGTGTACTATCCTAAATGATAGCGTTCTTAACAGAAAAGTCTGAAATCTAAATGATATTAGAATAATAAAAATAAGAATTATTCCTAATAAATAAATCTTAAATAGTAACTGTTTTGGTGATAAAAGATGCAGCTCCTTAGACTGAAAAAATAGTTGATTTCCCATTTAAAATAACAAAAATCAAATTCAAAGTATCAACAGTAATTGATCCAATATCATATTAAAGTTAGGTCTCTGTATGTATAAAATTAGATTAATCAAATCGAGTATCAGAAATTGACACTTCATTCAACTAAAGATTTACGTAGAGATTGTTGGTCTTGGCTAGAAAATTAAGGATATTTGAGTTTTTAAAATATGATGTTACAATTTATAGTTTCGATATTATCGCTTATTGTTCCCAGCCTGAAGAAACTTAATATTAAAATATAGATGAATCCTAAACTTTAAAGTCTCTCATGATAAGATTATCAATAGTTAATGAGTATGCTGAATCTGAAATGAATTAAAATTATTTCAATTATTCAGTTGAATTAGTTGTAGTAAATACACAATCTTTAATTATTAAACTCAATTTCAATTAAATATTCTACAAATAAATAAAAGATAATTTAGATTCAGCGTTAATTTGAATTGCAGTTTGAAATTAAATATTTTCAAATGAGACAGATGCAAAATTACTTATTGATAGAGTTTTATCTATTATTAAAGTAGTAGGATATTAATCACCAATAAGCTTTAAATTGACTTACTAAATGGAAAACACATTCTCCTAAATTTTATTTTATAATTTAGACTCAGACTATATAAAACAAGATGGTGCATTTCCTTAAATGAATTTAAATTAAAATTCTACTTCTCTTATTACTTTTTCATTGAAATAAGTATATAAGCTTGAGGTTTCGACAACCTTCAAATAGCCAGTCGTAAGAAGTTCATCAATATATATATTATTTTACAGGAAAACCTGCTAATCTGTACTCTACTATAAGTCTTAATTGTATTAACTCTATTGACAATAGACATTTTATTTGAGAATAGCTCTATGATAGCATTTGCCATATTTTTCACAAAATGATATAGTTTATATAGTTTAATCATTGTAATATTGCCCTTCAATTGAATCATATTCAAATCTTTCATAGCAAATTCTTGTATATTTAATATTAGTCTGCGATGTAACGAAGAAGGGATTAATACTTTGAATTTCTTCTGTTGATCTTTCTAAACAAGCAGCACAATTGTTTGGGCAAGTAAGACATATCCCTTTAGCGTTTTAGCTCTTTAAGAATCCATAGGGAGTTTCCAAACATTATGTGCATGTAGAAACCCCATTGATTATGTCACAATCAGTGCAATCTTCATTACAATCCTTAATGCAAGTAAAATCATTAAGAACATAACCTTTAGGACACGATGTACAGATTAATTCAAAATCTGACTCAGAAGTCAATGTAGCATATTATTCAAAGGGATGAGAGTCATCTGAATTCAAAACATATTTGTAGTAAGCCTTAATTCCCCATTTCCAATAATCTTGATAATCTTTATTTTATTGAATACAGGTTTAACAAGAGGAATCACATTGATTGCATTTTCCAGTTAAAATGCTTGAATAATATCCATCCGCACATACTATGCAAAATGTGTTAGCCTGGAGATAATCAGAAATGCACTGTTAGCAATTTGAGATTGTTGAACAATAAGTAATTTAAGTTGAAGTAATACTTGTTGAACTGATTAAACAATAAGTTGTGCCATGAGAATCTAGAATTAGACCAAAAGAGCATGAATCAGTGTCTACTACAATATCTTTGCCGTTCTAATCACCAGGGGGAACAGGATCAATACCATTAGAACCACTTCCAGAGCCTTAAGGCGCTGCTTCACATTGTAAAGTAATCTAATTGAAGTAAAAGTTTGTTTGACAGAGTGCACAACCAATAAATAACTAGGATTCAGCCATGTCAACAACAGATGCAGTTATATCAAGTTTAGTATAAGTTACTCCCTATTTTATAAAATAATGATAACAGATTTAACAATTAGCAATAGTGCATATTTCACAATTCTTACCATCGAATGACAAGAAATATAAAGTTGGATTATCACAATAATTACAAATACCTTGTGAGTTACAACTAGCACAATATTATCCACAAGATTAACATTATCCTTATGATGTTAAATATGTTCCAGTTTTACAAGTGGTACAATACACTATTTGATTAGAGAACGTACAACTAGAGCAACCTACACATTCCTAGCATAGATAATCATCCGTCAAAGCATAATTAGAAAAACATTTCTAACAAATCCCTTTATTCACACAAGTTTCGCAACCATTTAAACAAGCACTGCATTATTATTTCGAATCCAAATAAAATCCCTTTTTACATGTGCCAGCTTTTAAAAACCCATATTATAAAGTCAACTCATACTGACCATCTAAATTTAGATTCGCAGTGTAAAATTCAATTTCCCTATTCTCTCTTTCAGTAGTGAAGTATGCATTTTCATCATCATATGAATAAGTTTTGGTGTCTTCTGAGCATGCCAAATTCTAAGAAAAGCTGTTTGGATCAAAGAAACAGTTTGAGCATAAGATCTAATATCTTGAACTATATAAGGAATAACCAGGGCTTATCTATTAATTATAAATACCATTAGATGCAGTTATTTTTGTACAAAAAGTGACCAAAAAGGCATTTTGGAGCGTTAGCATCACAACTATCAAACCCTATTTTGTTACAAACAACTTCAACTTCATCTTCTTCAAGTTAAGGAAATTTAACAGTAACTGGCTAGCATATTGGATCATTTTCAATATCAACATATTTGTTTTTGCATGTACATGTCTTCTAAGTGATAGACTATATTCTAAAACTGCCAGCTGGACATGATAAACAATTAGATTATCCAGGACCATCACATGTATCACAAGAATAATGGCATTTAGGATTTACAGTTATTTATGGTGTTGTACAATAGGTAGTCAAAGTTAAATCACTTAGCTATCCAAGGAGATAAGTTTTGATAAAATTGTCACCCCCTACAAAATAATATAGGATGGTTCCAGTAAAATGATTTATTGTTACAGTCCATTTATATTGCAACACTTAATTCAAGGATGGAAAAAATATTGAAAACAAAGGTTATCCATCATTATTATTTGTTCCAATCTCGTATTAGATATAATGCCAACTAATTAAAAGATTTTAGTATTATACTCCTGTTACTGTTATGATATCAGTGCTTGAACTCTATTATTTTGATTCTACTGGAAAACTGTATGTGTATGTTGTTAATGAAAATCCATTCTAAGCTGGTATCATGCCTTAAAAATACTTCAAATAGAGTTCCTTATCTCCAATTGTCATGTCATCATTGTAATTACTATTTATTGTAATTCTGAATATAACCGTTTCAAGATAATTATCATCAATTAAAAAATCCATTTTAACCCAACCTTAGACTACATAGTTTTAGTATTCTAGTTGTTTTGTACTATTATTTGTAAATACATTGCCAGTGAACACTTAGTTAAACCCTGACAACTTATACTATTTTATTTCACAAGAAGGGGTTATATCACATGTTGCTAAAAATGAATTCAAATCTAAAAAGATGTTAAGTTGCTCTTTGCTAAATAACGTTGATATTCTCCCTTTAAATTAAGATAAGCTCAAGGTCTCTCCCAATTAGTTTTTTATTTCTTAAACACCACCAATTATATGTCTAACTTATTTTACAAGAGAAGGGATATCAGATAATTACTTAGTTTTTGTTGAGATTGTTTATTCTGCTTGATAAAAACCTAAAGTTGTTTATTTTTGCAAAAGATCGTAATAAACATAAAACAAAATCCATCTTCCTTCATATTTTCCAGATTCGAAACTGAATAAAACAGTCCCTGTTGTTGATTGAAATGAATAAAATATATTATGCATTATTGTGTTAGATGCTGCTGAAATAGTTATATAAACAGTTAACATATTAAATTTTGTATCCTTCTGCTATTGCAGATATATAAAAGATCCTGAGTCCGCAGTTGCTTTGAATGTCATGCCTCCTGAAGTTGAGCTTGAAGTCGCTAATTAATCGATTGAAAATCATACCAATCTAAGAAATAGGCACAAAAGGCTAATACTTCATCCATACGCCATATCCAATATTAGATGCACCTTATAGCACCAAATTATCTAAACTTATATCTATTTATTATTACGGATCAGTTAAACTCAATAAACTAGATCCTGAATTTATGTATCCGCAATCAGAAAAGCATTATCTGTTATAAGAATGAATATTACTTTAGCAAACCAAAAATAATGAACATAAAGAGATTAGTACCTTATTGATTCATTTTAAACTAATTTATTTATTAATATAGTTAATTATATAATTACTTCTAAGACATAAATTTTCTTTCTGATTAAATTTACGTGAAATGCATTAATTGATAAACAAAACGGCTTGCAATATTTTCACATCTTCTTATGAGTTTCCTAGGAATTACATTAATAATTAAAGTATTCATAGTAAAAATCAAATGTGTTCTTTGCTAAGAAAATGTATTACAAAAAGAAAAGCTTGCACTTTTCAAGTTCTTAAAACCTATAAAATTTATAAAATCGAGTTATTAGAAAACTGATTTCGTCCTAAAATTCATCTGTTGAATAAATTGATTAGGAATAATACCAAAAGATTGAATTATTTAGAATTTAAAGGATAATGTCTGTTAGCAAGTAACTAACCATTGGCAAATCATTAATGCAATTATTTATTGGCTACTTTTTTGGAATAATTAAATTTGGATCTCAATAATCTATTAAATATCATTTTATTTTATTTGGACTTTTGAGAAAACATTTAGATTATTTTATAATAGAAATGAATATTAATTTGCAATTCAAAATGACCAAAATAATGCAATACATTGAAATATCATTTGACTGATGTTTAAGGCTAAGATTTCTAAAGGATTAATTGTTTATAATGAATCAAAATTCAGCTAGAAAACATATTAAATTAATTACTCATTGATTGTTATATAATGTTTTGTTAAAAATCATTAATATATTTAAATAAAATAAATGTAAGCCTCAATTACTTTTTAAAATCTTAAGTAAAATATAAATAATATGGTACTGCATCAAACAGGGGATCCTATTATTATTTATTGCGATTTTCAATGAAAAAAAATTACTCTATATTTTGATACATTGAAGTTTGAGAATTACTCGCATCTAGTATTGGGCAGGATTAAACCTGTTGATTTATTAAATATTACGTATATAAATTTTATAATGTATATCTTAATTTAATTATAATTTTAATTTTTTTATAATTTAAAAATATAAAATGGAATACATAATTATTTTTAAATTAATATGGAAGCAGAAATAAAGTTCAAATTTGTACTATTAGGATCGTCTCCTGTTGGAAAATCATCTTTATTATACAGATTTCATGATAATAGATTTAAAGAAGATCTTAACCCAACCATTGGAGTAGAATTCTTAATGAAGTCATTGGAATTAAATAAAAAAGCCATATAATTATAGGTAAAAATTATCTATTAATTGAGATTTGGGATCCTACAGGATAATAGCAATTTATGACGCTCATAAAAAGTTATTTGGCAGGAGCTCATGGATGTTTAATTGTTTATGATGTTACTAATAAGCAAAGTTTTAAAGAAATTTCTATTTGGTTAGAATGTATATTACTTCAAACTATTAGGATAGAGACGAAGACTTATACAAATGCAGATATCCCTATAATTTTGGTTGGAACCAAATCTGATTTGGATGGAGCAAGAAAAGTTACTACAAAGGAAGGTTAAAAAATGGCAAAAACTTTAGGCACGCTATTTATAGGTATATTTGATAAATTTAAATAGAAACTTCTGCAAAGGATGGATCAAATGTTTAGCAAGTTTTTCTAAATTTGGTAGAGGAAGCCTTAACTCGTCATGAAAAATAGAAAAAATAGGAAGAAACAAAAAACCAATGATATTATAAAACAACCAATAGCAATTACAATTTTCATTTACTTTTAAATATCTAACAATATTCGGTCAATCAAGTTTAATCTTTAAAATTTTAATTGAAATATTATCAATTTAGTTAATTTTAATAGAAAATGATGTTGATAAATTTAAAATCAATATAAAAATAAATAATTTCAAATTATAAATTTATGTAAAATCAAATCTTTCAATCGAGATTGAGTTTAACTAAAAGTTCAATATTAAGACTATTGTTAATATCATTAACAAGATATTAAACCAATTAGGTTTGTGTAACTACTTTAAATTATTTTTGAGCATAAAAATATGAGGTAGAATATTGGAAAGAATATATGTTTTATAAGATAATTATTAGAAATATGATGTATAAATTTTTTATAAGTTCTACAAAGAATTACAGCTTAATAAATTGACCTATGATTACATTTGATGTAAGTTATAAGGTTTATTAAAATTAAAATATTTATATTTATAATTTATTCTGGATTTGTTAATAAATAAATATTATCAATTTATATTAATTTAAAATAAAAATGAGCAGAAAATAAACTCGTCCTCTTTTAATATTGAAATCAGAAAATGATGATTTTCCTTTTGATATCAAAGATGTTAATTTAAACAATATTAAACAAATCGATTATTTTAGAATGTACAACTCTTTAAAAATGGTGCTGGAAAAGCTAATAGAAGAACAAGTAATAGTATTAAACTAATATAGCCATTGCAATAAAAATTACAAACAAATATAGATTTTGCATTCCAAGTCTTTTTGCAAAAGGATTAAACATCAACCTAATAACAAAAAGGTGGAAAAAGAAATCAATCATAGCCCTTTTTAAAAAAAGAAATGGTATAGCTAGTAGAAATATTATCTTAAATGGGATATTCAGATAAATAAATATAGGAAAGGTTGTAATTGAATCCTGGGCAAACATCTAATGGTATCAACTAACATTCAGAAATTCAGGAGGGCGATTAATAATCAGGAAAAAAATAAACTAAAGAAAAGTAAAAACAAGGATAAGTAATTGACAAACAAAAACTATATTACGAGCAATAATTCCATTTGAATGATGAGCCTGAATAAAACTGAAGGAATGAAATATATTGTTTTAATTTTCCTCGTATATTAATAGTCGACATATATATAATATTATATTTATACCTATAGAAGAAAACAATATTTTTTCGGAGCTTAAAAGGCTAATCTTTAAATGACTTTAAAATTATATATATGCTTTAAAATACTTAGTCTTTGAATATTTTGAAGGTTTCGAAGAGAAAATAAAAGATTTTCAATTAAAATCAAAAAAAGGTGATAATGCTATTAAAATACACTAATTAGGTTTTATTCAGAATTATAACGAACTAGTTAATTCAAATTATAAATTAATGAATCTCAATTAAAATTAATACAATAATAAAATTAATAAGTAGAAAATATTAATAACGTTATCACTTGTCATAAGCCTTATTAAAATTACTAATTATTAATCATATATTGAGAAGAACTGGCAATAGAGTTAATTATCAAGCTGAATACATATTAATAAAATAGTGTTGTAATACGTAAATGCTATCTTATAATTTGAGAATTAAAATTTTGACTAATAGTGCTCATAATTAATTTGGTTAATTCTTTATATTCGTGTATTTCTCATGCAAACCTTTTCTATATCTAATTTCTTCATTCATTTTATTTTCTCTGCAATTATAAGATGTTATTTTTGTACAGTATTGAATATAGTAACTAATATAATATATATATATTAATTTATTAAAATAATGGGATTCGGCACTAATCCACTTTAGAATTAGAATCATGAAGATAAGAGTCAATATGCAATCACTGGAAGACCTTAATAGAATGATGTTCATTCAATTTATGTAAAAGGATCCTAACCTTGGTGGAGAAGATGGTGGGCTACTCGTGACATGTTTTAAGAGCATCATTGGGAAGTTCTGTATATAATTATACATTATATATTGTTAGCACATGTGCAAAGTATGCTTATAAAGGTGCTCTTACTGCCATATTAGTTGGAGCTACCTACTAATTCAAGCAATTATCAGTGAATGCATTGGCAATCAATAAAGGAAGAGTATTTGGAAGCAAAAATGGATTCACAGGTCCAGCTCTTCTTGCCCTTCGATAAGCATCAAGACATGGGGCTCTTGGTGCTTTCTTTGGAGTTACTTACTTTTTCTGGTTTTATTAGCTTGTTTGTTCAAGAGGTCATGAACATACATTTAATAGATATGTTTATGGTCATGTAGCTTACGGAGCAGCATTGGCAGCATTTTTCAGTATCAGAAGAACTGGAGCAGGAGCATTGTTGGGAGGAATAATTGGTAAAGAATATAAAAATAGTGTAGGATGGATTTATTATAATACAGCTCATGGAAATTTATAGATAGGAAATACAGCAGAAGAAGGAATCAATTTTGAATTCAAAGGTTTAACACCTGAACAAAGAGAAGCTATAAGACAAAGAGATTTGATTAGTCATTTGAGTAGAACACCAGAATTCAAATTAAATTTATTCAATAAAGTATGAAAATTACAGCATATAATATAATATTTAATATCATATCAATATGCAAAAATAAATATAGCAAAAGATAATTAAAAATATATTTTAGCATTGATTTACAAGCCCATTGGAACTTTAATTTCGATTCATTATGAGCTGCTTAGTCTCTGTAATTAGGGAAAAGGAGGTTGTTTTTGTTATAATTTGACTATTTATTCGATTATCTCTAACAATATAAAAGTGAAAAAATTAGAAAATCAGGACTATGATACTTGCAAAAACAATTTTTCTAAGAGAACTTGTAAATTATTTAATTTGAGAATTTCAAAAATTGAAATTTCTATTAATTATTTTATTTTTTCTAATTCATATCTTTTTTTCCTATTAGAGTTAAATTTACTTCTATCGCAAATTTTACCCAATATTGAAAACATTTTATATATTCGTTTTCAATTAACAAAAAATCACGTTCATCATAGTTGAAATAACTTAATTTTCAAACTGTAATCTTAAAATATGAAGAACATATAATTCTCATTTTTTTTTTGTTTTGTTGAAATAAAATAATTTTCAGCTAAAATAAAATAAGGTTAATTTCTGAAGTTATAATGAGAGATGCCTATCACATTTCATAAAAGCTAAAAATTCCTTAAGAAAATGGAACTTGATTTAGAATATTGCAATGATGATATCAATTGTTTTTATTGAAGATTTTATTCAGAATAGCGATTTCCTTCTCACCTTCATGGAAAATGCCTATTGATATCAATAAAGATAAATATTTATTTTCATTTAGTTTTATGTTCAAAATGTAGACATCAGCAATTTTTTTATTTTTTTCTCAAATTGAACTTTGTTAAACATCCTTTTTTATCAGTTTTTCTATTCTTAATAAATCAAGCTAAATACAGAATTAATTTTCAATAATAAACCAGATTGATTTGCCTGACACTTTTCAATCTAATCTAATCTTATTAGATTTTATTTATTTTTGATTGTTGCATTTTTAATTGCTTTGCTTCTTTTGATTCTCTGTCATGCATGCGTTATTGTTAAGATGTTAGGAATTAAGCTTGATTTCATAAATGAATTTTATTTTCAAAACCTCTCTTTTTAATAATAAAACTGATTTTCTCTTTAAAAGTTTAATCACCCATTCTAAATCTTAGCTTTACATTACAGAATTTAATATCATTTTTAAATTTGCATAAACTAGTAATAATTAAGTGAAATTAAAATGTTTAATCTTGTGATATAATATGAATATTAGCTAAATCAAACAAATTTTGATGTATTGGTCTTTTTTGATTATCCCAAGTATTTGCTGGCATTTTAAGTACTTTAATTTTAACTGACACCTGCTGATGCTTTATTGATTTATACTAACAGTGAAGGATTCTTCAATTTTATCAAAGATGCTATGTCATTCAATCTAAAGCATTTACATTTTTAAATACCTATTCTAAACGAATTGCAACTTTGCTTTCATTAAATTATATCTAAATGAAACATTCTATCTAATAGCCTCTTCAGAAGCAGAACTAAATTCTAAGGACAACATTTCCATAAATTTGTATTCTAAATTTTCAATAAAATCGAGTCTTCCTGCCCCATCCTATTGCATGAATAATACGCAAAAGAAACTGAATCAATTTAAATGTTTACTGATTAGGCTCTTTATGACATGCATTTAACAGCTTGATCAACATTTATAAAAATTGTGGATATTCGATAGTTAATTTTTATTCTTCTCTTATGCTTTTATAAGTCTCTTTATTTATTCTATCTTCAATTTAAATAATACATTGTAATGTAATTGAAAAACAAATCTGTTTCGCTAGTCAATTCAATTTTCAAATTCTCAAATGCTTATTATTCCCCCTATATTTAATAACAATAAAATAAACTTAAACTAAAATTTTCACTCTAACCTATTCTAATGTACCAATTTCTTGTGGTCCTGTATTTGCATCTTGAACCCTATTTATGTAATTATTGATTCAAATCTACCTTGTTTCTATGTGAATTTCTCTATCAAATTGTATTTTAAAACCTCCTTCTAAACTTGGATCAATGTCTTCTAAAGCTCCCAAATCTAACTGTGAATCGTCCATTTTTATTTTTTATTTTTATTATATCAAATAAAACTTAATGTTAGAGATAATGTAATATTATATTATACAATATATTTAATATTAGAAATACTTACGCTATCATTTGAATATAGTTCTAGTTTTTTATTTATCATACTAAAACTGTAATCATTTATTGAGAAATCCTTAAAGATAACTTTTCAAACGAATAATTGAAATAATATATGTAAAGGTAATCGCTTAAACTGGGGTTTCCTCTGACTAATTTTAATTCACTCATTTAAGAACATGTTCATCTATTTTTATTAATGACATTCTTCAATATGTCAATAGAGGGGAATGGCTTTCCATTTACAACTTAATCAAAAAGTATTAAAAAGCATTATTTATTAAATAAAAAACCTCGTGAATATTTAGATCTATTGCAAGTATATGTATAGAAGACTTCAGTTTTGTTCATAAATTATGCGAGATTGCAGTATTAAGACAAATTTGTTGGTTGATTTATATATATTATAAATATTTAGGACTAATTTGGCTATTAATACTAAATAATATTTTACTTGATTTTTGTGTAAAGTCTGTTGTTTTTCGCATTCTAAAAAGAAAATTTATTCAATATTATCAATCAATGACTAAATATGTATAAATATTTCTTAACCTCTATGTTAAACACAAGTTAACTAAAAAATTCCTTCATATATGCGGATTTAAATAAAAGAAATATAATTGAATATCTGATAAAGTGAGATTTAATGGAGGTTTTCAAAATATTAATAGATTTTATTTTTATCTTTCCTTCTAATCAATCTATGCTGGATAAAGAATTCATAAATCTTAGTATATATAACCCTGGTTATTATTTTAAATAAGAAAAATCTCATTCCTATATTTTTAAGATGTCTTAAGAGTAAATAAAGTTTTTAAGAATTTTATGAATAATTTTCAGTAGTATTTGTAATGAAAGAATATATTGATAAGAAGTCTTGAAAATAATTCCAAATTTCTAAGGAAATTATATAAACTGAATATTAATTTGTTTAAGATTAAATTTAATTAATAATAAAAGATTAGAAATTAATATATACGCAAGTAATGTTTTGGGTATTAATTATAAAATAAGAATTTGATTATATATAAGGCTAAGAATGATTATTAGTAATTAATTAGAAATTAAAATCAAATCAATGAATAGAGTATTTGTGTATAGCATCTAGCATTTGCAACTAAAAGGATTAATTCTAGATCACAGTTTGCTTATCTATAGTTGAGGATGTCACTTATGTTCTATTGTTAGATTACTTGAATATCATCAATTTTTTTATATCCCAATTAATGTTAGGTATATTGATAGATTTTAATACGTTCTTGAATCGTGAATAGAGGAAGGTCCTTAAGGATTTTGATTCTTTTATTGAGTTTATGTGCCAATTTAGGGAAATAATCCCTAATTTAAGAAAATCCATTAATATTCCAAGAGAAATCCTCCGTCTATTCTTCAAAGTGGGGTTCAAGAGGGGATAGTTGCAAGGGTAAATACTCTTCCCCTAATTGGATGGCAATTGTTTGCTCGCATTGCATTAGACTAAAGAGTGTATAGATAAGAATGAGTTATTATCTATTGAAATAATGAGTAAGATCATCTGGTTTTTACATTTGTTCCAATTTTTAAAGAGATAGCTGCAATTTCTTGTATTTCTCGGAGTTGTCATCATAATCTTTCCATAATCTATTCAAAGTAGTGCACTACTTGGTAGCACAAGAACAAACAAAATTTAAAGTATTGTAATCTATATACATTTGATTGATGGATTTCTTGAATATGGAGACAGATGCTTTATAATACTTTGCATAAGTAACTAGTTTGCATTAGTAGTCTAGGATGCTTCGATTAAACAACCTATACGAGTCAGATATGAGTTTTTATAGGGCTTTGTTTGAAACCGGCTATTTGAAATCAATTAATGTGTTATTGGAGTGAAGAGGGTATAGAACTTTGTATAATTTATGAGTTTTCTCTTGGTCTATTTGGAAAATCTCTTATAAATCCAAATACGGAGCCTCTTCGGAAATTTTCTACATTGTCTATAATACGTAATCCCTGAGTTAAGGATATGAAACAATGAAATTTTAAAATTCCAATTTCAGATCCAGACTAAATTGAAGACGTTCATCATAGTCCTCTGGCCATATATATGGTACCATATCTTAAATAGTTTATTCATTAATCATAAAAATAAGATTGTAATAAATTATTAAAAATAAAATAGTTATATTGGATATTTTTGCAAGGAAAGCATGAGTATAAATATATGTTGGTCATCTACACCTGTAATTGTATTAACTTAATCATAACTACAAAAAATTAGTATAATATTTCAATATATAGGATAGAAGTAAATGAATGTAAATTACAATGATAAATATCATTTCTTGAGTAATCACAAATTCCATATCAAAATGAAACCACCCTCATTTGTAGCTAAGAATTACAAGGGATAACGCTTGATATTTAAACATGGAGATGAATGAAAATGATTTTCAAGAGTGTATAGACATTTTCCACTTTTAATATCCCAAATTTTAATTGTATTATCCCAACTGGCAGTTGCTAGTAATTCTGTATTGTTTAAGAGGCCTAGTGTCCATATTGGTTATTCATGAGATGAGAATTGTTTGATCAACTTGTAATCATGTTCTGTGTTCCAGAATTTAATAATTTTATCATAGCCAGTAGATATGAGTAATTTCCCATCAAGAGAATATTCAACACAATACCCTCCATATTCAGCATCATGAGCCATCCATTATTTTAAGATCTTGCCTTCGAACCACACAATCAAAGTCTTGTCTTTACCTGTAGATGCAACGTGTTTGTTATTGATAGCTAAACCATACACACTATCCCAGTGTCCTATATACTCTCTATAATTTTTGACTCCATTCTTCTTCAACTTCCAGACTCTAAGTTTGTAATCGTCGCTGGCAGTGTACAAACATTTTGAGACGAATTATAATCTATTGATTTAGTTAAGATGTTAGGCTTTTAAGATTATTGGAATTTGTTCGAAATCATTGCAATTCCAAACATAGATTTCGTATGGACATGAACCAGCTGCCGCTAATCTAAGTCCATCTGAGGAGAATTTAACAGCAAAGATTTCTAGGAATTTAGTTTTGAAGGTTTTCACTATGATTTCTGAGATTGGATCTATTAAGAGGAGGGTGTCGGGATGGCCTCCAACTGCAATAAGAGTGCCATCTTGTTTGATATCAAGAGAATAAATATGGACGAGTCCTGGACATTTGATTTTCTGAGGATGATTGTTGAAAATTTGAAGTGCTTCAGTGGAGTTAGTATTAAATGTAATTTAATCAAATAGTACTTTCTGTACGATATCAAACCTTTTGATTTATACCAATGATTCATCTGAAAGAGTGATATAATCCTTGAATGTAAAAACAGAAATATCTGAAGTTAAAAAATAAGATTTCAACAACAGCTATTTCACTCCTTTTGTTAAAATTTACAAAGGCTTTGAGGAGACGATATTCTGATGCTCTAGTAATTGCTCAGCAAAATCATTAAGATCAATAGGAGGTTTGAGATGATCTTGATGCAATTTCTCCAACTCCTATTCAATGAGAATTTTGAATTGCGCTTGCAATTTCTTAACATGAGATTTGATCGTCTTAATGCTGTGTTAAAGTATTTCATTAAGCTTGATGATATGCAACTTAAATTATGCTAAATGCTCTTGGTGTTGCTGATGCGCCATTCGTTCAGCTTCAATCAAATCAATTACGCGATGTCCTTAATGCAACTTATTATAACAATCTGTACACATTGCTCTGAATTACAGAGTGCATTGGCTGTCCACACACAAATATTTTATGCACATATCAAATTCTTGATGCTCATGCAAGTAGCACATTTTGCTCCTGCCTAATTGTTTTAATTGCATTAATTAAATTGAATCTCTTTAGAGAATTCTTTACACAAATCATCCGTACCGAATCCACGAATATCATTCCTGAATCGATATCCTATCCAGCAAGGTATTCCAAATGTATTTAATCCTTAAGACTAACACTAAGATCCCATCAAATACGACTTTTTGAAAAATAATCAATACGCTCTTGTCCCAAGATCATATAAACGAACGCATCATCAGAATCTCTAATTGAGTATCAATACTAGGAGTTTCTATATCCAAATTCGATCCAGAATTACCTAAATACATCAACTAGATCTAAATCAACAATCCATAAATTTAATTTCCAATCTCATACTTTATTTGAATCTCAGCATACTAATATTGTTAAATTATTAATCTAAATTGGTCTATCTATGAGTATAAATGTTATTTTTAAAATGTAATATTATATAACAGTAATGAATAAATAAAAATTATAATATTATTCAATCTTTGCTAACATCATAAGTTGGATCATGTCTAATAAATGAGAAATATTCAGAAAGAAGAGAGGTCTAAAAATCATAATAGAATTACTTGTGGATATATATTTTAAAGGGATAATGTTAATACAGAACTAATAAGATTTATATATTCTTAATTATTTTAACAATAGTCCTATTATTATTGTTTTATTTTAATGTTGAAACTTTTACATAAATTCAATTTTGATTGTAATTTTGATTTTGCATATAATATGCAATTGTAAATTATAAGTTGTTTAAAATACAAAATAAATTTATCTTAAGCTGCTTTCACTTAATTTAATATGCAAACTTTTTCGTGTTATCTTCGTAAATTGCAGAAGAATTCATCAATAAAAATTCATAAAACTCAGAAAGATAGATATAAATAATATAAAAAACACTTTGATTTAATTGGCTTTAATCTACTATGATTTTAGTTTAGATAGTAAGCTTTATTGAAGATTATTTTTATAACCATAGTTTCCTTAAGGGTTTTTAAATTGTATTTACAAATTTAATAATAATTTAATTTAATTGAAAAAAAATAAAAATACTATTTTAAATTATGAAGATTTTTTATTAAGATAATTGTCTTTGTCAAGTTAGATATTTTAAAAAGTTATTAAAAAAATTGTAATTGTGATTGATTGTTTTATTATATCATTGTTTTTAGGCTTCTTCCTCTTTTTCCTATTTTTCATGACGAGCATAGACTTCAGCCAACATAGTTTGAAAAGCGTGCTCAACATTAAATCCTTCCTTTGCGGATGTTTCTATTTAAATTTTGGAAGTATACCTATATATTACAAACCCAAAGTATCTGCAAATTATTAACCTTCTTCTGGAGTGACTTCTCTGACTCCATTCAAATCAGATTTATTCCCAATCAAAATTCTAACCAAATCTGGTTTTGTGTGATGTTTAAGTTCTATCATAATTGGATAAAGTAATTTACATTCATTCCACTTTGCTAATTCTTCAAAGCTTTGCTTATTGGTAACATCATAAACAAGAAAAATTCCGTGAGCTCCTTTGTAATAAGATGAGATTATGGTCATGAATCTCTCTTATCCTGCAGTGTCCCAAATATAATTTAAGATAGCATATATACCTATAACTTTATGGCTTTACCGTTAAATTCTAATTACTTTAACTTAAAATCTACTCCAATAGTTGGGAGAAAGGTGTCTATAAATCTATCATCGCAATATTTGATAAGTAAGGATGACTTCCCAACAGGGGAGTTCCCGACGAGTAGTAATTTGAAAACAATTTCTTTTTCAGCTTACATATTAATTTAATTATACACTTTATTTATGGATATTTGCAATTATAAAGGATGAAAAGATTTAAACTTTTTATTAAATTAAGATATAGATTCTAAAATTAAATGATTTTATAAATAATATAAGTATTATTAAATCAAACTTGTGTAATAATATTTGCAAACAACTAGCAATCTTCATTCTATCGAAAATATCTATAATAATTTATCAAAATAGTAATTATGTATTTTAATCTTTTGGATAACACAAAGAATTATCTATCAATTCTAAGGACTCTTCAAGAGAAATATATATTAATAAATCAGAGAATACTTAAATGAAAGAACATCTCAAAAGCACACTCCATCGATGAGTCAACCTCCAATGTATAATATAATGAGTTATGATTAATGATTATTATTGATGATAATTATTCATCATTTGATTTCATTTTATCTTTTCTCGACTAATCTTTCGACTTCAGATAAGAGAACTAATTCTTATCTTCTAGCAGCTGAGGCATTATCGTATTCACTGTTGAAGGTAGTGCAAAGAGCAGTGGCATCATCCAACAATTTTTGATTTCTTTACTTCTTATTGCTAGCAGCTTATGAGATGGCAGTTTAGGTGGCAACACATCCATTCAAATCGGTGATTTAATCTTCAAGTCTGGTCTTGGATTTCTCTAATCTGGCAATGTTCTTATCAATTCTTTCCTTTTAATTGTTGTACAAGACGATGGCTTAATTGTTTTCAGCGGTGAATTGATTGTAGGCATCTTCGATGTTGTTTCTAAATATATTGATGGATGGATTACCTCAAGGTTTACAATAATTGGATCAATCTCTCAACATCAGCTGAGCTAACTTATTCAGCCAAAGAGATTCTGGCCAATGAAGCCAAAACTGCAGCATATGATCCAGTTCTCTTCAAACTGACTGAGTGTTACATCATTTGACCTGTGGCATCAGCTAATTCGATCAAGCTGGCATCACCAACGCTGAATTTCTTGGCCAAATAAACTGATTCATCGATGACTCTTAATGCATCTTAGAAGATGACGGCCATCTTGTTGAAGTTCTCTTATTCTGTCTTTCTGACTTCTTGGATCAATGACAAGTGTTATTAGTTCATGGTGAGTTGGTCTTCTGTCATACCGAATTCAGCCTTTGCCTTTTATCTTTAGAATGAGCACAAGTTCAATTGGTTGGTTGAAGCACTCAAGATTTTGCTGGCATCTTGAATTTATCCCTTTCTGAAAGCTGTTTCTGAATCGCATTCATTCTTTTATCTGGCATACAAGTCGTCATGAGCAATTTATTCTGATGTGACTGAAGTTCTGAAGTCTTACAACATTGTGTTGATTGTGTCGAATGGACCTCCTGAGGCAAGTTTGGATTCGATTTACATCATAATTTCCATGATGTTTCTGTTGGGGATATGATGTTTGTTGAACATATCAATCTAGAAACCCTAGACAGACACTAAAACAACTAAGAGCACAGTCAATGTTGATTTCATTATTTAATTATTTAATTTCTCAAAAACGAATTCTTGTTTTATATTTCAATAATTTTATGTTCACATTAGATGCTAATTTATGATTTCGCAATTACAAATTTATTTAATTATTCATATGCACTGCTTCAAAATCAAATCGCTTTTTTTAAGGATGATAAAATTAAAAAAAGTTATCTCAATAGTTCTAAGTTCTATTTAATAATAATCATTAAAATCATCAAAAATGCTTGCCTTTTTTTGTGAAATTAGTTTATTCCTATAATCTTGATACTAAGTTCATACTCTCATTCAGAGACCAATTTATTTCTCCTAAATTGTGAGATCTTGCTTCTACCTGCTGAAACAATTTATGTAGATAAATAACAATTTATTTTTCCAATAATATAGATATTATCAAATAAATGCTTAAATATCAAAAGCCATAAACGTGCTCCAAGCAACTTATCTCATAATTAATCGAAAGGGCTGATTTTTTTGGAATCCTCCCTTAATTCAGGATTTTGAAGAGATAAAAGTTCTCCACACCATTAGGTTAAATTCTTACTATAATGTTGTGCTGTGCTTATTTATATTACATTGTTTATGAAATATTGAATTTAGCAAATAGATACAGTCCCAGAGTAGTTTTTTCTGAATATCAACCCTCCAATACTTCAGTATGAATTCTTGTTATATAAAAGCCTTTGTATTTAAGCAAGAATAACTTTACGTTTGCCTTGACAATCACTAATCCAGAATTAATGTCTTTGCAAACTTTAAACAAATATTTTACCTTAGCTGTTTAAAATTGTGTAAGAATTCGCTCTTTGAATTAAGAAGGAGTAGCCTAAATTAATTACAAGTAAAATGCATAAATTTATGATCTAGTTGTTCAACCATCCCTCTCGAGCCTTGCCAAATGGATTAGCATTTTAGAGAGTAGTACCAACAAGATTATTTTCAAAAGTTTAAACTTGAATACATGTATTGTCCTGAGATCAAATAGTGGGATTAAATGGCAATGGTATGTTTATGATAATGCATTTAAAGTAACTGTAAGGATTTAGTCAAGAGGATCGATTTTAATTTTTGACAGTAACCTTAAGTATCTGCAAAAATTCTACTACTTATTAAGGCTGCGCACCTCTAGAGGAAATCAATAGTAAAATGCAGGCAGGATTCTATGTATGATAGTATTTAATGCTTCTCTAGGTATTGTACTTAAGTGATACATTAATCCAAATGCATTCCCCATCTAAACCTTATCAGGATGCAATTTCTGTTTAGTATACTCAATTTTCACTAACCAATTCTAAATCCATTCATTCAACCATCAAAGTAACCGAAACCAACACTGATTATGGTATAATTAAGACAAATTATGTATTGGACACTGCCTTATCGTAATCCACTATAAAGGAAGATAGTTCACAGTATAATAATCAGTACTTGGTTCAAAACTCTATCTTCTTGGAATAAAGAAGAAACCAATATGAGAGAAGCTATTTAAAACTGTATACTGTACTGGGACAAGTTGGAGGCTTATGGTAGATTACAATTCTGTTCATAAATTGCATATTTTATCCCATATTGTTCTCCTCCATGAATTTGGCTATGGCTAATAAGATCTTTAGGTTTGAAAGCAAGGATTCCCTTGACTTTGATATATTGTCAGTCGCCAAATCAGTTCCAGTTGGAGGGCAACTCAATAAAAGCGATGGGAAAGATTTTCAAGATGAAGTTTTAAGATCAGATAATACCCTAGTAAGGAATCCTTTTGTCGAATTCTCGAAAACTTAAAGAGAAATCAAGAATTTCTTAAGGAGGAAAAAGTGTTCTTTAAATTTTACTTTACTTGATAATATTAAATTCTAATTTGGTTGTAAGAAGGATAAATAAAGACAATTAAAATATGCTATGAATAAAATAATAAATAAGTTAGATATTTGTTAATTGATTACGAAATTCAATGAACTAGATAAGTTGAAACATATCTTACTCAACAAAGACCAATTAGCTCTATTTAATTATATTCCAAAACCTATGATACCCTATGATATGTTCGATGAAAATTTTGAAAATAAAATTAAGGAACTAGAGCAAAAGCAAGAATATAAGTTTATCTTGGAAAATGAAAAACCAGATGTGCTCAGATTAGATGATGCTTATGAAGCCTACTCAAGAGTAATTACTAAATAGAATCTCACTGCAACAGATGAGGCCATTCTATAATTTATGGATGATGATATTAAGAGATTATTCTCTAGGATACACTCAAATTAATTTGAAATGGTCTGTTAGAATTTCTAATCATCACAACTATTTATGAGAAACAACACCGACAGAGTCGAAATTCAAGATGAACCTCAAATTCAATTAGTATTCGGCAGTATTACAAGCAAATAGTAATGAAAATGAATATTAATTTTTTGGCAATTCGTTTTATATACTAATCACAATCAATATTGGGATCTTCTGTATTGTGAAGTGACTGTTTATGATGTTTATTGGAGACCACTCTAACGAGGGGCTTCAGAAGCTCTTAAATTAGTTGGTGTTTAGTTAGTTAAGTATCTGATACATAGATCCTCAAGATCTTAGTAGGTTATCTTGCCATCTTGGTTTCTATCCAAAACTCTATATAAATATATCAACTATTTTCAACTTGTAAAACGAATCAATATCTCCTCTAGCAGGTGAGAAAATACGATTGAATGATTTGTAAACATCCACAATCATAGGAACAACTTCAACATTATCAATTTATCCATTTCTATCTCTATCATATGTATCAAACAATCTTCTTGCTACAGCCTATTTTCATAATTAACAAATTAACCTTGGCTCCTTCCACATCAGTCAATCCCAAATTTAAAGGTTTTTGGTCTTATCCACTGATTACTTAAGTCTTGACAACTGACTCGTAAGTGTTTGAATATTGCATATTTAATATTTTATTTAAAATTATTATTCGTCAATATAAATAAGATTATTCGTTCAAAAAGTAGCTGAATTTTCATAAACATTGATCTCACTTTTCTTTGAGTTAAACATCTGATTAGAACGATGCATTTATCTTTAATCGCAATAGCATTTAATAAACACATATATTATGCAAATATAAATCAAAGTTAAAAAATAATCAAATTAATTATTAATACTTATTGTGATTCTCAAAATGAAAATGAGAAGAGGGAGATTTTAAAAATTCAAAAGAAAAATCTTAATTATTTAATAATATTTACATTAAGCTGTAATGTTACTTTTGTCAATTAGAGTTTACAAACATTTCTAAAATTGATCAGTTTTTGGCAATTACTTTAAACCATAGATTAACAATGTCGTTGTGCTTTTTTGATTTACAAATATGTAGACTGGTTGATTCTTTTCCACTTGCTTAAAAATTTCAAATATAAAAATAATTAAAGTAGATTTTATGGTTGCAAATCGAATATCTTCCCCACAATCAATTTTTATTTTTGTATATGGAGTCTCAAATATTTTGGTGCACTTGAGTAACAACTTCTTCATTTTTACTAATTACAATTTTTGATTCGATAATTATTTGTAATATACTTCAAATAAAGATATTCTAAGATCCCTCAACAAAGGACTAAAGGTTTCTTGTAAGTAAAGACCCAACACTTTATTGATTTGCATCAGTTAAGTATTCAGAATGTTTCTAAAGTGCTATAGAGACTAATGCAATTTTATATTGGTTTGATTTAAGAGTGGATCTTCAGAATCGATAATAATTGCATAAATCAACTGTTCAAATCTACAACATACGAGTGAAGCTTATAATTTCTTCGTCTGATATTCTATTACCAATTGATGATTAAATAAACAAGGCGATTGTTACCTGCCTGCATTGATATGAGTTTTTCTTATTAAATACTTTTCAAGCGTCTGTTATTTTACTTTGGATTTAAATAAGAAAGTAGTAAGGGGCTTTTCGGAGTTGAAGAATTCCGTTTAAGCACTCATTATAGTTTGATACATGTTAGTATTTTTATTAAAAGTGAAGATGAAAAAGGGTTTCTTCAAAAGCAAAGGAATCAAAATTTCTATTATAAATATATTATTAATACCCCAACTATTGTCCTTGAATTACAAATAGAAGGATTGTCTATACTGTTTTTCTAATTAATATTAAATCACCATGAAACTCAATGACATAATTATTGAATAAAAATATTATTATACAGTAAGATTGTCTGAGTTTTCAATTACTAATATTATTCTTACTATTGTTAAAGCAATATTACTAAAGATGCCCAATTCTAGATTGCATGCGAACATACAAATTGTATGTACAAGCATCTAATTAGATCCAAGTAAATAGCCATCATAATAATCGTAGAGTGGGTATATTGAAATCTCGAAGGTTAATGCTGCAAAATTAGTCATCATAAGTGCCAAATTACAATAATTCATTCTGAATGATTCATTTCTTCTCAAAACCAGATACTACAGCAATAAATATGTCATGACTGCACCTTTAATCAATGCATTTTTGTAATCATTGTTTATCAAGTTGGCAATTGAATTTGCAAATAATAAAATGGTACCCCCAAATGACAAGTAAGTTAAAATCGGAAACTAAATCACCTTGACTTTATGGTTTATATATTATTTTTCTAATACTGGATCTTTAAATCGCGTGCAATATTTATTCATCTGAATAATTATATTAAACTAAGTGATCCTTAAATATAAGATAATTTATAATTAAATGTTTATTTTACTCCTTTCAGAGTCATTTATCAATAAATCGCTTTTTCTAATTAACTTTACAAAATAGTAACATAATCTTTTAAAATGATAATATGAAATATATTAGAAATCAATTCAATTTTTTAGAGCAAAACTGAGGGGCAACATTTAATTACGAATAATATAAATAATTACATATGAAATATTTTGGGGGAAAATAAATGAGATACTACTAAATTACTAAGAATGTTTAAGATATTTTTACTATTTCAGGATGATGGATCGATAAGAAATTCTATTAAAAATTGAATTATTAATTCTTCTATTTTATTGAGGTTATTAATAGGAGTAAACAATTTTAAGATTTCAAATTGGACCTAATTTGATGAATACAATAGTACCATATGGGGATTAGAATCCTTGAATTTTGATGTTTATGATTGGGGATTGTTTTGACAGATTTAAATTACAATAAGATATAATTGAAATTGTTATTTTATGATTCAGTTAATATTTTAATGGATTCTATGAGGATCAACCATTTTTTTTGGCTTATTTAGACATAGGTTTAGCTGAACTTAATTTCTTCAATAAATTTTAATCATTAACACTAATTAATTGCAAGTTTGAATTCTTCCAATCGTAGTATATATAATCATCGAACTTTGATTAGGAAATTAGCAATTACATTATCTTCAACTAAATTCATGTTTAGTAATTTTTATCTATTGTCAACTTTACAGGATCTCGAATATTGCGAAGTCTATTCTTTGAACTCTAATCTAAATTTAGGAATTAATGTATACATTAAAGCACTTCTTCCTATTAAGAGGAGACTAGTTTCTATGTTGAGTTCATCTTTATTGATTGTACAACCTCTTTCATTATCAATTAAATATTCTGGAAATGTTGTTTTTCTCCATTCTAATTGACGACATCACTAGGTTTTAAAAGCATTATTTTACTAAGTTGGAAGTGCAGGAGTAGTAGGTTCCTATTTTTCTTCTTAGAAAATACTCGATTAATTGTTGCTTAGATCTAGGAATAATGAAGGGGAGTGATCATACTTATAGGGTCATCTGGAAGTTTCTCTAAAATCTGAGTAATAATTTTCTTCTTTAAACTGGGGTGTTTAAGACTTGAACGATCTAATTTAGAGGATTGTTCTTTGGCAAAAGTGATATTGTTGATTTAAACATCATTCTGATCCTAAATGACCTCTTGACCATAGTTATCTTGCCTCTATTTACAAACAGTTGCCCCCATTTTTAATCCTAATTTTAATTATAATTTCTTATTAAATACACAAAAACCTCAATGATTACAAAAATGCCTTTGAGAATAGCAAGAACTTTATTCTCCGTCAATTTTCCAGGATCTCAAATCAGTATTCCACAATAACCAATTGAGAAAAGTATAGTGTTTATGTTTACATAAAGATCAGCTATTTTAAGTGATAGAAAATGAAATAATGTTTGATGTAATTCCTATGAACAACAACCAATAAAATTCAGACTAAACCAAAATGAATGGTTTTAAGATCCAAGATTTCCAAGATCAACAAAGAATAGAATTAAGTAAGAATGTAGAAAATGTTTAAATTTTAATTTGTATCGATTTCTATAACAATGGCCAATCAAAAGAATAAGAAATAATCGATAGTCAAATAATCCAAATTCAGAAGACCTCTGAAACTCCCCTCACCTCATTTAAAAGTATTCCATAAATTCAAGCCCCCTTCAGTGTTTATCTGACCAAAGGGAATGGAATCGTTTCCTGTTACGAATGCGTGGCCTACAATGGAAAGGTACACAATGTAGTAAATTTAGATAAAAATTGAAATGGTTTCTATTATTGATGACGTTGAAGAACACAAACTAATTCCTAGAGAAAATAGAGGATTGGAGGAGTACAATGGAAGTAATCATCAAATCGAGGATTCTGTACAATATTGATAATAAAAAAGATATAACATGAAATGTTGAATTACTTAAAGACTTTTGAAATAGATTCAGAACTTGCTTAATTTGTACAACACATTCAAATCTACTAAGAGCAGGTTCTAAATGTGAACTATTTGTAAGACAAGCCTATACTTCATGATTGATGTAATTAAATAATTCTATATAATTATAAAACAATACTTTCAATGCATGAATTTATCCATTCCATTTTAAGAGAATGTTACTCAACTCATCTAACTATACTAAAACATATTAAAAAATCATTCATTAATTATACAACTTTTAATAAATTACTCAATACAATATATTTTATTTATTATTATTATCAATAATGTCCGTAGTGGAACTTCCAGATGTAATTACTCCCAATTTATAATAAGATTAGACTCTATTCACATAAATCTCGTACCAGATCTAAAAGAAGCAATCTCGATTAATATCGTAGTTTGGCCGTCAAGAAATCAGTTGACAAAATGATCAAATATAATAGTATGTCTTCTGTTTTGGGATAAGATAATGATTACTATCCCAAACAATTGGAAGACCAAAAAGTACTCATCCACTTATATTTTCATAGAAAATTGATGAAGCTCAAGAAGTTCATGCCAATTTGACAGAACTAAAGAAAAGTTGTGATAATATGAAAATGTCTGGTAATACCAAAGACAAAGATATTGATAAGATGAGAAAGGACATTGATCAAATGAGCTATTAAATCGAATAATATAATCTAAAATAAAAGGATTTAACAAAACAGGAAAATGAATACTCATAGAAATTATAAGAATAATAAAAATTATTAAGCCAAAGCAATTATGATAAAAAGATATTCGAACACATGTTAACAAGAATGAAAAAAGATTAAGTTACTTATTAACTGAGAGCAAATCAATATGAAAGACACCTTAAATAGGCATTGTCAACCTGTTAATCCACAAGCTTAAAGTAAAATATAACTTAGTAATTATAAGGGCTTAATAAATTCAAGTTTTGCATTAAAAAACAATGTTGGCTTTGAAAGAGGTAGCTGATGGAATCAAACAATAAAATAAAAATAGAGAAAACAATATTAATAGATTCAAAAATGAGTTAAAATAGAAATAGGAAGTTGAATAAAAAAGAGATGATAGAATCAAAAGGCAATAAGAGATTGCAGAAGTAGCTGCAAATGACATTAGAGATGGGGCATTAAAAAAATGGAGAAAACTATTATTAGTCCACAAATTCTTAAATTCTTTCTTAAAAAGCAAAATGCAAATGGGAATAAACCAATATCAAAATTTAGAAATTGCCTATTAAAAAATCAAAGCATCTACAGGCATCTCAGATGCTAATGAAATTGTTTAGAAGTTTATTGGTAGAGAACAAACATATGCCCATCTACTAATATCGATTTCGGATTATGAGAAGAAAATTAATAACTTAAAGCAAGAAAACCTAGACTTAAAAAACAATTTTAATCAGTTAAAATAAGATTACAGTGATATGGACAAGGAATTCTTGGTAGAAAATAATAAATAAAGAAATGAACAAACAGATCAAGATAAAATGGTTATAGAAGTAGAAGAGAAAGCAACAATATCTGGTTTACTATAAAATAAATTGAAGAATTGGATTACAAAAAACCTGAAAAAATTGTCATAATCTAAAGATAAAGGATTTTAAGGAATAATTGATGCCATAAGAGAAAAATTGCTTAACTTGTCATAATTGGTAATTGTATATTCTTAATTTAAAGTAACAATAAGAATTGTTGAATAAATCTATGATCAGTTCTGTCTTAGAGTTGAATGACTAGGAATTTTTAAAAAGGAACTTTAGAATCAAGCCAAAAAAATAAAACTCTCATTTACATTCAAATAATTCTTAGGATTATTCTATTTTACGAGATGATGATGAAATCTTTAATGAATTGCCCAGTAAAGATGAAGAATTAGAAGATCAAGAAGAAGATCATTTAATGAATCAACTAAGAGAAGAAGTAAAAGGGAAAATGTTGAAGAAGTGACAGCCATGTTGTGAATTTCATTATTCCATAATTTTACAATTCATATTTTATTTTATTACTCTTTAAATTAGATTTTCCAAGTAATAGGTATAGAATATGGGAATATAATAAGAATACAACCTTTAAATATAAAGGAAAAAGCATAATATTATCTATGAATTTCATTTCTGTCCTTTTTCATCGTCAGAATAAAATACATCATGTTGTTATTATTTTGGTATAACTTATTCTGAATGATCCTCTTCTTTGCTTACCTTCTTTACGGACTCTGACTCATATTCAGAATCGTCATCATCGTAATCGACAGTGCCTCGATGATGAGTTGAAATTTAAACATAATGCACTTATAATCTCTCTGATAACTGGCGATAAGAAAATCCCAGAGAATTTAGGTGTTCTACCAATTCCCAAAATTCTTGCTTCTAGTATGTATAAGGAGAACTTCTTCTTCCAACAAGTTTTTGAGGAGGAGGAGGATTTAAGTCTTTTTCAATGAACACTCTGAAAATGGCATCAATATTTGTTTGTACTCTTTAATTGAGAGACTTTTTGATAACAATCTATTATACCTGATCTGGTATTAATTTTTCTAAAAACATTTGCAAAGTTTTGTACATTCTTTTGAAGTCTATGGCTTTTATTTCTTATGTGTTTGCGTTTTTGATATCAAAAGGAAAATCCCCATTTTCTGGTTTTGGTACAAATAACGGGCGCGTTTATTTTTTTCTCATTAATTTTTTTAAAATCAAATTTGAGATTGTGCTTCATCATTTATTAATTGAACAAATCTAATTAGAGAAAAATAATAATATATTTATATTATATATATATGCTTTAAAAGAATAAAAAAGATAAACTTATATTAAAACAAAGGATTGTTTTACGTACCAGTCTTAATTAAAGGTAAGTGTAATTACTCAGAATTATACATTTAATGATTTAAGATTTGATAAATGAATGCATTTGTTGAAATTATAAAGATAATTTTCTGTAAAAAGTTTAGATAATCACAAATGAATAGACACTTATAGTAATTTTGTTAATAATTAAATGTTTTAATAAATAATTTTTAACTTATGCGAATTACACCCGTTTCTCTTTTAAATTTTGATTAAACCTCAGTTAGAGATCCTATTATCAATTCCCCAAGATCATTGGAAGCTTGTAGAAGATAGGGAATTCGACCTGAATAATTGATTATGAAGAGTATATACGATTTGAAAAGAGAAAACAGAAATTTAAACCTAGATGAAGAGGCCTGGAAAACACTGCTTTAACATGAAGAAGATAAGAGATAGGCAAGAGTTTAATTATTGGTGGGAGAGAGGGAGAACATTATTTAGCAATGGAAAAATGATAATGCATAGAAAAAGTTTGATAGGGTGGATTTTGAAAAGGAGAGAAAGAGAATGGAGATGATTTAAAAAAGAAGATAAAAATAGATGCAAAAGGTGTTAGATGAAGAAATAAAAACACAGGAAATCTAGAATCAATTAAGGTAAAAGCAAATGGAATTGAGATAGAAATAAAATGAGCAACGACAAGAATTAGAATAAAGAAAAAAGGAAAAAAAGGTTGAAGAAGAATTTAGAAAACAATAAATTGAATATCAAGAGCACTTAAGAAAATAAAAGCTATATGCAGAATAAGATAGATTAAAATACGAAAACACTCATAAGATTACACCATAATAGAGAATAGAATAGGAAAAAGAACTTCAAAAATAAAAGAGAAAAAGAGAAAAATAATTAAAAAAAGCTCAGGATGAAAGAGAAGAGAAAGAGAGATATCGGTAATAAATGTTAGAATAATTATATGAAGAAAAACTGTTCAAAATGGAATAAAGAGAAGCCAAGCGCAGGATATTATTAGAAGAAGAAAAAGAACTTAGATAATAGTTGATTTAAGAAAAATAAGATGAAGCAAATTATAGAAGGGAGGAGAATAAAAGAAGGGCTTTGCATTAATAAAATTAAGTGTATTTGAATTTTTAATAAAAACAATTTAATGCTGAATAGAAGTTAATTGCCAAATAGCAAGAAATTGAGATGATGAATAAGGAATAAGAGATGAAAAGAGACTTATAAAAATAGAAACGATAGCAGATTCAACAAAAGAATTTAGTTTAATAAGAAAAGAGAAGAGATGATTTGATTTTTAAATTTAAGGAAATCGAGGATAGATTTAAAATTAATGAAATGGATAGAGAATTAACATTACATCAAAAAAGGTAACTTTAATAGGAGAGAGAGCATTATAGATAATAGGTAAAGAGATTTAGAATATTTTTAGTTATTATTAAAAAATGATTAGGAATTATAGAAAAAATGTGAAAAGATCAGTATGGAAAGAGAAGCAAAGGAATTATAAGCAATTAAAGTATTGAAGGAACGAGATGACATGATTAAAGAGAGACACCTTAAGGAATTGCTGAAAAAATAAGAATAAGAAGAAACATAGGAAAGAATGACCAGGATAAGAGATTATGAGAGAGAACAATTGTAGAGGGATCTCGAAGAGAAATCTAAAAGAAGAGATTAAATAATTAAGGAGAAAATGGCTTCAGAGAAAAAGAAGTAAGAATATAAGAAAGCCCAAATTATAGAGAAAGAATAGCTTTAAAAAGATATAGCAGAATTATTAAAAGAACATCAACAATAAGAGCCTAAACCAATAATGGTAAAACCGAAAAGGAGACCTGAGAGTGCTCCTTAAAAGAGTAAAGGATTCTAGGAGAAGTAACTGTAGCAAAAGAGTAAGCCTAGTGTCATGGCTCCCTATGATATCTAGACTAAGGAGAATCAAATATAAGAACTGAAAATCAAGTAAAATCAAGAATTACTTAATGTAATTGTTAAATTAATTAAAGTTATTGTAAGAGGAGGAAAATAAAGAGTTAGATAGGCAGAAATTGTTAAGATAGGTTGATGATCCGATTGAAAGAATGAGACTGGAAAAAATATTAGAATTTGAAAGAGCTTTAACTCAAGATAGACTTGCACAATTAGACAATAAGCATCAGAAAGAATTAGAATAATTTGAATGAATTGTACTTTTGAATACCATTTACATAAAAATTCATATTGTAATTAACTGCATTTATGTTTAGTTGCTCCTGTTTATTAATTTATATATATTAAAATATAAAATAATGTAAATGGACATTCCTAGTATGTCATAAACAAGATTAAGCTCAAAAAAGTTAAGTTAGAGATTTCGAATTGATAGATAAGGTCATCCGATTTTGAGAGGATTTAAGTTGCATTCAGTTACATTTATCGATGATGTGGTTATTGGCACAACAGTTCATAAGACAATTCTTGTAGACTGTTGGAAACATCATAATTTGAATGATTTTAGAAAAAACCCATCTCAATGTTGTGAAATAAGCTGAGGATTGATGATGATTTGACTTTATATAACAAATTACTTTACTAAATTTTTTCTGTGGTTTCTATGCATTTATTAGTGATAACTTGATTCAAATTAGAATTTAAAGAAGGATTTCTAGAGTTTAAAGAAAATGAAAAATTTAATTATTTGTAATATATATACAAATGAGATTACAAAATAGAAGATCAAAACGATCAAAATGCATATTCTCTATCTACAGCCTTGTTGTTATCAATAATCCACCTATGTAACAACATTTAATCAATAGATATCCTCTGATCTGGACTTTATTGTAATCCTCTCTTAACAAAATCCTTCAAAGCAGATGAGAAGAAATTAGGGAGATCAAATTTATTCTAAATTAATAACTAAACAACAATATACCTTTAAAATGTTTTCCATAATGGCTTCATCATCTCTTGGAAATTCTGAAAATGGAGTATTTCCAGCCACAAGTTCATAAGCCAATATAGCAATTTGCCAAGCATCACATCTTTCATCATAACCTTCATCCTTTATCACTTCTGGAGCAATATAATCTACAGTGCCACAGAAGGTATTCCTTCTGTCTTCGAATTTAGGTATTTCTCGGACACAACCAAAATCGCATAGTTTAATGTAGTTCTAAATTATTGTAAATTCTTACAAGAGATAATAAAATGTTTTCAGTTTTTAAGTCCCTATGCATAAATCCTGACTTATGCATATATTGAATAGCAGAGAGAATTTGCATAATTAAATTGCTAGCCTCCTTTTCACTGAGTCTTTTATTAGGCTACTTATATTGATGCTGAAACAATTCTCCATTATTGCAGAACTCCAACATCATATAAATATATTATTGATCATAACATTGCCCAAACATTTTGACTATGTTTGGATGGGATAATTTGGATTATATCACTATTTCTCTTGCTAATTATTCTTGCATTTAATGCTCAATAACAGTTGACTTTTTGATAATTTTTAATGCAAAAACAAGTCCAGTCCTATTGTCAATAGCCATATGAACATCACTAAACTTTCCCCTTCCAAGGAATGCACCTATTTTTAATTTCAACTTATTTTCTATTTAAATGTAAAGGGGATTAGTTTATTTTGGCATTATATTTTACTTAGTCACTTTTTGAGTTTGATGCTCATCCAATAATTTCTTAACGTAATTGTTGTTCATATTGGCATAATTAATAGCACTTGCAGTGTTTAAAACAGTCGGGTTTTTACCAGCACTTGCAGTAAATTTGAGATTGCCAAATGCATTATGGCTTAAACTTTTACATGCTGCTATTTTTGGTTGAACCTTGAATGGAGAGTTCAATTTACAGGAGACATTTACTTTCTACAATTTCATCCTTGATGATAAACCAGCAGCTGTAGATGTTGATTCTTTGGTTAAACGTTGATCTGATTACTTTTTGTTAAGATTCATACTGATATTATTTTTTAGCAATACTAAATTTTCTTAGAGACTCTTAGATTTGTCAATCAATTTATTCCAATCCTTTTCCATCTGTTCTCTTTGCTTTTTGACAGTTGGAGATGGCTAGCGTAATTATTAGCACATCGTAGAATCCTCTATTGTAATATTCAACTCTTTTGATGTTTTGCGAAAGGCGATGTTGCTATGCACTGGCGAATTGAATTTCATTGATGGACCGTAAACTATTTGAGAAGCTGGATATTAAAGCAACTATTTAGATTCAGAACCGTCCCTTGTTTATATAGGCTAGATGATGTTTCGCAATTTTATACTTTTTCTCTCTAAGTTTGTTGTTGTGAGAAATACACTGCAGAAGTGGCCCCAAATTGATTGTGGTACTTAATATGACTTTGATTAAGTTGAAACATCCTCAAATTTAATATATAATGATCTTAAGAACACAAAAATAATTAATCGTTGTTTATGCTTTTTTAATTAAATAAATTTTATTTAATTAAAAATGTAAAAAGGGNATAGTTTAATGTAGTTCTAAATTATTGTAAATTCTTACAAGAGATAATAAAATGTTTTCAGTTTTTAAGTCCCTATGCATAAATCCTGACTTATGCATATATTGAATAGCAGAGAGAATTTGCATAATTAAATTGCTAGCCTCCTTTTCACTGAGTCTTTTATTAGGCTACTTATATTGATGCTGAAACAATTCTCCATTATTGCAGAACTCCAACATCATATAAATATATTATTGATCATAACATTGCCCAAACATTTTGACTATGTTTGGATGGGATAATTTGGATTATATCACTATTTCTCTTGCTAATTATTCTTGCATTTAATGCTCAATAACAGTTGACTTTTTGATAATTTTTAATGCAAAAACAAGTCCAGTCCTATTGTCAATAGCCATATGAACATCACTAAACTTTCCCCTTCCAAGGAATGCACCTATTTTTAATTTCAACTTATTTTCTATTTAAATGTAAAGGGGATTAGTTTATTTTGGCATTATATTTTACTTAGTCACTTTTTGAGTTTGATGCTCATCCAATAATTTCTTAACGTAATTGTTGTTCATATTGGCATAATTAATAGCACTTGCAGTGTTTAAAACAGTCGGGTTTTTACCAGCACTTGCAGTAAATTTGAGATTGCCAAATGCATTATGGCTTAAACTTTTACATGCTGCTATTTTTGGTTGAACCTTGAATGGAGAGTTCAATTTACAGGAGACATTTACTTTCTACAATTTCATCCTTGATGATAAACCAGCAGCTGTAGATGTTGATTCTTTGGTTAAACGTTGATCTGATTACTTTTTGTTAAGATTCATACTGATATTATTTTTTAGCAATACTAAATTTTCTTAGAGACTCTTAGATTTGTCAATCAATTTATTCCAATCCTTTTCCATCTGTTCTCTTTGCTTTTTGACAGTTGGAGATGGCTAGCGTAATTATTAGCACATCGTAGAATCCTCTATTGTAATATTCAACTCTTTTGATGTTTTGCGAAAGGCGATGTTGCTATGCACTGGCGAATTGAATTTCATTGATGGACCGTAAACTATTTGAGAAGCTGGATATTAAAGCAACTATTTAGATTCAGAACCGTCCCTTGTTTATATAGGCTAGATGATGTTTCGCAATTTTATACTTTTTCTCTCTAAGTTTGTTGTTGTGAGAAATACACTGCAGAAGTGGCCCCAAATTGATTGTGGTACTTAATATGACTTTGATTAAGTTGAAACATCCTCAAATTTAATATATAATGATCTTAAGAACACAAAAATAATTAATCGTTGTTTATGCTTTTTTAATTAAATAAATTTTATTTAATTAAAAATGTAAAAAAGGGTTGTCAACACGAGGACTTCCCAAGCGGTCCCCCACCTTAGTACTAACCTCGCCTTAAGCCGCTTAACTTCGGAGTTCGAATGGGATCCGGTGCTTTAGGCTTAGTATGGCCGACAACGATATTTACTATATGTTTTCTCTTTTATACCACGTACTTAATATAAGCATCCATATATATGTTTTTTATAAATTATAATAATTCAAAAAAACTAGTTATGTTGAAACTTTTTATTATTCTATTGTTTGTCACTTCTTTCAAAATAATCTTGATATATAGAGTAATAATTATGTTATTATAAATTTATTGGCAGTAATTTGACAATAAAAATCTGAATTTAGAAAATAATGTTGAAATATAATAAAGGGATCCTTTATTTGACATAGTAAATTCAAATTTAAACTTGAAAGTTAATTCTGAATTTAATAATTAAATAATCAGAGATTGCAAATCTATTTTTCATTTTGAATCTTAATAATGAATTGAGATTTTCATAAATAAAATTAATCACTTAAAATGGCTCAACTAATACCTTTCTTGATATTAATTTTTGGTTTTTCGTGTCAATTTATAATGAAATTAAGTTAAGATTATTAAATACTAACCTAATAGGTGACCTTTAAAATAGAAGACATGATCACTAATGATTATTTTTCATATGGAGTGTGGAGTAAATATTTACCTTTAAGACAGATAAGTTAAATCGGAAAAATAGGTATTTTTGATAGTAATTGTTATCATTTACATAATTCAGCTGATTCTTTAACTTTAAGTGTTGATTTAATTTACTTTGACTGTCTCGATTTTGATTAAATGAAAATTACAAAATACATTCAATTTTATGATTATGATGGAACATTTCATAGCTATGAAATCGCATTGGATTAATGGGAATATGAAAGTTATTGGTATTATATTTCGATTACGTAATGGCCAATAGTTAGAAGATTGGAATTGCTTTTTATACTATACCCAAATGTGATCTTTTCAAAATAATTATAAATCCTTTGTCCTTTTAGAAGCTTCGATTAAAAATTTACTTTTGGAGGTGGATTGATACTACGTAATGATGAGTTTCTTTAGGGTATGTAAGGTAGAAAGTATTTTTCATTCTTTCCAGGACAAATACTTTATGATTTTTTAGTGTTTGAAATCCTGACTGTAGAGTGGAATGGGTTAAATTTTGCATTAAATACTTTTGGACAAAATTACATTTGTGATTGTCAATCTAATTTGAATGATAAGATCGAAAATGAGATCCTTATTTGGCTTAATTCAAGGTATTTTACATCTGAAAATGAAAATTGTGATTCATTTGGGTTATCAGGATGGTTAAGAATAAAGGAAATACATAAAATAAGTAATAACTTTGACTATAAATTTTTGAAAATTAATAAGTTCAGTCAGAATTAAAAGTTTAATGATGATAATTTATCTGCTTTTTAACTACTCTATAGAATCTCATCCTAAAATAAATATGAGATATTAATAATGACTTATAGTTATACATTCCCAACTGTCAATATAGACTTTACAGTTAATCCATTTTTAATAATAAAGGAAATTGAAATTTAGAATGACATTTATTTGTGGCACTATTTATAAGTTACATTATAATAGAAAGTGTTACAAATAACAATTACATTTTATAAAGAAGAAGATTCATACTAATATTCAGAATAGTTAAACGTATATCATTATAATGAAGTTTAATTTCAAATACATTATGGAAATGTAAACCAAGAATCAGAAAATTATTTAAATGTCCAAATTTAAAATTTTCATTTTTATAATTGCGATACTACTTTAGTTAATAAAAGTTGCCATCCCAGTTGTGGATAATGTGATGGACCAACCAATTCTGATTGTATTTCATGTTCTAGTGATTCCAATAGAATTTATATTCCCTCTTAAAAGGCTTGTGTTTGTCACTATAATGAAATTGACGACGACTTTTGTTAATCATTAGAACAATTTCAATTCCAAATAATTGAATACACTCCAACTTAAATACAATGTCCATATGGATACTTCTATTTGAATTCATAAACTTGCATTAAATGGTAAACATGTATATTAATATTTTTATAGTCCTTCGATTATTAAATCTAATCTTATTACATGTTTAGAATGTATATTAAATCCTCTTAATTGGAAATCTGATCCTTATTGTAAATCATATCTATATATCATCGCAGATAATACATATAATTTAGAAATTGAAGATTCTAAATAATATTTTATTTTTCTTGATGACTAGCTTGAGTTGTGTTAGACCTGTACAGAAAATAATTTTAAATCCGATTTTATAATTTATCAAGATTTCTAAAATTCATTTCTAACTCAAAAAGAACTTTGCATAAGAAATTACTTCTTCAACTAATTGGATCCGTATTGTTATCCCTGCAATATTATTTTTTGTAAAACTTGTGCAATCTAAATGGATGGTATTTAATGCCTTGTTTGTTTTTCTGTAGTTTTATTGTAAAATGGAATTTGCAATGGTAAAAATGTTGTTTAAGGTTACTCAAATACTTAAGATTGCGTTTCTCCTTATTATAAAACATCAAATAAATAATGTAAAATCTGCACTATAAATCAGTGTAAATTTTGTTTCGAGTATAATAGTTTGGATTTGACAAAATCTACTCTGTATAAAGATTATTAAGAATTTAATAAGGATGAGTATCATTAAGTGGGATGTGCCTTGTGTGAAGATAATTTTATGTTTGATTTCTAAAAAGGATATTGCGTACATCAAAAATCTACTCTTCAGTATTGTTTAAGATCCTTTATAAATTTAGAAGGAGTAGAAATTTGTACATTATCCTAAATTGATGATTTCAATATTGCACCTGAAATTATTAATTGCCAAAAATACATCACGGATTGTAATTAATGTGTTTTATCGCCATAACAGATTATCAAGTGCGTGATTTGTAAAGAAGGCTACAAGAGTTCTGTTAAAACAGGTCATTGCTCTCCCAATATATATCCTCATTCTAAAATAACTTCCGATGGAGTTGTAAATCAATATGATGCTTGGATTCAATTAATACAGAGTTTTTTGATGTAATTCTTACCTAACTAATATTATTACTACATTTAGGATATTCCATCAACTGGTATAGAAATCTCCATTGAATGTTAAGAGGGATTTAAATAGAGCCCTGATCATTGTACCTAATATTGCGATTCCAATTGTCTATCATGTGATAATTCATAAGTTTAACTTAATATCTTTGAATGCAAGAAATGTCCCCTAAATTACTATAGATTACCTAATAGATCGAAAAACGGAGTTAATTGTATAGTTTGCCCACAATTATGTTCAATCTGTTAGTTAAGAACAAAAGAAGAAATTCAAGTAATTCAATCAATTAGAATTAGGCTATTAATCCGTACTTTATTTTAAATGAAACAACTATCCCAATTACATACAAATGTTTGCAACCAGCATCTGATCCGAATATTAGGATAAACCCAATTTTATAGATTGCTCAATATTGTTTTAACCCAAGTTGCTAGCAATATTTTTTATTTGAATATTTTGTGGAGTGTTTGAATTATTCTGATACATTAAATTTAGAAACATCAGCATACTATTAATAATTTATTAATAAAACCTATCTTAATGCTATGGGAGTACAAGTTATATAAATCCGCTTTAATTTTTCTAAGTTATAGCCTGATTCTTATTGTGTGTTTGAAAATACTATGTTGATAGACAATAATTTAAAGTAAGAGGTGTTTTCTATATAGAACACTAAAATGCAAATGTTGGGGTTGAACAAAGTTAATTAAAATTTTGGTTACAATCTCGATATATTAAACTTTGATGTAGTTGAGATCTGTCAAATGCATTTTAATGTAAATTTACCATACATTATTAATTTATTTACCAATTAAGTGAGTTTAATCATCAATGATACTATATTTTAAGCTAAAGACCAACTTAATTAATCTTAATTTCAAATAAGTGGATAAATTTATTAAGAGTTTATTTTACAGAATGTTACATTCAAAAATTTGCTTATAAGTGAATCAACTGTGTTCGATATCAAATACAATAGCATCATGGGAACGGTTTTTATAGAAAACCTATACATAATCAATTGTACTCTCTCTAATTCAAAATTCATTTAACTTTAAGGAAATCCAGATAAATTTATTGTTAAAAATTTAAAGATCATTAATTGTTAGTTTTATAATACTTTGATCTTTAATTTTTTTGATATAGAATCAGAATCATACCATGTTTAATTTCAGAAGCTTTCTGTAACTGATACCACCTTTCAGCAATCTGTTTTAGTAAATAATCCTCAAAATTTTGGCTTAAATATATAGGATATGAGTTTTTCTAATAATAATCTCATCCTTTCAACTATTTTAATTACCAATTTCAAGGTTTACTGTTTAGATTTAAATATAAGTTATAATAATTTTCTTGGATCCCTCTTAATAAAATCAGAATAAGCAAACCAAACGAATGATATCAATGTGGAATTTCATAATATTGAAATCATAGGCAATTCAATCAATAATTCTTCAATAATAAAGGTAAAATCGGATTTAATTTCAAATAGTTTTTAATTAATTTTCACTACTGTAAATATTTTAAGCAATAAAGTTGACTTTTTTTACAAGTAGAAGTAGTATCTATTTGATGTACATGTAAAATTACTATTCCTAAATGGAATAATTATAAAAGATTGCCCAAATCAAAATATCTTCTATATCTTGCAAACCCAAGATATACTCTTTCAAAATGTTTTATTTGCTAATACTTTGTAGCAACAAAAAGTACCTATGAGCTTATCATGCTCTGATTAAATTTAGTAGAATTAACAATTAATGGAAATATAAGGGTTTCAAAATTTAACATTATAAAATATATCAGTTCAAAATCATTTTAATATGGATTAGAGTCTGATTTCCATTTTTTCTAATATTGTATACTTAGCTGATGTTTTAGAGGTGATCAATATTCAAAATTTAACATTTTCGAATAATGTACTTTTGAAGAATAAAATTGGAAATCTATTATCATTGATAACGATATATTCAGAAAAAGAATAGATAATTAAAATTTCTAATATGACATTCATAGAAAACATATTTAATTAATATTGTGACGACCTATCAATCTCAACCTCAAGTTTATTTTATATTAATTCTCAATTAAGCAGAATAGTATTGATAGATTGCTTTTGTTATAATAATATGCTAACAAATTCCTCCAATTCTTTCTCTTCAATTTAATCAGATAATATTGTGATTTAAAATTTGACAGTAAAAAATCACAATATTATTAGTGAAGAAATTTTAAAGAAGTATTATCAAATAGACCTTTAGTAATCTTTAACGTAGGAAGAAATTTTGCTTGTTATAAAATCTTATTTAATGATTTAAAATAAAGGAGGGGTAGTGTAAATTACCTCCTCTAATTTCTTATTGAAAGAAAGCAGTTTCGAAAATATTTTAGCCCAGAGCAGTGCCGTTTTAGAAATCATAACAAAATTTCTAGGTGTAGTTTTTATCAAAGGAGTTAGTCTAAAGAATATCTAAGTTGACTTCATACAAACCTTAGATATACATGGGAGTATCACTATTTACTCCTAAAATAGTTAATTGCAACTAGAATTAAATAATGTTAGTTTTGTCAATGTTTATAACAAATTCGATTCTTCTTGTTTAACTCTGTTTCCATCAATGAAATAGAATAACTTATTATTTTAGAATATTTACCTTGAAAATAGTCTCTCTTTAATGAATACATTCACTAAACTTGACTTCTAATAATATAAAAATAATCTCAATAGTATTATAATCTAGAATATGACGATTATCTAAACGATGGAAGCATGGTTGAACTATTTTACATTTGTTGGAACCTTAAGTTTAATTGAAATGCTTAAAATTCTAAAAGATAATGCCATAATCAATGTATTTGGTAGTTCTGTTAAAATCGTTAATTTGAATGTATAAGGAGTGCTTATTTCATCGGCTTTGTAGATTATCGATGCCCATCAATTTCACTTAGTCGAAACTTACTTTACTTCCATTTAAACTTTTGTCTCGATCAATATAGTTTATATAGGATAGAGCAGACTTAATAAGATTTAATTAATAATTAGTTAAATTGAATTTAGTTCAATTTCATAATATGAAACAGATTAGAATTAATTTATAATAACAAACCTAATCAACACAAACACCTAATTATCAATATGTTTTACTAAAATTGAAAAATCTTTTTTTATTAGATCCGATCATAAACTTGATTCAATTATAAATCAGCTAAATGAACAGTAATAGAATATTGGATCTATGATCTATATTTAGAGTTGGACAAACCAAACTAAATTGCTTTTAAATTCTTTGACTATTAAAAATAATTACTGTTCAAATTGTTACTTAGGAATGGTATATTTAGACATTTAGGATGTAAATTAGATCAATATAAATAATCTTTTTTGTTATTAAAACAAGATATTAAAAAATGGTTGTGTTACTATAATGACTAATTCATCTTTAAATAGTTCTATTATTATTTAGAATTCTTAATTTATCAATAATAATGGGAGTTAAGGAACAGGAATTATTTCTTATTATATTAATATTGTAATTTTAAAGTGCATTTTTCTTAATAATTAAGCATCAACAAAGGGAGGAGCTATTTATATTAAATCAAATTCAAATTAATTTTAATTTTTTAATACAATTATAATGGAAAATGAGGCTAAGTCTGGAGGTGGAATTTACTTGGATGGAAATAATACTGATTTGAATAGTGTCAATTTTAAGGGATCAATTTTGTAATTGAATAAAGCCTATGAAAATAGTAATAATTTAATAGAAATACCAGATCATTTGGAATTAGAAATAAACAGTCAAGAAATGAGCTTTTATTAAGATAGGTAAGATGGAATAATAACAAATATCCTTTAACTAAACTGGTATGAATCTATCCAACAAGGTTAGAAAATGAAAACATCAATTTTTATGATACCAAGTAATCAATAAATAGGAAATTACGGTTTGTTTAATATGTAAAAATTGGATTACTTGGTATAAATTAGAGAAATTTCAATATCATTAAGAAATAGTATGAATGAAGTGCTGACTAATTATGGGGATTAAATTTGCAATTTAAAACAAAGTGTTGTATCTTCAGATGAAGTATTCAAATAAGAAGAAGGAACATCCGAAGTTTTATAAATTAATAGTTAAACCCAAAAGTTTGATTTAGGAACTCAAATTTTTTAATTAGATCCTTATTCAGATATAAATAAAAAACTAAAAATATAGATTGATTGTAATTCTCAGTATAGTTCTAAAAGATTAAGATACATAATCTATGCTAAAAGCTATTTATGTTAATTAGGAGAATATTACGTAGATAAAGGTTGTTAAAAGTGCTAATCAATTTAAGGATATTATTCTGTCACTTATAATACAACAAAATGCTCAATATTTGATAATGCTAAATTTAAGAATATCACATCTAATTAAATTAAATTAAATCCTGGATATTGGAGACCAAATTATCTATCTGATGCAACTGAATAATGCTTCAAAAATGATATCTTTTGTAGTGGAGGCTGGGGGGTGAGTGATAATTTATGTGTAATAGGCCATATCGGAGGATTATGTGAAGAATGCGATACTTATAATATTAGAGGGAATGGCTAATATACCAAAACTTATACTAATATGGAATGTAACCTATGTCCAAAGGAATCGATTAATTTATTACCCTTTGTATTTGTATTGTTATGGTAAAATTATTCGAATATATTGAGGTCTTTTCTTTCAATTTTATTATCAGTAAGAAGCATAGAAAAAACAAATCAATTATATTCCTCTTTGAGTTTTAAATAGAGATTTAGAAGTATAATATTCAAACTTAATCAAGGTATTACTTTATTTAACGTGTTTTAGATCATCAAAGTTTCTTAATTAAAATGCTACTGAATTATTTATGGATTTTTTCACTTATCTATAGCTTTAATATTCATTTCCCATTTTCAATTGCATTCTTTGAATCAACAAGCAATTCTTCGTTTGTCTTAGCTAATAGTTAAGATTGTTATTTAACAACTTTAATAAACACAGATATAGTGTACTCTAGAATAATTACAATGATAATTGTAATAATCTGCTAATTGGTGTTGTTTACTCTAGTTGCTAAACTTCATTCAATAATCAAGAAGGAATATTTTTAGATGAGCATAATAACAAACACAATACTATATTTGTACCTATCAAATAATGCAACTCTAATCAAACAGTATAATATAATTCTAAATTAGATTTTGTTCATTATTAGCTGTGAGAAGAATATCAGAAATTGATTTTGTTTAAGGAAATGTATCATTATTATTCAATACTTAAACTCATTTTCGATGGATTATTGGGTTTATCCTACCAGGTGTAATTTTGATTGGTGTAGGAATCCCAATATTTTTGTTTATGTTAATTTATTTTAGAAGGGAATCAATAGAAAAAGTAAAATTTAGAAGACACATTTGCTATTTGCTTAATGAATATAACAAAAATTCATACTTCTGGGAATAAATTAAGATTTGGAAAAAAACTCTAATTATTTTAATAATGATTTATTTTGAAACAAATATGATATTAAAAGCCTCCTTACTGGGATTGTGCTTATTATTATACTAAACTTTGGCTTTGAAATATAAACCTTTTATTCTAAATAGTTTAAATATATTGGACATCTCTACCTGCTAAATTTGTTCAATATCAATATTTTTAGCTTCTGTCTAATATGTGAGTGATTAATAAAACCCTGCCATCTCCACTTTTTTGTAAATAATTTTAGTTATTTTATGGATCAAACTTTGCTAACCTTTTATTTCAAAGATATTTGACATCTACTATAAAAGATACAGGATAGTTTTTTTAATTTAAACTCTAAACTGTGTTAAAAAGGTTAAATCTAATTTTTGGTTTATTTAGATGCTGAATAATCAAATTCAAAAGTTGAAAAAAAAGGAGAAACAAATATAAATTAATTATGGAAAATTAAAGTTGTATTTACTGAGCTGCTCTAAAATATCCCTTGAATAACATAGGTAATTATGAAATTATATTAAGAAATATGAACTAATAATTGATTCCTTTTTCAACATTGAGAAGTAGAGTATCTTTTCAAGAAAACGATATAAAATAGTTGTTTATTTGAATATTTAAATAGTTAATCAATTTGAAATATATGATTATTAATTTAACATATCAAAACATCATCTATTTTGAAATTATGAACTAATTTGATCTACATTATAAATATAATATAATAAAATTATTAAGAATTTAGAAATATATGCATAAACGTTTTTCAAACATTAGTCATAATTAATTATCAAAACTCGTTTAATACAAAAGAAATGCTAATCACATATCATTACTATTGTATTCAGCTTCCATATTTATTAAGAATCAAGAATTAAGGAATTAACTTTTATTTTTTATGCTGCAGTATTATTTATTTTATATTGCTTTATAAAAAACTAAAGCAATAACATTTTTTACTAATTTAGGGAATAAATGAATATTGGAATAATTCTAAATCATACGATCTCAATTAAAATGCAAAACCAATAAACCAATCAGTTCTCCTTATTTATGCAATATAGGATTAAAAAAAAATCTAACGATTAAATAAGACGCATTCAATTGAATATTTAAAATAACTCACTATTATTCTTGCATTTCAATATCTAAGAGATTGTTGAGAAGTGGAAAGTTTCGATCTACCAAGGCTAAATTTTAAATTTGAAAATATCTATTGATTAAATATATGCATAATGTACCTTCTTCCATGCAAAGGGTAAAACATGGTCCACAGTTATGGCAATTCATTAACCCAATTCATTGAAAATACAGGTAAATAGTAGCAGCGAGGCCTATCAAGTGTTGGCGTATAAAATGATAGAGGGTTCCATTCTAAACTCGGGATTTCATAGATGAAAATAAATAAGCAGAATGTTCCGAAACATGCATAAGATAGTGTAAGCATTGCAAGTGAATAGAAACCATAGGCTAATATGAATGTTGTGATTTTACTTGTAGATCTAACATACCATAGGAATAGGTAATAGAATATGATAGTAAATTTTGGTAAAAAGTACAAAGAGGTCCGTGTTCTCAAAAACAATAGGGAGGCAAATTCACTGACTGTAACTAAACTTTAGAATTCTAAAATGATAGATACCCAAAAAAATTATCCTCCAAACCATAGGGAACTTAAGCCTTAAACAATAGGTAGCTTCCAATAAAGATTGAGGACAAGTAAATGAAATAAATTAGGAATAGCATTAAAGTAAAAGCTATGATAAGTTATTTCTTTGAGCGTTGTGTTCTATCCAGAATATTTAAATATAGTCCTATCCAGGGGAATGCTCGTGCCAAAAATATTGGGAATATTTGTCTATTGCCAAAGATATAAGATACTTCAACTAGAATTGATAATGATAATAATGTGTTACGCATAATGATGATGATGACTGGAGCACAAATAATTGTGATTTTAATATAGAGTGACGAAACAGCTGAAGAGATGAACAGCCCTAAAGTGATGACAAAGAATTCCCATAAAGTTTTAGATATTTTTTGAGTGTAATTTTGAGCTACATCTTATTTTTATCTCCAATGGAATGTATGATTTGTAGAGTTATTTTTCACATAAATATTTGAATTTATTGAGTAGGCGACATCATGCAGGAATAAAGTTTCCAAATTAATCGACTAAGAAAGCAACGCTTAAAACCTACTTTCAAAAAGACTATTATATTCTACAGTAATGTTTTTAATTGTGAAATTGTGCTATTCTAGTAGTTCCGTTCTTAAGTGCAATAATTCAGGGGTGCTAGAATATTTCATTGTTAGCAATGTACTGTCACCCTCGACTATCTTATAATTGTAGAGATAGTCCTTATGATTTTGATCAAATTCGATTTAATTAATATTCCTGTAACTCAATCTCCAAATTATAAGCAAGTGTATTGATGCCATGCTTAACAAAAAAATGCTGCAAATATTTGTGAATTAAGGAACATATCCATAATTCAAAATTCGTTCTTGAACTCTATATAAAGTTTTTTCTAATTCCATTTAATAATTTAATTTATCATTCATAATGCATTAAACTCACAATCCAAGAGTTTTTAAGGAAATGAATTTATATATCCTTATTGGATGCACGGACTATCTTCAGTAATTTAAGATAGATGGAAAAATTCAAGAAATCATTAAGATTGATAAAAAATGAATAGTACAAGTGTATAATAATAATTAGTAATATATATAACTTATAATATTCTAAATTTAATGAGATAAACACCATTTTAAAGTGCTGGTCAACAAAGTTTCAATAATCCTGCAATGCAAATGGTATCTCCACCATCGTAACTGAATTCTTTTATGAACGATTACGATTAATTAGTTAGGCCTGGTGAAACCACAAATAGAAGACCAAGATCAAGAGAGTTGGATATGATGAATTTGTTACTGATTGGCAGTATGAATAAAGGAGATAAAAGAAGCGGTCTGGAGGGTCTAGATTAGTTTTTTGGTTCTACAAATGCAACATAATAATCAATGACAACTACTAATAGTCTAGCCAATTTTGGTTAATAGTTACTAGGGTAAAATTTTGGGATGAGTCCATTCGATCCGCTTATGCCAAACTCTTAGCCAAGGGATTAGAGATCTATGCCTATAATGCCTATGCCTTAACAATTTCCAATGCAACAACCATAATTACCAATGCAACAACCGTAATTTCCAATGCAACAACCGTAATTCCCTATGTAGTAGCCATAATTTCCTTTTCAATAACCATAACTCCCTTTTTAATAATAGTAATTCCCTATGCAATAACAATAATTTCCTCTATAGCAGCCACCACAACTTCCATTCAATTAATAATTTAATTCGCCAAATCAATAGATCAAAAATTAAGAGAAGTTGCTTATTAATGGGCAGATGGGTGTGACTGTGAATCAAACCACTCAACAGCCTCCTGAATTGCAGGAACAACCGAAGAATAGGATCATCGATTATATTGCGAGATAAAATGAAGTTCTGGAAAAATTAACAAAAAACATGGCATCATAGAGGGAGAAGGAGAGTCAGGATGAGAAGCAGAAACTCTTGGAGAGAATGAAGAAATTGGAAGTTTAGAATGCTTAAGATGCCTTTTATAATGATATGTATGATGAAGTACCTCCTCACATGAGATAAGGTTAATAATTTAAACCTCCTCCAGGTTATTAGTATCAACCTTATTTTTAATAATAGAATTTATATTAACAATAATTTCCAACGATGCCATATCCTGAAAAATAAAAATCAAAGTAGCAAACATTGTAAATGTTGAGGATGTTAAAGCAACTTGTAATAAAAACAATTTAAATTTAAGAAAATAACAAATCAGAGAAAGAAGAACAAAAAGAATAAGAAATAATTAGATTTGGAGGAAATTATTAATGATCAAGCAGAAGTGGATTCTTTTACGAGTGAAGAAAGCGATCCGGAGCCCAGAGTAGTATAAAAGCCAAGAATACTAAAACCAAGGCCAATTCCACCGCCTCCTACTTACGATCCAACAGATGACAAAATCTAATTAAAAAAATTGATACAGTATTCTTTTTATTCTAATAACAGAACTCGAGGAAAGAGGAAACTATATTTGTGCTTCATTATATTATTTTTCTATGTTTGGAAGTACAGAGAAATGAAGAAGATAATAAAAGCCAAGAAAGATTTCGTTAATAAGGAGGGACCTGAGATTCTCCAAAAATTCATGGACGATACTCATAGTTTCTATCTGAGGGTGTTGAAAACTGTTATCGAAGAGATTCTTCAACCTAAACTAAATATTTAGATAGTTCCAAAACCAAAGTAAAAGATTTCGCCCAATCAAATGAATCAGAATATCAAAAAATTAAAGGAGATCCTAAAGAAAGTATTTGATGGTGTGACTGACAATGCGAATGAAACTGATTTTACTGAGAATATGTTAGTTTACTTGAACAGCATCACATGTGAATATGCATATCTAATGGACAGTTAACATCTGAGATTTGAAATCAATAGGTTGAATTTCACATATCATGGATCGTTGAAAAATATGGAACAGAAGAAATAATTCATGATGATTGTGGTATCAATGATAGTGAAGGTCTTATTATATAGGTTGCTAAGTAAACCACAATTTGTACCTAAAAATTTTAATCTCACTGATCCAGTAAGAATCAATATAAAGACAATAAACTCTGTTATTTATGAAATCTTTTTATTGTACATAAGAGGAGCAACTGCTATCTAACCAAATAATACAAAGGATTTGCCTATAGAAAATATGGTGAAAGAGAAAAAAGATATGTATTACCTACTTGACAACTTTGAAGCAACAGAAGAGGAAAAAGCCAAATTAGAGGAAGCAAATTTGAAAGCCAATTCCAAGGATGAGAGGATAGATGAACCAATGTTATATCCACTCTATAGTGGCAGAGAGATGGCAGCTTTGTATTTAAAATTATTTATCTGGATAGTTTTGACGGAGAACGACAATTTGTTACAATGTTTCAATAGATGGTGGAGGGTTGGTGTGAGAAGGTTTGCAACATTCTGCAGAATTACAGAAATGAGAAGGAGACCAAAAGGAAGGAGGAACTGAGAAAAAGGAGGGAGGCAATCAACAACTCACTTGCGATTAAGAGAGATGCAGTGAATAAAAAAATTCAATTCAATAAACAAAGAGATTAATAGATATCATAAGAGATAGAGGAACTCAAGATAAAGATTGCTGAGAGCAGCGAAAATGCAAAACGGGCTAAAGAAAGTTATGATTAAATGCAAAGATAAAGGGAGGAGAGACATAACAATATGTTGTTGGGGCCGAGGAATATGGGTTAATAAATGCCTGACCAATAAGATGGCCAATATGGATAACCAATGAGAAGATAGTTTTGATTTATTTTGATAATTTAATTCTAATATTTATTTATAGTTCATATGATGTTCGAATGTCAAGTTATCAGGAAACACTTACTCATTGACAAATATTATTAACTACAATTCTATGAGGATCGAATCTTAATTGGGCAAGAAGTATTCATCTACATTCATCTTAAGAATAGGCACCCAGCGAAATACGAGATAGCTTTAAATCTAACCAATCGCATAAGTTGGAAATTGAATGAGAAACAAGAGATCATTGAATTCGGAATCAAATACAATAATAATATCAAATGGTTTGCAGGTAAGCATGAGAATTTATAGAAAATAAAGCAATTGCTTACTAACAAAATATTCAATCACAGCATATCCAGTTTTTATCAGTCATCCGAACTAATTGGATCAGGAGCTTCCAGCAAAGTCATCACTATATTGGATTAGAGTAAAGTTAAATATGCTGCAAAATGTATAAGCAAAGATTACATCACTAAAAAGAAGACTCCAGATCGTTTAAATCGACTTATAAGTGAAATTACCATCCTGAGATCCTTGTTGAATCATCAAAATGTGATTTAATTGCTAGATATTTTTGAAGGTGAGTCTACTTATTATCTAATTTTCGAATATCTCCAAGGAGACACACTTCACAAATTCCTCAAATCATAATCAAAACCACTCTCTGAAGAGATGATTCGCACCATTTTGGCAGTAATTCATCTATCATATTTAGTAACTACTCTAAGGAATTCAATACATTCATTCAAATAACTACATTCATAGAGATATCAAATTGGAAAATATTGTATTATCCACTAAACAATGTGTTCAAAATTTGAAGATTATTGATTTTGGTCTGGCCATCCCCTCCACAGTATTCACACCTTTTGCCATCTGTGGAACACCAGGGTACATTGCACCTGAAATCCTTTAATACAAAGAATCCAGTTAGGGATAATTTCGATTCACATCAAAAGTTGACATGTTTGGTATAGGTGTTATGCTCTACAGAATGTATTAAACCCATTTCTTATTATTCTTAGGATGACTAGGAAGTCGCTCTTCGATTCAGAAAACACCAAAGAATTACTTTCTCTTAATCGAAAATGTCAATTGCCTAAATTCTCTATTTCTGGATATTCTAATGAATTGAATAATCTTCTGTTTGGTTTACTTGAATCAAATCCACTCAAGAGGTTATCATCAGAGGAGGCATTGATAATCATGAACATTACCCAAATGACTCAGGAACTGCAATTCTCCTAATTCACTACATTTCAATATGATTAAGATGATTTTGAAGTCGAACACTCAATAGACTTTGCTAATGCACCTTATCAATTCCCTAATAAATTCCTGAAATACGAATTGGAAAACAGTTTCCATTGCAACGAAGATCATAAGCATTCTAGCTTACATAAATCGTTCAAACTTTCATTCAGTCTAAGATTAAGTTAGGAAATTCCCAAATAAGACTTTATTATTGAAGACTTTCAAAATGTACCCTCATGAAATTTTCAATTCTATATCATTTTTTTACAACATTATTTTTTGTAAGATAAATATTTCACTCAATAAACTTTTAAAAATCTTTAACTACACCATATATTTATTTTATTTATTCAAATATAATCATTAAATAAATACTATTCAAATCATTTAGAAAGTTGATCCTAAACCTTATTCTTCTCCAAAATTCTTTTACATATAGAACTTGCTATTAAAATTGAACCACAGACACTAAGAAATGATATATGAGCACCTCTCAGTATATCAAATAAGTAGCCGTATATTAATTACGTTTGACCAAGCATTGCCATTTCTGTTAAATTTCCTTTCATATAAGCTCTGTTCATCAATAATTATTATAAATATGAAACTATTCCAATCAAGCACAATTTAATCAAATCGCCTACACTTGGCACTCTCCAAATCATATCTGGATTACACGTAGCCAAAAAAGAGGAAAAAATGATGGAAGTTATACTAAAATATTGTGGTATCACCAACTGATTGACCTATTAATATTATGTGATTTTAGTACATTATGAGATAAGTTTTTAATCAGCACCTAAACAAGAGAAAATAACATTGAAGACAAGAGCAAAATTAAACACCCCAAAAATTAATTTTGTTTTTCATCAGCAATTTCATACTCACCCGCTAATTTCCTTAAAAATGGAGGTTGAACTAATAAGATAATACCCATAAAGCAAAACAAAAAATTAAGCATCAGTCTCCATGAAAATTTTTCTGTTTTTAAAATATATATGCCCAAGATAGTAGTCCAAAATGATGTAGTTTACATCAGTACTTAGGCCTCAGAAATATTGACATAAAACAACCCTGTATAGAATAACAGTGTAGCAAAGCACCCTATCAGACNTATTAAACCCATTTCTTATTATTCTTAGGATGACTAGGAAGTCGCTCTTCGATTCAGAAAACACCAAAGAATTACTTTCTCTTAATCGAAAATGTCAATTGCCTAAATTCTCTATTTCTGGATATTCTAATGAATTGAATAATCTTCTGTTTGGTTTACTTGAATCAAATCCACTCAAGAGGTTATCATCAGAGGAGGCATTGATAATCATGAACATTACCCAAATGACTCAGGAACTGCAATTCTCCTAATTCACTACATTTCAATATGATTAAGATGATTTTGAAGTCGAACACTCAATAGACTTTGCTAATGCACCTTATCAATTCCCTAATAAATTCCTGAAATACGAATTGGAAAACAGTTTCCATTGCAACGAAGATCATAAGCATTCTAGCTTACATAAATCGTTCAAACTTTCATTCAGTCTAAGATTAAGTTAGGAAATTCCCAAATAAGACTTTATTATTGAAGACTTTCAAAATGTACCCTCATGAAATTTTCAATTCTATATCATTTTTTTACAACATTATTTTTTGTAAGATAAATATTTCACTCAATAAACTTTTAAAAATCTTTAACTACACCATATATTTATTTTATTTATTCAAATATAATCATTAAATAAATACTATTCAAATCATTTAGAAAGTTGATCCTAAACCTTATTCTTCTCCAAAATTCTTTTACATATAGAACTTGCTATTAAAATTGAACCACAGACACTAAGAAATGATATATGAGCACCTCTCAGTATATCAAATAAGTAGCCGTATATTAATTACGTTTGACCAAGCATTGCCATTTCTGTTAAATTTCCTTTCATATAAGCTCTGTTCATCAATAATTATTATAAATATGAAACTATTCCAATCAAGCACAATTTAATCAAATCGCCTACACTTGGCACTCTCCAAATCATATCTGGATTACACGTAGCCAAAAAAGAGGAAAAAATGATGGAAGTTATACTAAAATATTGTGGTATCACCAACTGATTGACCTATTAATATTATGTGATTTTAGTACATTATGAGATAAGTTTTTAATCAGCACCTAAACAAGAGAAAATAACATTGAAGACAAGAGCAAAATTAAACACCCCAAAAATTAATTTTGTTTTTCATCAGCAATTTCATACTCACCCGCTAATTTCCTTAAAAATGGAGGTTGAACTAATAAGATAATACCCATAAAGCAAAACAAAAAATTAAGCATCAGTCTCCATGAAAATTTTTCTGTTTTTAAAATATATATGCCCAAGATAGTAGTCCAAAATGATGTAGTTTACATCAGTACTTAGGCCTCAGAAATATTGACATAAAACAACCCTGTATAGAATAACAGTGTAGCAAAGCACCCTATCAGACTTCTGAGAAGTAGCTTCTAAAAAATTCCAGCATCAAACCCATATAAATTTATATTTTACTATTGTGTAACTAATTTTCCAATAATGCACACAATTATTCCTCTCCCAAACACAATTTGGTTAGCATTCATTCCCAAAGTTTTACTTAACAAGGAATTTATAGAACTAAGTAGTATTCCTGTCATTACATAGAAGATAGGAGCACTTCTGATCCATTTTGATTCAAGATATTTTGTAAAATACTCAATCTATGTAACTATATATTCCATTTTTCGTTGTCTATTCAAATTATGATATTTAAAGAAAAAGTGATTTATTTAATGATTTGGAAAATATCAAATTAAAGATGAATAACTGTTTACTATTAATTGCGATTTATGATAGTAAATCAAAATGGAATTTTTTAATCAAACCACAACATACTTAGACTGATAAGAAATTTTTAAATACTATCCATCAAAATTCTATTGTGTAAATTTGAAAAGATATACACTATCGTAATATAAAAAATTGTTTTATTCTTTTCTTTATCCCTAAAACTTTTCAATCAGATACAAACCCAATTGATCATAGATTAAACGAATCAAAATAATTTATTTCTTTTATAATTGCATTAATAAAATTAATGAATAGAAATTTATCTGTTAATTTATATAATTATACTTTTTAAATTATTTTATGGCAATAATCTCTCCTTTTCCTCTTTAACAGATGGAATTAGATTTCTGTTTTTCTCAGTTCTTGTGTATATCTGGATCAATGATTTTTTGATGATGTAATATTTACAAATTTTTGGTTTTAAATGACGAATCATACAGTTAATAATTGGCATTGTAGAATCTTGGATATTATTCTTCAAATCATTTAAAAAAAGATGAGATAATGATATTCATATTTATGAACTATATATTAAATTAAATTTATATATATGAGTTCTCAAGACAGTGATTCAGAATACCAAGAGTTTGTTACTAACTTTTACGACTTAGTTCAAGACATAAATGAATGTAAAGAGAATCAATAGCAATTTAGATTATGCTGCCAAGTCCAAAGAAAGTAGAACTGCTAAATTTCTAAAATAAGCAAAAGCGCGAAGAAGTATAAAGATTTCTGCACCTTAATATAGAAACAAATCAAATCACCTTTCGAATGCCAGAGAATCCAGATCAAAATGTCTCCGAAATCATCTCTTACAATAAAAATTAAGCAGAGAAATTAGTTAAACCTATGAGGCATCAAACGAAAAATTTAGAAAATTCCTAAGTAGAACCCTACATTTTTAATGTTCATTTGATTCTCAGGTAATTACCATTTTCTATTGTAGGGATCTCAAATTGAAATAGCAAATACTCAGAAATGCTTAGAAATAAGTATATTTGAATTTGATTGAATATAACAAACAAAAGACAAAGAAATCAAATCCTAGAAATTCTTGTTTGCATATGTAAACATCCTCTTATATTTTTTATCATTAGATACTTAGCCGAGAAAATCTATCAAGATAAATTGAAAGAAGCAGCCACATGCAAGAAATTCCAAGAAGGCCCTAAAATAGTAATTCCCCTATTGAAGAATCCAGAATAAACTAGAAAGGGAAGCATGGAATGATTATACAATTTTGGTCTAATTCTCTATTTGTAAATTTAGATTTAGTGTAAACATCTTGTTTTAATTGTTAAATTTAAAATTTAATTAGGCCATGTAATATTATGTAAGACAAAGAAAATCAATATCCTAAATCCAAGGCAATTGCCAATAACATATCAGTTGCTCTATGCACTTTCTTTTCATTTACATATATATACTATCTACCATCCACTTCCCAATCCAGTTATCCTATTACTTTTTATACAGGTTCATCTTTTCCCTTCTTCACGTTTTTCTTGTCATCCTTCTTTTTAACATCTTTTCCCTTCCCCTTACTTTGTTCTTTCTTTTAATCAATTAATGCCTGTTAAGCCTTCTTCTCCTCTAACTCGGCATCTTTTTCTTTCTAAATCATCTCCATCTTAGTCTACACAAGTTCCTATTCATTTTCTAAGGGAAACCAATGTTCAGCTGAGGTTTTCGTTTCTTCTTTAAATAATCGATATTTTTTATTAAATTATTTATTGTAACCTCTCAGCCAATCACAAGTAATTTTACACACTCCCAACACTCGTACGTATTGTTCAGGTAATTCATCTTAGCCCAAGACTGGCTTTTTTTCTCCATCATCTGCCTAAATAATTAACCTTAATTTATACTATATACATTTTTGGTTCCTCAACTGATACCGACACTAAAAAGCCCTACTCTACTGCATCCCTAATATCGACTTCAGGATTATAACATTATTCAAATGAAAATTCAAAATCTATTCTGCCTATATCATTTTCGATCGTTGCTGTTTCATATAGTACTTCTTTAGTCTTTAATTCAACTCCAAATAAATTGGTTGAAATAACATATTTACTTTAAAAGGGTTTATTATTTTGTTCCATCAAAGGGTAAGTATACTTATCTAATAGAATTCCTTCTAGATTTTCTAAAGTTTATATTTTTAAGGAAATTTTGAATTATCTCAATTCATTTAAATTGATTTTAGGTTCCTCAATAGGTATTATAACTTAAGGTTATGGAACCACAACTGGGTCAGGTTACTTACCTGGTTTTCCACCCTTTTTATTTTTATCAGCTAACAGTTTTTGTTAAAGTTCAAATTCTTCCTATTGCTTCCTCAAGGCTTCCTATTTTTTTGCTTATTTTTCCTTTTCTGCTTATTCCAACCTATTTTTAATCTCTAGAAAACTCTATTCGTCGAAATTTCTCAAATTCAATAGATTATCAACTATATATATAAAGTATTAAGGCATTAACACTAATGGATTACCATACAGGGAAAGCATTTTTAAATTGGATATTTTTTTACATGCTTCCACCGAATACTCTAAATCACAAAGTTAATTATGAGCCAAATCCAATCCGATTAATTAGGGTAAGAACTTAGGGATAGTTTGTATTGCATCATCATTCAATAAGCAATATCCTAAGCCTAAGTATTGGAGGTTATGCTTTAATAAATTCAATGTTGTAATTGGATTATTGAAGAGATGCAATTCAACTAATTATTGGGGTAAGTGTTGAACAGTTTCAATTTTGTTATGATTTAATCGTAATAACTACAAGTTTTTGAATTGCAACAATTGATTGTCCATCAATGTTATATCTTCAGAATCAAATACTATATTGGTATATGTTTCGATCATATATTCCTTATTGCAAATAAAATCAGCAAATCCATTTTCAGAGATGTTTTTGTAAATCTTTTCATTATCTGGAGACCTACATTTTCACTCATTAATTACCATTGTGTAACTTAATCTAAATTGATATTCATTTCATCTTCAGTCAATTCATATAATTTAAATTGCTTCAATGGCTTTTTTTCTAAGAGTATTTCCATCCTCATATCTTCCCTCACTTTTCTCCAAAAAACACTTGAGAATTGATTATTTTGCATTTGACTACAATTGATAATAATTATTATTTATGTTATTTATATAAGATAGTATAGTTCATTATTATTTACGTAATGATGACTGTCGATTTGATGAGCGAATATATGCTTAATATATATTTTTGGATGCTTATTCTTAAGGTCCAATGGTTTACCCACTATATGCAGATTCTAAATTTTAATATTTGTGTAAGAGTTCTTAAATTGTATTCTCCTTTTGAGTGATGATATTTTTGGAATCCTTATTTTCCTATTCAAGAATTCTGATCTAAGTGTTAAAGGCTGCCTTCAAATTTTCTATTTGATAATGATGTGACTGTTCGAGTTTACCCCTCAAGTCTTCTCTTTCTTTCAGCTTATCTCTTTCTTATAAAACCAATCTGGTCTTTAATTATTCAATTTCATCAATCAAGGCCTTGAATTCTCTTTCTGGAATTTATTTGATCTGAGAATCAGTTAATTCCTTTTGTTTTCTCAACTCCTAATGCATAATTTCGATCTTGTTTTCCAACCCTCGAATTTTGTCTTTCAAAATATACTCATTTTATTGTGATTTGACTTTCCATTCTTCCTATTCAAATGAAGCTATCTTTTCTAATTCTTTAATTTATTCATTTAAAGTTTAGTTTTACTGTCTTAAATGTTATAGATCTTCCTCCAGTGCTTGCTTTATTAAAATAAACTATTAGATTTGAGTTTCCACTTCCTTATTCTTAACGATCTCTTTTTCTGACTACAATTGTAATTCATTCTCCAACTTCACTACTTGTTTCTTATAAACATTCTCAATTTCTATTGATGATTATTTTGTCTATAATAGTTCAGACTCAACTTGTTGCAGATCCTTCAACTTTGTTTATTCAAGTGATGCCAATCTCTATTTTAAAATCTCATTATCCTTTTTTAATAATTCGAATTATCTCTCGTAATTATCTCTTAATTATGTCTTTTCAGTGATCAAATCTTATATTTCCTTTGAATAATTTTCATTTTTCTTCTGATAAGTAGCAATCTCTTTTTCCAAAGTAAAAATGCTTTGTTCGTAATTCTTGCTAAGAGATTACAAACTAAATTTTTATTCGTCCAACAATTATTGCTATAATTGAGCTAATTGATCTCGATGCATAATCTCTTGTTTTTAATATTTAGATTTCTAACCATCAAATTAAGAGTTTAATTCAAGAATCTAATTTTCATAAGAAGCCTTTAATTTCATATTTTATTACAACAGTGTTTCAATTTCATTATTTTTAATTTCCAATAATCCTCTTAATTTATCGATCTCAGATTCCACAACTGAAATCTAACTTTGATGAGTTTTTCTTAGGTTGTCCAAATTCTAAGAATGGAATGTTTCTATCTTAAATCTCATCTATTCTAACTCTCTATAAATATAATCATAATAAGATACTTTTATCTTTCCAACTCAATTTGATTTATCTTATGTCTCAGATTGTCATTCTCATTTAGAAGTCTTTATGATTCATTTTCATGTTCTGATCTCATCCTCTACAATTTACTCATTAAATCATCAATCTCTAAATCCTTGTCCTGTAATGTTTCTCTAACTAACTACTTATCATTCAATCGTTTCTCATATTCAAATTGATCTATCTTATCCAATAATCTTTGAACTTCCTTTGATAATTGTTACAATTCCAATTCATAATTGTTCCTCATCTACATCGTCTAAGAAAGTTATTATTCATATTTCTGTTTCCATAACTCAGCTTCACTTCTCTTCTATATCATTTATTTAGTCATCTTCTCTAATTCTACATGCAAATCGTTATTAAATTATGTATCTGCCTTCCCACTGTGTGTCAGTACGTTGCTAAATCTGACATCCATTCTCTGTAATTAAGCTTCAAGATCTCGAATTCTTTGTCTATACGGTTCGACGTCATCATACTGTTTATAACCACTCATGTCTGTTAAATATTAATATTAATTATAAATCCATTTTATTTCAATAGTAATTATCAAAAAATTGTATTTTAATGATAAGGATTATTTCCTGACTGCTTGACTACTTTAATATAATTTGTTCTAATATAAAAAATATAATTTGCTCAAAAATAGAATAAAATCAAAAGAAAAAAACACATTATTTTTTCATTCATTTTAACAATTAAAAAATGGATTTAAACTAATTATCGTAGATTAATGAAGCAATAGAAGCTCATAAATTCATTAGTTATTATAAAAACTGAACTAATTCACTTGGGAATTATGAATGCATTGACTCTAAACTTAGATCTTTCAAAGATTAACAGCTTTCGTTGAAAATTACAATCAACTTCTTGAAAGTTTTCAAACTACCTGAAATAAAATTATTAAAATCCAAGTACTCGGAAGAACTTATTTCATGTTCTAATAAGAGTAGAGTTTCACAATCTTGAGAAGTTGTATCTTAGAACTCTTCAGAAATTAATTACGATAAAGAATAATTATGATTCTTAATGCTTATATCTTTCTTGAGCTTCAAAAGACTTTCTATTCCAAATTAAGTAATTGTGAAGATGAATCCATCAGTTCTACTCATAATTAAATTTGTTATGAAATTTATCAAATCCAAATAGGAGTTTTCAATTTTAAGGATGGTGAATAAAGTGTATTGATTCACTTCTGTATTTTGAACCAAGAAGACTTTTAAATCTTTGGGTTGGCTGCTGCGAGGCTGATTCTCTTTATTTTTTGTTTCATTTTTCTTCTCATGCATCTGAGGATTATTACTTCCTAGAGTTGCAATGAAGAATCGAGGTATGCTCTCAGATACTTCCTCAATGTTTGTGAACTCTAGACAATAAAGGTTCTTACCAAATTCTTATTTTGAGAAGGAATTAAAATTTATCATCTGCTTAAATATTTTCACAGATAATATATAAATAGATATACTCAATATTTTATTTGATAATTGATTAATAAGTGAACTATTAAGGCAACTAAATTAATGAATAGTATTAGTTAATGTGCGATATTTTGATAACTGATTTTGGGGATGACGTGAGTTCCAATTGTCTAAAGAATTATTTGGGCAATTTATACTATAAATTGGAATTCAAATATTAAGTAAAATTTTAATAAAGGCTGATTATTTTGTATCTTTCCCTCAAGTTATAAAGTACTGTCAATTGATGGAACTGTGAAATAGCTTGGAAGATTATCAAAATGTTTAGTTGCTCCTGATATTTACAGTGATGTTAAATATTTTACATGGGGATTTTATTATAAAACTTCTATGTGTCTTAAAATATTACAAGAAAATAAATATAATTATAATAAATGGATAAGCAGTCTCGTTTAAATTAGGAACAGATTCTGTAATGTATCAGGAATCATAGAGATTTGAATGAAATCCTGACAAAATAAAAAGATCATAGTTCACAAGAATTATTTGATGACATTGACAAAGCAACCATGAACCAATCTAACGAAAGTAAGTAAAGCTAAGAGAGCAACTCGAATAGTGATAAAATAGATAGGGCCATATAGATGTTCACAGGTAAAGCCAATAAGCATGAAATATCAATAGAACCTAAAGTTATATTATATGCAAAATAGGATAGTTTGTCATAGGACCAGATGATGGAGCAAATTTCTGAAGTTTTTAATAATAAATCGTTCGACTAAAAAGTGGGTTCGAATCTATCCACCGAGATCTCAAATGAGCCTTGTTTGTAATTGGGATCATCCTGCTAATCCTTGTTTACGAGTGGTTCAGAAACCGAACGAAGGAAGAGGAAAACCATATCGGAAGAGGAATCACATTACTTTGTGGTAAAGATTGACAGAGTTATGAATTAAACAGATGAAAGAACAACGATAATGATAAAAAACATTCCTAATAAATATACAGTGCAAATGCTTTAAGATTTAATTGATCATAGACACGACAATTATTATGACTTCCTCTATCTCCCAATAGACTTTAAGGTATTTCAATTAGATTACTATCCCTTAGAATAAGTGCAATATGGGGTATGCATTCATAAACTTTGTACATCCATATTACATAATTTAATTTTATAAAGATTTCCACGATAATGGATGGCCTCATTTTAACAGCGAGAAAGTAAATTTGACAAATATTAGCAATAGATATGTGAATTACGATATGCCAGAATTTAGGGACGCTAAGCTTTAGTGTAGCATTTCCAATTTTCAAGTGTGATGAACTAAAAGGTTATACGCAATTCAATTATTGTAGGATAAGAAACTCAAACCAGTAATAGTGCCTTAAAGTGAATTATCAAGGATTCACCAATTAATTTAAGTAAATCACTAAAACTATCATTTAAGCGATAAAAATAATGATGCAGATGATATCTATATTTTTTACCTTTTTTTGGTGTTTTTTAATATATATTTAACTAATCAATAATTGTTTGTAGCTTTTCCTGGATTCAAAATATTAAAAGTTTCTATAGATCTAACAGCATTTAATTGTTTTGCAAAATCAGCTAATGTTGGTTTATATTGACTTCCTCTTAACATGAGCATTGAATCCTTCCCACTTCCCACTATGCTCTCAGTCATCTTACCTTTAGCCTTGAGTAATTTGTTAAGCATAGATTTGATCTCAGTTTTCAGTTCATTTGCTGTTTACAAATTGGTATTTTCGATTTCATTCTAAATATATATATCTATATATTTTACTTTTGTAGTTTTTAATTCCTTAGTTAGTTATTTCAATTGGATGGCTAAGTTCTGTCTTTCTTAAGGTGAAACACTTTCTATTTGAGTGCTATATTCTTTGAGGAAATCAGTGTTAATTTCCATCACATTCGAGTTGCGACAATTCAATATCTCAGGCTTATTCTGATATTTGGATCGTTATTTAGTTATTTCCCTGCTTGTATTTTGGCTACAAGTCCTACTCTTCACACTTACAATACACCCAAATTAATTGTCTCCAACATTTTCTTTATTAGTTTGACATTCAATCTTTTTTTTCAACTCCATAACCTTCTCTTGGTGCAATTGATTTTTCTATTGATAAATGGATTCTAATTTTTCTATTTAATATTTGAGTTCGGTATTTTCATTCTCTAATTTCATCATAGCAATCGAACTCTTCTTCTTAGCTTCAATAAGTTCTCTTGAGTACTCTTCTAAAGTGCTTTAGATTTCCTTGTACACTTTACACTATGGTATAATTAATCTTAACTAATTACATTGGTTCTTCCTTCCCCTTAACTCCAAGCCTGCATAATTGTATCATTAAACTTCTTCTGATGTTCTTCTCTTTCTTTTATCTCCTGAATTTGCATGTATAGAAATTGATTTCTTTATTCGAGCATTGCTTTTTCATTTTTCCAATCGTTGAGAGACATAATTTTAAAATAATTAACGATATAATCACAATTTCTTAATTTTTAATAACATTGACCCATAAAATCTCAACAATCATTCATTCATTACTGATCAAAGTCAATGAAGACCATAATAAATAATAAGTCAACTTAAATGCAACATTCATTAATAGTAACATTTCAAAATTTCCAAAATTATTACTGTTTATATGAATAGTTTATACAAAAATAATTATTCTCAATAGTGGATTTGAAAAATCATTGAATTAAACATTTATAATTGGAAAGATTCGATGTTATCAAATGTTTTTAGAAATGAATTAAAATATTTATTATCTTAAATATTAAAATTGTTTATATATCATCTATCCTCTTGTTGGTATTGTTACCAAAAATAATATTAGCAGAATAATAATATATTCATTTAACTTTAAAATCATTCTAATTATTAAATAGGATTAAGATAAAATTGGAACTTCTGAATTTCTATCTTACAAATATATCTAAATCAAAAATTAATTCTAATATAAAGAGTTACACCAATAAAGAATGAAGATGAGATGTGGAAATAATATTTTTTATGTACTAATCGAATATAATGATATTTAATTCTTATTAAACTTATCATTTTTTAAGATTTTTTGATTTCTATTAGGTTTCTAGCATTTATTATGACAAACTAGTAATTTAAGATCCTTGAGTTTTGAGAGGTTTGTCTAATTATTGAACATTTGGAGACTTGAAAAATAACGTTTTTAACTTAATTTAATCTAATTCGCTAGGATTTTTACCATGCAATCTCGAAGTCAAACATTGCCTTTGTAGAGGTGAATGAACTCTTTGCCTTTGAAGTTTTATTATTTATTGTTTTCTAATAATTACAATAAGTATTACTATTCTACGACTACATCTGCTAGTTTAGACAATGCCAATTCTATATTCTTAATCTTCTCAGTATATTCGCAACACTTTTTTAAGGTAGTAATTTCAATTTGACTACTCATGACCTTCACTTTATTTCCCATTCGTGTCATCATGCTATTGATTTATTCTATACTTTGTTTTCTAGTCTCTTTGATAAAAGTCATCAAAGCAATTTCCAATTAATCCAACAAAGATCTGACTGAAGATTCATCTTCTTAAATTGGAATATTGAACTATAATAATAATCCATTCAACGATTCTTTGTAGCTCTCAATTTCATGAAAAAAACTTTAATTTTATTTCTAAGATTATTCAAACTTTTATTTTAGTTTCATATAATCTTTCTTTAAGTTTTCATTTTATTACTTCAGTTAATCCATAGTTTACCTGTTATTAATGGTCATATTAGTGTTTGTAGTAGTCACATTTTATTATTTTACATCATAATTTGTGTTAGTGATGTTGCGTTGCTTTTATCTTAAGACATCATGGAAAGTAACATATTTGCTAGATTTGGGATCATAAAATTGTGGTAATTGCTTATTTAAAGGAGAGAGAGACTTAGTATATTTTTTTTATGTCATTGATTAAGGTTAAAGTTCAGATTACTTCTCACTTGGCTGCTCATCGAACAAATCAATGTCGTCAATCTATTAATTTCTCTTTTTGCATATTTCTGATTGATTATATATTTGTTCTGATCTACAATGGCAATTTTCTAATTATGATAATTCTATGTACTCTCAACTACATTTAATATTTTTAATTGTAATCCTTCGAACACTGGATTTCCAAACAAATTTATGATATTGATTTTGGATTAAGTTTCTAAATAATGCACTTCAGCTACATTTTTCAAGTCATTGCACTCCAAATCCACTTCAATTAACTAGGGCAAGTTCCTTAGTTATTCGATTGTTTTAATCTACAATATCCTTACATATCTTACTTTGTTATTCTTCAGAAATAGATGAGTTAATTGGGTCAAATTGCTAAACCAATGAACACTCTATAATAAATTGTTAGATAAATCAATCTACTTCAAATTTTTGAGATGAGAGATATCTAATAATTATGCTATGATTTCGATACTTGATAAATTTTAGAGTAAATTATTATTGATTTCCAATGTTATTAGAGATGAAGGTAATAACCACATTTGTTCAATGTTATTGAATGACAAGTTGAGATGCTAAACCTTGAGCTATTGGATGTAAGATTGCTCGCCCTTGAAATTATTGCCTTATAAATTTATAATTGTCTTTGAGGAAATAAGATATGTAATTACATAATTATTTAGATTTAAGGACTAATCTAAGATTTCAAGGTTCTTAAAGGATAGATCAATACTCATTTAATGGCACCAAATTTAAAATTTAAATATAATTAAAATAATCAAATTGGCTAACATACCCTATTTCATAATTTATTATTTCATTGGTGTAGTTGTAAAATTTAATAGAAAGTAGTTTCAAACACTATTAAAAATAAATTTATAATGTATTAATATGTCTAAGAAAACTTTTAGGATTTCTACTTAATTGCACAAAAAAATTACAATCTATTCTTCGGAAATGTTTTAAGAGCATATGAGTTAACAATGAGATTTCATTTATTTGCAATGATTCGCAAATTACAGCTAGTCGATTTATTTCTCATCCATCAATTTTTAACTTGATTTATATAGAGATATACCTAGGCGATCTTTCATGTAGTTATTTGTCAATATATCCCTTCTTAATGTTGAATAATGAAAGAGTCCTCATATACAATGTTCATTATTGTTATAATTTTTATTTAAAATATTCTTATAACACTTCTTCATATCGCTTTGGTTTCTCGTATTTGGACTATCTATTACTGATGTTTCCCTTCATAGTTTCGAGTTTTAATTTAATTCTGGCATTCTCTTTTTTGATATCTTCCTCTTCTTGATTTCTTTTCTTTAATCTAGGCAAAGAGACACTAGTCTTATCAATTGAAGGACTGCTCTAATGAATTCTCTCAATTGTTTGTTTAATTTTTTAGTTTGAAATTGCCAGTTATTATTTATATTGTAACTGCTCAAAGTGATTGACTCTTTGTTTATACAGTTTCATCGATTAAGCTTCAATAAACTCAAATGATTACATAATTTGACTAGAACCTTTGATTCTTATATATTTTGATTCTTCCTTCCCTTAATTGCTTTTAATGCATTCATATGTCCAAGAAAGTAAGCTTAATACATACTATCATTTAATTAATTTGTTTGTTTCATATATAAGAAATGAATTTTAATATTAATTATTTTAGAATGGGTAACGTTTTTTATGGTACGTACATCTATTAGATTTATTCTGAATCGAAGTATCCTATTAAATCCCTGTTCCTACTATCAGTGTGTAAAACCAAATTCTTTTTATATGGATGCTCATCCTCAGTTTAAATTCTTTCGCAATTCTTGCCATATTGAGCACATATATCGCATTCAGATGACTATAATTTAAATGTTAATTTTCCTCCGATCATTTTCATTTTGATATAATTCCTTTCTATCTTTTATCTGAACATTTCCAAATTGAAATCATCTGATGAAGGACTCTTATGCCTCGATTCCTAAGTTCTTCTGTGATACATAGCAATTTATTAGATCCCTATGTTTTTGATATGATCATTCTATTACAATATTCCATCAAGGTATCTATTCATAAATATAACAGACATTTCCATATCTTAAATGCCATTATATCCCTTAGAGATCAGGTAGTAGGCTTTCTCTTCATACTCTTGCTCTGAGTAATACCAACTTAACTTTAATAATTTTTTACCAATTACTAACAACTTTTCAAATTATTTTAATCTATTTAGGAGTAATCCAATTCTATAATACACCATCATTTTACATTAAAATAGCTAATGTTTGTTTGCTGTATCATTCATATATTTGTATTATATCAAAGCTCCTTTAGTGTGTCCATAACTTTCTTGAATAATTGCTATAAGAAATGTAAATAATAATCCCAAAGTTACACATTAGGATTTGCATTTATTTTAGAGAACAATTAAATAGATTTCCAATCGATCATAATCAGAGCCCAACATATTCATTAAATCGATAGTAAGATTCAGTACATCTTGGGCTTTGGTTGAATTATGTTTTAATGCAATGGCCAATTTATCTAGTTCAGAGACAACAGAGTTAAGTAAGATTTTAGTAGATTATTTGATAGATTGAATTTCAAGCATATTATTTGGCTATGACATCTTCATAGGAGAACGTTGAAATCTTATTTGATGAGTGCTTCTTTTCACTCTACCTTTGATATAATAATTGGATTCTAAACGAGGGAGAGTAGCATCAGTAGTAGTATTGATGGTAGTAGAATTTATCGATTTTATTGAGAGATTCGAGATGATTCTTTTTCTATCTGAATCCGTGGATAATCTTGTATTTTTTTGCATAATTTTTATTATGTGTTATATTTATCAATAATATTTAGTAATAAAGCATAATATTTTCAAGGTGAAAAATTCTCCCATGGTGAAATATCTACATTGATCGCTCTTTCAACATTAGTTGTTCTGTTGATCTTTTTGTAATTTCTTTGTTTGGGTTTTGCAGTTCTTGACTTTAAATCCATTTTCAATGTCGCCCCTTAGCAAAGCATAATGTTTTAAGTGAATCGTTCATCTGTAGAATACAACATGGAATGTCTACGACCTACTTCCTTTAAGCGTTGGCAATATGGCGAGGCCTTTTTTGTGAAAAGAAAAGTTCGATTCATGTCCCTTGTAAGAAGTGGGAGCATCATCTATTCGTTACTTTACATATTATTTTAATCAATAATATAGAGTTTCTTATTTGTTCAAATTGAACTGCACATTGGAGCCTTTCTTCTTGCTTGTCTTGCGCGTATCATTTGAGACTTTAACACCCTTACAATTGAAGATAGTGTTATGGTATGTGTGCTTGAGTAATTCTTTCTCAGCGTCATCCAAAGTGTGTAACATATCCTAATAAGCAAATGCGATCTTTCTCCATATTCTATCCTTTAAGTGTAACCGAATCATTTCAATACCTAGATTGATTCACCTGTCGATGGCTACTTCCTTTTCAAATACATCACAATTATAAAGCACAATGTTGATATAATCAAAATGTATACAAAAGTCAAAGACTTTTCACTGCCCTCCATTTACTGTTAATATTAATGAATTTTAAATCTGCTAAAGAAAACCATTCTCCTTTGAAATAAAGCACTTTCTAATATAACTAAACTACTAAAAACTTAGTGCAACACAACAAACAAAATATATAGACATCATTACTTAATAATTAAAAATAGAAGTCTAAATTGAACCTGCTATAATTTAATTAAGTTCGGATTTGTCAATTGAAAGAGAGTGGATGGTCCTGTGCAAATAAAATATATTAAAAAGCAATTTGGATAGAAAAATCAATTGAGGTCTTTGAAATATTGCAATTCTGAATTAGTTGGAATATCAGAATAGTCTTAAATTACACAATTTATAGGAAATAATTAATTATAATTAGATTTATTTACTACTCCTCACAAGCTGGACTTACTAACAATATCACAACAACATAAATGAATATTGGAACATCACTTATAATAAACAAATGGTTTTGATTAATTTTTGGATTCCAAATACAAAATGATAATTAAACCTCAAATTCAAGGGGAACTACAATTGCTTTGGTTTCTAAGCTGCTAATTAAATGAAAAACAATCAAAATTTAATACTATGATATAGATATGAGGGATCTCTTACATTATTTATGAAGAGTTTCAATAAAAAATTAAAAATCAAAAACTCCATTATTAAACTTGATCAAGAATTCTATTAACCTTCAAAGTTAGAATATGGAAAAGAGATAGACAGGTGATAAAGTTGTGATTCAAAATGAAAAATTAGTTATTATGAACAATTATTTATTAATAATTGATATTATAGAAAAAACTTATGAATCTTCTATTTAGATAGGTTGTCAATCCAAACAATCCAAAAATAGTGGCCATTGCAAAAAATTATGTTAAACATGTAAAAGAAATGGGTGGCGATGAACCACCAAAGGAGCCAGTCATATTCTAAAAACCATTTACATCTTTGTTATACCTTCCTGATGGAAATGGTATTCTGTAATTGCCTAAACATAATCATGAAATTCATCACGAAATTGAGGTATTGCCATTTATATTCATTAGCTTGGATTTATGGTTGCTAAGAGTGGAAAGAATATCCAAAAGGAGAAGTGGTAGGAATATATAGGAGGCTATTTCTTGGCTTTGGATTTGACTGATAGAGAGATGCAGGCTCATTTTAAGAAGCAAGGATTTCCCTGGGATTTGGCTAAGGGTTAAGACAATTTTTTCCCCATTACAGATTTAATTACTAAGGAGAAGGTTAAGGATCCAAATAACCTTTAATTGGAATTGAAGATCAACCAAAAAGTAGTATAAAATGATTCTACTTCTTCGATGTATTACAAAATTCCAGATCTATTGGCCTACGTTTCATAATTTATGACTTTGAGACCAGGAGATTTAGTGTTGACTGGCACACCTCATGGAGTAGGTCCAATCAGAGCGAAGGACAATTTAAATGGCACACTAAAATAAGGAGACGAAACTTTGGCGTAACTTAATTTGATAGTGGAATGAGGATTTCTTGAAATTCATTTACAACTATGAGTTAAATAAAAATATTAAATGAAATAAGATCAGTTTTCTTCAACAAGGGTGTAATTTGTGCATTCCAATAAATTATGTACTGCTTAAGTTCTAGAGCATTTTCATAATAGTCCATTTCCGAAGGATCGAGATTAAGTTACGCAATTTATATAAAACTATAAGGTAAATGTTTTTATGTATTCAGACAGCCATAAATCCTCGAAAATTATCAAGAGCTGCAAAATGACCCTTCATTTTCAGTCTAATTTGATGAAACCTAATTATTTTTCGGATTGATAGTGGATGGCTTGAAATAAGGAGTTGGAGTTTATTATAAATAAGGGAAATACATTTTTGAAGGGGATTGGCAATAGAATTAAAAGAGTGGAAGGGGAATTGAATTGTTTATTAATGGATCCTACTATGAAGGGTAATATGTCAATGGGAAACCTTCTGGGATGGGAAGATTTTATTGGAGCAATGGAGAATTTTATGAAGGGCAATGGTATAACGGTAAAAAAAATGGTTCTGGAATTTGGAAGGGTTCTAAAGGCGATTCATACATAGGAGAATGGAAGATGGGTGTTCCTGATGGTTATGGAGTGCATTTGTGGATTAATGGTGATCGATACGAAGGAGAATTTAAGAATTGTTTAAAGGAAGGACGAGGAACTGAGAAATTTGTCAATGGAGACACTTACATTGGAGAATATTTAGCAGGAAAACCTTCTGGTATGGGAGAATACTATTGGGCAAATGGAGCAGTGTATAAAGGAGAATTTAGAGATAGTTTAAGACATGGGAAAGGAGTTTGGAAGAGAGGGAATGGACTTGGAGACTCGTATAATGGAGAATACGAGAATGATTTGAAATAGGGTTATGGTGTATATAGTTGGGCAGATGGTAATAAATACGAAGGACAATTTAAAAATGATTTAAGGGATGGATTTGGTACGATGTATTGGCATGATGGCACTTTTTATAAGGGGTAATGGAAATAGGGAATTCAAGATGGGGAAGGAATGTTATCAGTAAATTAGGAAGTGATTCGAGGAGTATTTTATGGAACAAAAGCCTTGGAAGTGATTGAGAATACAAATTTTAGAAAAACTCATTTTCGAAATAATACCTATTCAGTGGATCCAGTAAGTCGATAAACAGGAAGAGATTAATCAAGGATTGAATAATAGAGAAAGAATTCAACTGAAACGAGCACTAAGATGAATTCATTTACTTAGACTCAAAGAGAGTATGGGTCTTCGGATTAAGTGAATGCCAATAATAATTCTGAACCAAAGAGGATTGGTCGTATTACTTAATCTAAGTTGTTACATAATAAGTATAAACCGATGTTTCCAAAAATGCAATAAAACTCTCAATAAAAGAACTAGAATCAAATTGATAAAAGAATATAGGAATAAAAATAATTATGGAAGCCATGTGGTGTAGTGAAAAATGTTAAATTTTGATCAATTATATTATCATCACTTTTTAGACTATTGTAATTTTTTATCTTCTAATATCTTCTTTAAGAATTATGGAATGCGTTATTAATTTTGCTCCAAAGTTCTTAACATTATGTACTAAATACTTTTTGAATTCAATAATCATTTTCTATCCTCGCAATAAATCTCTTAGCACTTCTGATCTCTGCTTATATTCAATACTTCTTTAAGCATCTTATGGTAATTTACTTTCAAATATATCATATTAAACAGTCCCTTTGTGCATATTTTTGTAGAAGTGCAATTGATCTAATTTCAAAGACTCAGATTACCTGTATAAGATTCTTAAGTCATAGTAACTTTTTGAATGTATCTCTAATCATAAGGGATGTACCATTTATCATAATACTGTTTATCATCTAATTTAAGATAAGGCAGAGATGGCTACTTGGTTCGAATAATTCTGGGCTGTACTTTAATGTTCTGTTTCAATTCTTAATCCAATCAATTCTAAAATTACTTAAAGTAGGTTTTAAATCCTGTTCTGTCAATTGTAATTCGCTCCTTTGCATTCTTCTTTGGATGGATCGCTGGGCATTCAGATCTAGCTGAGTTAAAAAGTCAGGTCCATCTGTTTTCAAGCGTTTCGACAAAAGAAAAGGAGGAGAGATTGATTAGAAATGACTTGACATAGTTGATTTTTACATTATCAATTATATAAATTGGTTAATATTAATCAATGCTTCTCTAATAAATCAACCTGATCTAATTTAACTATTGTTGGACAAATATATACACATTTCAATACTTTATTCCTATCCTTAACAAATCTCTTCCAAACTCTTTCCTTTTGTTTCTGGAATCAGAAATGTAAATCCAAAACCAATCAGCATGAAAGTTGAAAATGTCAACATAATTGCTTTGAAATTGTCCGCTCCTAATCCCAAAAACCAAACTTAAGATACTATTGCACCCAATTTCCCAGCAGCAGCTGATATTCCATGACAAGTAGAACGATATCTAGTTGGAAAAACCTCTCCTGGTATAATGAAAGTAGTAGCATTTGGACCAAAATTGTTGAAAAGATTTGCCAATGTATAAAGAGTAATAAATATAAATTGACCCAGAATATTTTTGCATAAACCCATTACTAAAAATAAAATTGTTAATGCCACAAATCCCATTATTTAAATATTCTTTCTCCCCCATTTATCAACAAAAAGAACTGTCAACCAATATCCAGGAACTGTTCCTAAAGCTGAAGTAATCAAATTTCCATAAATTGCCTACTTCAAAATCTCATATTAACTTAGATTGGATCCCTTTCCAAATCCTATTTAATGTAGAATAGTCGATTAGTTTAAATTTATCCCATAAAACCCAACATCCAAAGCAAACCAAGCCATAGCAGTACCTAATAGCACTTTGCCATGATCCCATTTGGTGAGATAATATTTTAACTCTCTAAATGTGGGTTTCTATTCTTTCTATTTCCTTTCATCTGATTATGAATCAGCGTACAATGTATCACCCTTCTACAAAACCTATTAAATATTTCTTGCTCCTTTTTCTACATCTCCTTTAATCTCCATGGTAAACCTTGGAGTTTCAGGAATAGTCATACGAAAATATATTGCCACCAAACCTGGAATGGCTCCAAATCCTACTATAATCCTCCAAATATGATCAATCTAGAGATAATTTAATGGATCATCATTATTCAACCTATTGCTAAATGATAATAACACTATTAAGGCAACTATGCTCCCTGTCAAAATTCCAAAGCCTTACATTGCAAACACAGCTGCAATCATAGCTCCTCTGTTTTTAGTGTTTGCAAATTCAGATGTTATAATTGCAGATAGTGGGTAGTCTCCTCCAATGCCTACGCCTAAGAAAAACCTCCAAATGATTAGCATTCCAACAACACTCAATCCATTAGGGGAGGCTGTGTTTGATGCAAATGCAGAAGTAATTGTTGTGAACACTATAATCACCAATTCAGTTCCATACATTTTCTTCCTTCCTAATAGGTCTGCTAAATAACCAAATAATAACTATCCAATCAAAGTACCAACCAAGGCAGATTACTTCAATAGAGTTTCAGAAACAGGATATAACTTATCAGCCTTTTTTATTACTGTGTCTCCATCTCTTACTTCATCATGGTAATAAACCATCCCTATCATTATTACTGCTAATTGTATTATGAATAAATCATAAGCATCTGTGAAAAATCCAATTCCAGAAACCAAACAAGCTTTTATGTGGAACCATCCGAATTCTGCGTTATTTAATGCATCTAAAGCTCCTCTTTTCTCTAGCAATGGATCCTTCTACATTGCAATTTTTTAATATAGTCATTCCTTTGAGTATATTTAATTCTAATTTGATAATATGTCATATGACTCAAATTTTGATTATAATATTGAAATTTCTCCTTATAATTCCCTTATTAATTGTGTGGTAATTATTATAGTCTTGAGTATTTCTCAATTCATTTTATTGAATAGTTGTCTACCTTGTATAAAGTTCAATATTCAGGTAGAAAATATTGATTAATATAAATAAATTAATGAGATTAAAATAAAAAAAATAATTCTGAATCTCATTAATTAATTGCAAAGTATAATTTTATCAATGGAAATAATGAATTAATGGATTAAAAAATTAAATTAATGTATGATTAAAATTATTATTGTCTCATCAAGTATGTAAGAGATGCATGGATTTCACAATAAAAGTGAATTAGAATGTTGAAATAAGGATAGCTAAATCATATTTGATAAATCTTGTATTTTCTTGTTTATTTATGAAAAGAATGCAAAAATATTTATTAATCATATAAATATTTTTAAATTATCTTAAAACATCAGCAATAATGAGAAATTTTCTTTTTCAAGTTAAAGACTTTTACATTCAGCAATTTCTCACTGTCAAAGGAATATGGAGGAAATCTCTTGAACTCTCAATAGGGTTTTTAATTGTTGAAAACATCTAGTTGTTATCCTTGATTACTCAAACCATACCTGTCCTTAATAAAGCCGAATATTTAGACTTCATTCATTATATTTTGAATATATTTCGGTTTAATATTTCACTTATATTCATAGATTCTATAGCGTCTTCGGAGAGTATATAGAGATGCACATTCTTTACATGTTAATAGGATTCACACTGACCTTCTTAATATTCATTTGTTTAGTAATATTGATCTTAAATACTTCAGTTAGAATAAATTAAAATGGATAAATAATTGAGATGACTCTTGAAATTGTATTATTTTACTAAATTTAATTTAGAACAGATAAAAAGATATAGAGCAAAATACTATGATCAAATAATTCATTTCAGTTTACATGCAAATTTATCACATGCTAATGAGAATTCCTTTATTGTATTCTCACTTTCACATTTTGAATTACTATCAAAAGACAAGTATTAATTGTGTATATTAGATTCACTTAACTAGTTCTTGCTATTTGGTGCTAGCATTTCCATGTTTTCAATAGCACTTCAATTGATTTTCAGCTTAGTGATTGATTTGCATTGTTTTGAATTCAAGATGAAAAATCAAGATTTCTTAGGAAGATTTAATTAATAGAAAGTGCATTTAGTATTTGCATTTTAGACAACCATAGTCATATTAATAGGATTGGAAGTAAACACCGTAATAGTTCAAGTCTTTTACCTTCTATATTTATTGATGAGTGTATTTATGAGTTATCACCAACTTGTATACGTAGAAGTCCAGATTTCTCAATTACAACTTCATATCTCAACCTATTTGTTGATTTACTAAATAGCACTTTTGGTAGTTCAACTTAGTGATGTGGTAGACAAGTTAAATATATTGGGATTCCTATTGTTCTTCTATCCCTTCATAGCTTACATTCTTAAAATTCTAACTGAAAGATAGAAAATATCCTAACTAAAATCTTCAGGAAATTCTTTAGAAAAATAAATTAGATTTATTTATCATTTATTTAAAAAATAGATTAAACTAAAAAAAGAGCAGAGATCCTTAGATCCAATGGAATCACTATTTATGTACTCGTTCATAACAAATCACTTGAGGTATTGTTCATAGAATCGAGAGAGAAAATTATAAAAATAGATAAAAATGAAATTCAAGTGTTTTTGTGAGGAATTTTCAGAGAAGGAAAACTTTTAATTTGATTCAATTACTTAAATGAAGATGTTTGCTAAAGAATTAATATCGCAAACCTTAGAGGATGAAATTATAGAAACTTCGAATACATATTTAACTTTGATTTACATATACTTTTTAGTTTAAGTGAAGAAATTGCCTACTTAAGCAATATACGAAGTGATTAGATTGTCTATACAATCATAAGTATCTATTAATTTTAATTTAAGGGAATGGCACTTAAGGAGTAAGCAATTATTTATAAATTAAAATATGATGCTTTGGAAGAGTTTGATCAATTAGTTAAAAAGAATGATCTAAAAAATTAGAAATACATTTTCAAAAGAGTCTATCAATATGAAGAATCTCTCTCCATAATTAAATAGAATATGTGCTTAATTGCAAGACAATTTAAGGTAATAGAATTTCTATGAGACTTAGGAATGGTATGGATTGATACTGACATCCATAATTGATATTGATTAATTGGTAACAATTGGATTTGAGATTTTGAGTAATATTAAAGATGTAGAGAATCAATTGCAGTAAGCATTTACTATAAATCCACTATCCAATGAATGTGATACCATCTATAATCTGTTCTCTAAATATATATAATATAACAAGAGTCGACCTAAATTATACCGATTGGAAGGGAAATTGGTGACATAATTTATGCAATCAATCGAAAAAACAATATTTGATCCCGGCAGTTGTGTTATTTAAATTACTTTATTGTAACCCAGAGGAAATGTACTAAGATACACAAGATCTTTTTAGTAGGCAATTGGGTTTAAGGATGAGGAGATTAAAGATTAGAATATACACAGATTCATGCCTCAAATAATTGCTGATGATCACGATATGTATTTGGATAATTTTGTGGAGAGAGGGAGAATTATAGTGGTAAGATCAGAGGTTAGAGTGATATTGGGTAAGAATAAAGGCCAATTTTTGGTTCCTATTAATACTAGATTGAGAATTGAAACAAGTCCAACTGAGTTTGGTGCTACTGCTTTAATCACACCTGTGAATCTGACATTTGGATATATGATTTTGAATGAGAAAGGATAAATTGAAGAGATTACTTAAAATATTTTTGAGGAGATGTTTTAAAAGCATTTGGGAATATAAGTCTAATAAATAAGAGGACTGGATTGCTTATTTTTTGTACCTGAATTGGCTAAAATTTGGGAAGAGATTTACGATTAAAATTTTGATAAATTAGATAGAAAGTTTGAATGTTAATTCATCATTCCATTAATAAATTAAAACAAAAGCATGTCGCAATCATAATTATCAAAAAGTTTATCCAAATTATATTTTTAAAAATAAATTTATAAGAATTTTGAAAATCAGCCTACTGAAAATGTTATTTTTCTTGTTTAATTACATGTTATGAGTTTGGTTACTATCAATTTGAGGTACTAATACAATTCAATTATTTAGATTAGTGATTTTGGAATTGTAAGATTTTAGGTTGATGCCCAATTTAAAGATTTCAAGTAAATAAATAATATAGTTAAGGGTGAGAACATCAAAATAATTTAATTTTTAATAATTTCAAAATTCTACTAGTTATAGAGAGAATGCAAGTTTATTAAATTCTCCTTGGGTAATAGACTGTGACTTAGATCACGATTTATTGGAAGAGGAAGAGAGGATGATATACGAAGTGAAAAATTAATTGGCTACAGTTAATATAACAAACACAACGCATCATTAATAAGTTTAACTAATATAATATGCTGATGATGAAAATTAGAATGAAGATGAAAGTCTTTAAGTTCATAATTAAAACGTTCCCAAAGAAGCTTAACCTTCAATCAAGATTGATGAAAAGAAGAAGAATTAAATGAATAAAGTTGATAATTAAAATAATATGTCTATAGGCAGTAGATCATCATAAAACAATCAGTCGTAACTAAAAAGATAAATGCGAGATTGCTTAAGTGAAAATTCAACAATAAACAAAAAACAAGCCTTTGTATTACTGACTTTTTATGTATCAATAATTGGATCTTACATTCTTAATTGCCTACTTTTTTCTTCAAATTACCAGAAGATTTAGGAAAATCAATCCAGTCAGAATCTGCCCTATTAGTTATCTTATTTTTATAATGAATTTGTGATCTCTTCCTACTACTTAAAATATAGTTTACTATTTCCATTTTCAGAGTTGCAATAAATTAGTTTAGATTTTTATTAGAGTGAAATAAAAAACATAGATGATGCTTTGAAGAATATTCCAGAAATAGTAGAAGTCAATGTCGATAATTCACTTAGTTAATAATCAATTAACATTATTTAACAGATGATAATTCAGAAAAATAATTAATAACTTAATTACAATGCGTTCTTGAATAATACTTAATACTTTGAGAACATTGTTTATACTCTATATAAAGCAGATACAACTCGAAACATTACAAATATCCAGTATATGTAAATCATTTATAATATTTATGAATATTATTTTTAGAGTTATAGCTGAAGAAATAGTTCTAGTGTTATTTATTTGTTGGTATGCATACAAGTGCATCATACTTATACAGATGAAATAAAAAGTATACAAATTGTTTTGCACATTCACTACTGATGTGATACAAGAGCAGTACGTAACGTTTTCTTCATTGCATTCTCTTATGAACACAATAAAATTCAAAAAGGAAGAAACAAATGAGGAAAAGTTTGAATTGATTATGGGATAAGCTTTTCATAAATAGACAAACAATTCTATTTTGGAGAAATATTAGAAAGTAGGAAAAAGAATTAAATAAAAAAGTATTAGTTAATACTATAATACAATAGAAAATAATTCAACTCAAATAATCTTTTTCTTATTTGTTTTGATAATGATAATAGTTTGTTCCATATACTTTATAGGAAGCAACTTATTGCATTAAGCAACTATAGATAAGGTACTTATCTAATTCAATGATAAAATTCTGTTTTAATAGGCATATTATGAGATTACTTTAGCATTTGCGTAATCCTCTGTTTTCATTTAAACCAAAATCACCAGTGATATCTTAGCAATTTAAAATAGAACTGTTAGTGAATTGAATACCTTAAGAAAGAAATTGTCGTTGTATCAATAGGATTAAACTATTTACAACATTGTAACAAAATCCGCTTGCAACATTTTCAATGATTCACTGTAAATACGCAATATATTCATATCATTAGAACAAGTCTTTAGTAATACGATGATTTGTTTTCATATGAGCAATGCATGAGCTACCCCATTTTATAAGGAGGATTAAGTGTAATTTTTGCAGATTTGTGTGATTAACAATTGAGATTTTTGTAGGACCTAGAAAATAATGCCTCTTAGGAATATCTGTAGTAGAATTATTATTCTGCCACATCATAAATTGAACGTCTTTATGATTCTATGGGCTTTTTTGTTATTGTCTCAACTCTAACTAATCAGATTAAAAAATCAGTGTAAGACAACATCAATTTAGATATAATTTTGGTCGTGTTTTCTGCTGTGTTGATGACTATTTCTATGATAGTAATGATAATATCAATGAGAAATATTCGATCGCATTATTAAACAAGCAAATAACTGCTGACTATGGTTCCCTTAGAAAGGTTACTCGAAAATGCTTATATTTTAAGCTTTATTTAATAAGATATTAAACTTCAAAATTGATTTTGTAATATTTTTATATATCTTTTTATTGCGAATATTCAATTTTATTTAATCAATACTTTCTTGTAATTAAATATTCAATATTCCTTGCTATTTAAGGTTCCCACTTGTCGCCATTCTCTAGAAGTTTAAATTTGTCATAGAATAAATCCTCATGTTGGTATGTAGTATATTCATAATTTGGACCCTTGATTATAATATTATTGATTACTTCCACAATAGCATCCACTGGACATGCTTCTTAACAAAATCCACAATAAATGCACTTGGTCATATCAATATCATATCTCACAGTACGTCTTATAAAATATTAAAGGAATGTACCTCGAATTATCAGGTCTTGGCTCTGTTTCTATTGTAATAGCTCTTGCTGGACAAGCACTTTAACATAATTTGCATGCTATGCATCTATGTTTTATTATATCTGCGAATACCTCTCTTCTCCTGTTGGATATCTTCTTAAGGCGTGTTCTCCTCTAAACAAGGGTGAAAGTGGACCCTTTTCATATGGATAGTTGATGGTCCATTCAGGCTCGAAACAATAAAGGACACCACAAAACCAAAAATGATAGAGGTATTCTGGTTGTGTAAAATTTTGATATGCTGTTTCCCAAACGTCTGTCCAATCCAATTCATCTGGCATGAATTTGCCTAAACAATTTCACACTTCTAAATACCTTGATAATAGTGCATTTAAACATTGTTTTCCTAATCTTTATCAAAATCCAGAATGCTTGAATTGAATTAAGGAGTAGCAAATTTACTATTTGGATCTTATGAATTAGCGACATGATAGTTTACAGAATTCTTAATATAAACTAAATATTCATCTCTTTTCATTACCACAAAATCGTGCTTATCTTGATTTCTAAAGCAATTTAGTCAGCATTAATAATTATATAAAATAATATTTTTTATAAAAATCCTTTTTTATTTCCCCTCCTTTTGAAAACTCTACTATTCTCATCTACCCTCTAATCTCGTAAAGATAGGCACTCTGATTAGAGATTCTATGAGACATGTATATGTTTTTCAATTTGAGCATAGCTTGCCTTAAGATTGAAGAAATATTAGCGTTGTTATGAAATTATAATTTGATATTATGATTTAATACTAAAGGTCTAGGAGGAGGATTCAGACAACTAAGCTTGGAAAAACAACTCATCAGAATTTAAAATATATATAAATTATTTTAAAATAAAGTTCTAGAATCTTCCTTGCATATTTAACTTCCTCTCTGGTTTTAAATAATATAATAATCTATAAATAAATAATCATGTCAAATAAAGAACAAGACTATTATGAGGTTTTGGGAGTTAGTAAAACAGCCTCCGACGATGAAATCAAAAAGGCTTACAGAAAATTAGCCATTAAGTGGCATCCAGTATGTTTTTAGAATACTATTTTAAGGATAAAAACCCCAATAATAAACAAGAAGCTTAAGAGAAGTTTAAAAAAATTGGAGAGGCTTACTCTGTATTATCTGATAAAGATAAACGAGCTATTTATGATAGATATGGTCACGACGGGTATGCTAATCTAATATTTATTTATTTTAGTTTAAAAAATGGGGGTGGTGCTAGTTAATTTTAAGGTTTTCATGGATTTAGTAACTTTAATGATGGATTTGATCCATTCAAATAATTTGAGAGTTTCTTTAAAAATTTTGGAATGGATGATGATGATGATTTTGGGTTTTTCTTTGGAAGAGGTGGAAGCAAAAAAAATAGTAACAACTCCTAAAGAAGTCCTTTTGGATTCTCAGGATTTGGAGGATTTGGAGGCTTTGGTGATGATGACTTCATGGGAATAGGAGGAGGATAATTCTAATCTTTTTAATCTTCAAATTTTGGAGGAGGATAATTCTAATCATTTTAATCTTCAAATTTTGGAGGAGGATTTGGAGGAGCTACATCAATATCTACTTCTACTTCAACGACGATGCAGTACAAATTCATTATTAATAACATAGAAATGGTCGTAAAGTTACAGTCACAAGAAAGACAACAACAAAGGCTGATGGAACAACCGAGGTAGTTGAAACTATTGACAATGGAGGAAGAAAGGAAGAGAAAAGATATTCATTGGAAAATGGATAAAAATCTAATGGATCCAAATATATAAAGCATCAATGACTTACCCAATTTATATTCTCTTATCATTTAAGTACTTTCTATTACATTCTAAAATATATATATATATATTTATAATTAATTGATAACAATTAACATATTATATAATTTGAGGATTTAATGTTAATAACTCTCAATATGTACGAAATAGAGATTGAATGAAAAACACAGAGAACAAGAGTTAACTTATTTTTGTATATCAAATAAATTATATCTTCATAAGTTAATAAATAGATTTGATCAAGATTAAGTTTTATTCTATCTAGTTATTATTGGAACAATTAATATTTAAATTACAAAGAAATAGAGCACTTATCTTCCGGAAATCGAATTAGATACTATTTATTATAAATATCATTATAAATTTCTTTACTCTATAATAATCCTTAATCAATAAGGTGTTGAAATTATAAAACTATGTAATTTTTTGTTTAGTAATTGATAATTTGAATTTTTCAATAATTAACTAATATAGATTATAATATAAATTAGATGCAATAAAAAACTCAAAGCGATTCAGAACAGTCCCAAAAAGTGTAGTAATTCATGATTACTGATGAGCAGATAGGCGAAATTCATGACTTTGTCAATAATTCTCTCTCTGATGCTTACTACCCAATTTCCTAATAGAAAGGTTAAAAGTAATCAGAGCCTACTCCTTTGTCAAATGAAGAATTGAGAAGTCAGCGAATGAGTATTGATAGTCCTGATGCCCGATTAATTTTATAATCATCCAGCCGGCAATAAAAAGATGAACCCTAGCATTAATTAACATTATTTTAATCTTGGAATGCAATCAAATTTATAAGAAGAATTAGTGAGCGAAAAAGAATAAACACAAAATTCAGTCAATATTAATACGATTTATTAAATGATAAAGGCTCATCATTTGATTTAAAATTATTTAAGGAAAGTAGTTTACATTTTAAACCAATGCACAGAGGTTTGAGAAGATCAAATCAAGTCGAGTAGATCGAAAAACCATCGGCACTACAGCAAGTAAAAACCTATGTAATTCGCCAAAAATAAAATATCAAACAATTTTTTAACAGAATCGAATAATAACTTCAAAAAATCCCCCTCATAACCCCTGAATCAAGATGGAAATTGATTTGGGACTGTTTTGTAGCCTTTTCCAGGTTATATTTCATGTATGTAATTCCAATAGATTTGGGATGGACACAAATTCCAGTGATTTATGGTTAGTTATACCCAGTTTCAGTTTTAGCACTTATAATACTATTATTAGATTACATCATAAGCTTTAACAATTCTTTTTATCAGTTTGGCTAAATAGCGAATTAAAGAGCAACTATAGCTAGACATGTAATTACGAAAAGCTATGGCTTAGAATCCATATCCTTATTAATTCTAAGTATTTACCTCTTTAATTCAAATTCCAACACTATCAATGTGCTGGATAATTGGGCAGACGTTTTTATTGCATTATTTTATGTATAAAGTAGAAACATTCCCAAATTGATTGCCTAAATAGAAGAAGTACTGAATCTGTCAAAGCCAGTTTCATCTATGTTAGAGTTATTAAAATTGATATTGGTACTGTTTTTCGTTTTGCATTGTTACTCCTGCTTGTGGTTTTTTGTAAGTAATAAGAATAACTATATAATTTAGGTTGGAGAATATAGCCACAATCATTCAGTTTAAGGAAGTTGGTTAGAACTTTATCACATTGAACATGAGACTTTTGCCGTTTAGTATTTGTTTTCATTTTATTATTCGACAGTGACGATGTTCACAGTAGGATATGGAGATATTACACCAGTTAGTTACATAGAAAGAATTATATCTATATTCTATATGATGTTTTGTAGCATTCAATTGAGTTATAGTGTAAGCACAGTGGGCACAATCTTAGACAAGATATCGGCGTATGAATAGGAGAAAATGAAAAAGGTGCACACAATAAATACTTATATGCAAAATAAAAAGATTGGATATGAACTACAATATTAAGTTAGAGAATATTTGAATTACTATTGGCAATCGCAAAGTCAAGTAGAATCATAGGATGAATAAAATATTATTAATCAACTATCTTAAAATCTTAGAGAACAATTAATGTTACAAGCAAATTCCATCATTTTAAATGAATGTCCTTTATTTAAAAATCATTTTAGTGATTAATTAAAGAATAAATTGGTAAGACAAATTAAATAAACAGTAATCTAGCCTGAAAATATAGTGGAATTTGATCAAATCTTCCCGACTCTTCCAAATGGTTAAATCTTTATGTGTTTTATAGAACATGGAGAAGTTTAGATCTTAATTCAAAACGATTAGAAGGATTCCATTTATTCACACCAATAAGTGTCTGTGATTAGTAAAGTAGGGAAGGGAAGTAGTTTGGGCATTTACAGTTTCATAAGTGGTCAAAAATCTAGAGAAAAATTCAGAAGTTTAGGATTCACAAAATTGCTGTTATTATCTCGAGATGACTTTTTAAGAATATTGCCTGATTATCCAGAAGATTATGAGAACTTCAGAAATATTCATGATGGACTTCTATTTAATTAAGATTATATTCAACATATGAAATGTTTTTCTTGTTAATCCTCAACTCATAGAGTCATGAATTGTCCTCTTCTGCATTATGTGAGTGATAGAGAATACATAATTAAAAAACATTTATTCAATAAAGATCATAATAGATAGAAATTTACAAGGAATATGAAGAGATTTATAAATTAATTTCATGCATTAGTGGATTAAGAAGAGATCTCTGATATTGCTCAATTTTATAGTAATTGCAATTCTAAATGGACTGAATTTTATGATGAACCTCCTGAAGAAGAGGATGACCCCAAAAGCTCTTAAATCAAAAAGATTGATGTGATAGTCGCATCCCCAGATTTGACATAATCTCCAATTTAACATCATAGACCATAGGCAAGATTCAGTATTTTGAATAAAAGAGGGAGCACAATTGATGCATTTGAACCTGAAGAGAGCAAACAAAAATAGCCACTGATAGTTAGGGGAACTAAAAGAAGATAATCTAATGTCCAACAACTCAAATCACTAGAAGCTAAATCATGTACTTAAAATTCGAATTCAAGACGATTGAGACCATCATGTACAATAGAGTTTAGTCGATTTAGACAAATTCAAGTATTGTAAAGATTTCGCAAAGTTGTTTAAATGGTTATAAAACTTAATGTTATGAAGAAGAAGAAATAAAGCAAAAAGACTCTGGCAAATAAATTTTAAGATATTCAACAATAGAACCAATAATTGAAGTTGATCTTGGAGAAAGTGAATATTAGGATCAATTAGATTGATTAAGGAAAGAAGGAAATTTTGAATGATATAGATATCTAAAATGCATTTTTGTTATCTACTAAAATTAATATGCTCATATCATTATAATAGGAATATTTTGTGAATAAAACCAAAGTTTAATAAATGGATGCTTGCAAAGAGTTTTAATATTACTAACCTTAAAATAACTTCACTAAAGTCCTTGAGAAAGAGGAATTTTACTATTAGCAAAGGAAAATTTAGCCTAATTTATTAGAGCTTAGGAACAAATTAGTGTAATATCTAATGTTCCCTTAGATGTATCTTGAAAAATATAAATATGTGAAATTACAATTAGTGAATTTGCTTACACAAAGATAATTTAGAGATGAAAATAATAAATCTTAGATTTTTAATATGAGCAAACGAAACAAATTTAGAGGTAAAACTTTTAGAGCACCTAAAGTGAACTAAATTCTTCCTAAATGATATATCTATTAATTGTAATATAAACAATTATCAATAATTTTGATTTGCATATTCAATTCTTATATCATCAATTGGATGCGTTTCAGGAGTGGCTGTTTCATCTTCCTTGTACATCTTTATAGATTTGTCACATTCTCCAGTCAAAAATCTAAAAATTATAGAGAGATTACCTCATTTAACTTTGATCAAATGTACAACAGAATATACCATTTTCAGCTGCAATCGAACCTGGTTAAGCGATAGTATTAATCTATTAAAAGTTGTATCCTGATTTCCAATCCCAGAAATACAATGATCCATTGTCAGCAGCACTTGCCAACACATTATTTCTATTGATAGCTACCGAATTGATCATGGCATTATGACCAGATATATTCCTCAAAAAAGTACCTTCAGGACATTTCCAAACTTTGAGATTATCAGAAGCTGCCGAACAAAAGGTATATTCTAATGGGTGAAAAGCCATAGCTCTTACTGATTTCTTATGATTTGTTAAAGTCGATATGCATTTCCCAGATGTCATATCCCACAGCTTGATCATAGAATCTTAAGATCCACTCACTATCTAAGGTTCGAATTCTTAACAAATTATCGAATCAATAGTATTTGTGTGTCCCTCTAAAACGTGAATCTATTGCCTGGCTCTAATATCCCATACTCTACACACTGAATCTCTTCCACCACTCACTAAGACATCCAAAGTCGGATGCAAGGCTAAACTGTAAACTCCTGAGAGATGTCCGTGATAATCTCTGATCATCTTATTTTATTCTAGATCCCAACATTTCACAGTTTTATCCTCTGCACAACTAAACAAATACGGATGTCTTGCACTTACTATCACAGATCTTATTGTTGAGATATGACCTGTGAAAGTTAATTTTAAATTCCCTGTTGCCAAATCCCAAAACTTTATGGTTCGATCACTTGAACCTGTAACAAAAAATTAATTTCCAGGATCAACAGCGATACATCTAACCCAGCCATGATGTCCACTTATAACTCTCATTAATTTCCAAGGAGCATGCCATTCTGGTTTGATTATTTTCTTTATCTTTTAAACCATCACGGTTCCTAATCTAGCTGGTTCAATGACTGATAATTGATGTTCATTTGGATTCACAGCAACCAAAGATTTATTTTATGCAATTTATTTTTCATTTTGAATATATGTGTTATTGGTTTGAGTGGCTGAGGTTTTTTCATCAAATTTTAAAAATTATTGCGGTAATTTCGATAATTTAGTTTCCTTCTACTTATCTTT